TATACCAGATATATATTATGGTAAATAGAAGACAAATTTTCAATCGCAAATACATATGTAGCCTTACTATATTGAAACGACTTCCATTATAGATATTAAACCAATCGCAATTTATACAAGCTAATTCTTCTAATTTATAATTTGGCCAAAGAAAAATTTGAAAATTAATTAGTTTTTTTTTTATCTCTGTCAAGATCTTTTCATTTTTTAGTCAAAAAATTATTACCTTTATTTTCATTGTAAAATATTGTGTTTCTATGCGTACTATTTATATTCTTAAGATTTAAACAAATTACAATTCTCAACTCTCTACGACGTCTAGCGGATAAAATATTTTCAGGAACAAGTAAATTATAATTTTTTTATTTTTTTCTGTTATTTTTGAATCTTTTGTCCGTGTAATGTATTTTTTAAAAATTTTCTTATTAACATTACTTTTTTCGGAGTATTTTTTATTCATTTTGCACTTACTCTTACGAATTAATGAGATACCCATGGTTTGATACATAAAAAGTTATTTATTGTTTTTTCTAGACAGGCAAACTGGTTTGATAATAAAAAATTTGTTTTTCATAAATTTTGTATTTTCATTTTTCTTCAAGCCTGGAAAAGTGAAATCCTTATGATTTTGAATCATCATAATTTTTAGATCTAGTTCTTCCCTTTAAATAGAGGTTATAGCAATTTCTCTAAAATTTTTCAAACTAATCAGGAGATAGTATACTTTGACATTATTTAATATTCTTTTACCTAAGAAATTCTTCCAGTCCAAATAAAAAGTAAAAAAAATTCTTGTTAAGAAATTTAGTTTAGCTTTCATCTTGTTCTTGTCTTTCTTTTTCTTTATACCCTTACCATCTTTTTTATCATCTAATTCCGCAAATTTTTTTTCAATATCTTTTTTTTTTGTTTGAGGGAGATGATTCAAGATTTACTCAACCCGTGCATTATGTTTTTGCTCGATTTTGAGTCTCTAACTCGAATTTTAGAAAAAAAAAAATTGATGGTTTAAAAATATCTATTATTCTTTTCTTTTCAGTAATGTTATTTTGATTTTCACTAACATTTTGATTTATATTTATATTAAAAGGTATGATCTGCAGATTATTTTGATATTTATATGCATTAGAAAATATCAAAAATTCTAAAACAAAAAAAAATTCCATACTCGATATGGAACGATTTAGTATTTCTACATTTATTCCCATCCAATCAAAATACTTTCTATCCAGATTTTTTTTTATCATTACTTGTAATAATCCTTGATGTGTAATACCATAATTTGTTGATATTGATCATTAACCTTGATCATTACTTTGTACCAGATTTAAAATAAAAATTATTAAAAATAAACATGGAAAAAATTTCAAGAGAAATAAACAATTCAAGGGTTTGATCAAATATATAATTTCGATTAACCATTCCTCAAGCATTACATATGCTGCAACAAATTATTCAAATTATGGATCTCTTAGAGATGATATTTGAGAAATAACCTGAAGCTATTCCCTTAAAGATGGCATATCAATGTCATATAAGAAATACCATTGTTTATATCATATTGAACCCTGTTCGTTACCTTATTTTTGATTCAGAAAATGTAATGGATCTCTTAGTTGTTGAGAGGATTGCCCAAAAGCCGTATATAAGGCATATCCAGTAAAACTTACAAGTAAACCAGATCTAGAGATGGCAAATAGGGTTGTTGTTTCCATTATAATTCTAAAAATTATTAGAATTCCAAAATTTTAAGACCACAATGGATCTATAGGATATAGATCCTATATTTACAGCAAAATGGTATACAAAGTCAACAGATCTTAATTAATATAAAATAGGATTTATGGCTACACAAATTGTTGAGGGTAATTCTAAGTCTAGTTCAAGATGAACTATTGTAAGGGATTTATTAAAACCATTAAATTCAGAATATGGTAAAGCAGTTCTGGAGTGGGGAACTACTCCTTTTCGTATTATATAATGCAATAATAAATATTTTATTGATAATTTTTACTTAAAACATATATTTATATTGTAAACATTTGTCACATAAACATATAACAGATGAAATATACATTAATCATTATTTGATATTTATCATTATTAATATAAATATAATTATTTTCTTACTCTTTGATAAAGAAATTAATTTAAAATAAAAATACATTAATATCACTAATATTTAAAAGAAGACATTATTATTATTAATTTTATTGTATTATAAAATTATTAAAGTAAGTGTTGTTATTTTGTCATAAAACGAAAAAAAAAAATTTGTTAATAATGTATAATATATAATACAATAATAAATATTTTCTTGATAATTTTTACTTAAAATATATATTTATACAACATATATTTGTCACATAAACATATAACAAGTCAAATATACATTGATTGTCACATAAAAATATATTGAAGGTAGCGTCCATATTAGCTTCTTTACACAAACCAAAATTGCATACAATAGAGATAAGATACATATATTTTTGAAAAGCCAAGAATGATGTATAACTGAAAAATTTATGTTAGATTATGAATAAAGTAAGAGATAAAGGAAGATAATATCCAACTTAACTTTCTTTTAGAACTTTAGATTCTTCAGTTTTCAACCTTTTGATATCCTAGTTATGTTTACCGTATTGTTTCATTTATACACAATAATGATAAATACTAAAATCAAATGAATAAGAAAAAAGTGGGAAGTTTAATCATATCACAAATGGACATAACCTGACAAGAGCTTATAGCTTAACCTGGTTTAAGCCTGACCTATTTAATAAGTAAATAAAACTTAGACTTTTTTTAACATGCCAGCCTTTATATATATATATATATATATATATATATATATATATATATATATATATATATATATATATATATATATTTAAAAATAGAACTGTCAAAATATATTTAAATAATAAATTTATTTAATAATGTATTTTTTATATCTTTAATTCTATTACTATTAATAATATTTAATTATTATCTTAATATATTATATTATAAATTTTTTATTTATAATAAATAAAATTATATTCTATTCAAAATTAAAAATAGTTATATATGATTACACTTTTCAAATAATAAATTATAATATTTATTACATTTAAACAAGTTGAAGAACAGTTAAATCTTTCAAAAAGAAGACGCAACCAAAATTAAACGAACTAAAATTTAAAAATAAAATAAATTATTATATTAATATAATTTTCATATACTTAATTTTATTTATTTAATATTTAATTATTTACTTATTATATTAATATATTAGGTTATAATTCTTTTTATTTATAATAAATAAAAATTACTTAAATATGAATTATATTTTATTTGAAACTAAAATTTTATTAAAAAATGATAGAAAAATAAAATAAGAAATTTAATATATATATATATATATATATATAAAATAATAGAAGCATGTAGTAAATAATATAATTTTAAATAAATTATATATAATAATATATCTTTTTTATATCTTATCACGTGTTTTATTTTTATTGGTATAAATTTTTTAAATACAGTACTCATAAAAAAATTTTAAGATACCACAACACACAATCACACACTTAAATATAAATACTTAGAATTTTAAATAATTATTTTTAATGAATTTGACATAGATGTAGATAGATTTTTTCTTAAAAAATATAGTTGTTAATATACATTTAAAATTCAATAATTAGTAAATATTTATATAAATAAAAAATTAAATAAATAATTAATTTATCAATTTATATATAATATATAAGTATATGTTTTAATGTATTATATCAATAATATTTTTTGTTATAGACTTATAGTGTAGTTAATTTTATGTATATTTATTAATTATTAATAGTTATTATTATTGTCAATAAATATATATATATATATATATATATATATATATATATAGATTGTATTGAGTTTAAATTTTTATATTGAGTTTTATCATATATTTTATATTAAGATAAAAGTTTAAAAATATAAATTATTTTAATTTAAATATAAATTCTATTAAATTAAGATGAGTCAAAAGTTAAATTTACAAACATTCATTAATTTTTACTATGCTCATATGTTATTGTTTTTACATTTATGAATTTTATAATATAAAATATTTTATCTACAATTGTTATAATGATGATATTTTTTTATTTTTTAAAATATAATAATTTTTTTTAGCTAATTAAATAAATTTTGTGAATATTATTTTTTATAATCAATTTTATGTGTTCACTATGACTTTATTTATTAAATATAAAATATCTTTAAACTAATAAAATATTATTCTCACAAAAAAATAAATTTTTTAATACTTTAATAATTTTATAAAAATAAATCAAGAAAAATAAAAATATAAAAATTTTATAATATAAAATATTTATAGTTAATGCTCGAATAAGATTTTAAAAATTATTTATAAAATTATATAAAAATTAATACAATTATTTAATAATTATTAATTACATAGAGAAAAATTAAAAAAAATATAAATTAATTTAATAATAAAATATTTATATTTTTATTAATATTAAGATTATGTTTTTTAATAAGTTTTGTTAAATATATTTAAAGTGAAACCTTACTTAATCTATTTTTATCCTTACTAAGAAATAAGAACGAGAAAACACTAATATTTTGAGGGTTAGTATAACTATAAATATGTAAATAAATGTTATTTAAAAAAACATGATATTAAATAAATTTCATTTTATACCAAATAATTTATTAAATGTGATATTTTTAAAAATTAATTTTGTGTGACAATTTTTTTTTACATTTTTAATCATAATTTAATATTGTATATGTTTTATTTTAAAAAATATATTTTTAATTTTATCCTATTTTATAATAAAATATTTTTTAATTATAAAATTTATACATTTCTTTAATAGTGCATTTTGAATAATTTTTTTAATGTGCAGTAATTTAATATATTAAATATTAATAATAATAAATATTATAATTTTTAAGGGTATTTATAGGAATATCCGCGTTACGAGAAAGTTAATTTTGCCCGGGGTCTTACCGATAACATTGAACAAGCAGCAACGAGTTTTAGATTTGGCCGGAGGATTTGCGTCTTTCATCGTCTGATTTCGTTAAGTTGGCCAACAGAGTGATTATGCAGGGGACTGCAAAACAGTACTAGAGAAGAGATAACCCTGAAATCGTAAGGTAAATAAGCTCTGGTCATTTTCGTAATAGAATTATGGAATCAATTACTGTTTAATATGTTTTATATTCATTGTCTCATTAATTCAGTACTATAGCAATCTCTGGTTTTGGTTTATCTTTTCCTTCCTTACATTGAGCGATATGTTTTGGATACAGTTTGTTAGGGTTGTATTTAGTTTTTGCGTTTGTGCTAGGTATAGGGGTTACCAAACCATAAACAAGTCTATCGTAGCCGTTTAATTCCCTTTTTTTAGTAATTCTTTTCATGGGAGTTTTGTTAGGATGAATGAATACTGACAGGCAAAGAGATAAAGGGGAAACAACAAACATGGATTCCAGTGGCAATTCTCTACCATCTGCACCTGATGGGGTCAAGAGAAAGGTGTGCTATTTCTATGATCCAGAAGTGGGGAATTACTATTATGGGCAAGGTCACCCTATGAAGCCACATCGTATACGGATGACCCATGCTCTTCTTGCTCATTATGGATTGCTTCAGCACATGCAGGTCCACAAGCCATTTCCTGCTCGAGACAGGGACCTTTGCCGTTTTCATGCCGATGATTATGTTGCATTCCTTCGAAGCATAACCCCTGAAACACAGCAGGATCATTTGAGGCAACTCAAACGCTTTAATGTTGGTGAAGATTGTCCTGTCTTTGATGGCCTCTACTCTTTCTGTCAAACTTATGCTGGAGGTTCAGTTGGTGGTGCCGTCAAGTTAAATCATGATCAATGTGATATTGCTGTCAACTGGGCTGGTGGCTTGCATCATGCCAAGAAGTGTGAGGCTTCTGGATTTTGCTATGTTAATGATATAGTCCTTGCAATTTTAGAACTTCTTAAGCAGCACGAGGTTTGTGTAACATTTGATTTCCTTTTGGTTTCTTTTTTTTTTGTCCTGCTTGATAAATATATTGTTTTTGTTGAAATTTCTGCATGTTTTACACTCCAATATCTTTAGGATTTCAGGCGAACTAGAAACAGAAAATAATGAGGGGTCAGAGCTCAAATTTGTAGGCTATATATATGGTTTTGATCCTTATTTAAGCCATATTTTTCTGTTAGATCCTCCTGGAGACTGTCACAATTCTAAATTTAGTCTGACACAATCCCCTTAAAGGTTCTCTAAAAAACCTACTGCTCACCTTGTGAAGATTTAGTTGTAAACTCCCAATATCAGGGGCCCTGTGCCTATTATAAGCCAACATACTCACTGTCTTTTACCCCACTAACATAATTCAAAAATTCTTCCACATATTTCACATATTAATCTATTGGAACTGTTGTTAATTGTGGTTACATTCTAGGAGGAAGATTCCTGAAATATACATATAATCTGCCTGTAATGTCACCCTTACTGCATCTAAATTCTAAATACAAGTTTGATCACACCAATTTTAATCCCTAAAAAAGACATCCCCCTCCCTTTATAATTTAAAGACACATATCGGAAAAAAAGAAAAAAAAGTGCATGTTATTAATGTTTTTTTCCCTTCTCAATCTTAAGCCCTAAATATGTGTGTCAACAATTTTGTGGCAAAAAGATTGGCAATAAAATGAAAATTCCCTTTAGTCAGCTAAAACCATAATTGTTGATGTTTCCTTCCTTAGTAATTGAAGAATTGAATATTAAAAATATTTCGTACAAGTCAATCTGGGAGAAACATTATTATGCCAATTAAAAATCCTACCATTTACACCCGTCTAGTTTTAAAATCCTACAATTATGTATTTCTTTCTATTTTGGCCTACATTATATCAAACTTGATAAGATGAATTGGGAATTGTCTTCTAAAATATTCAAGAAGGAAAATTCAGTTATGCGCATAAACTATAGAAAGCAGTACAATTCAATCTCCTGTGAGTTCTGGTACTGGTTATAAACAGTAGAAAACAAAATATTGGGATTTGGCAAATGGAATTATTTCAGGAAGTAGGATTATTTGTGCTCAGAAATTTTCAGGGAAGATAAACTGCACGTTCTGTGCAGAAACTGTAGAGAGAAGTATAATACAAGCTCCTGTAAATTCTGGTTGTAAAAACTTCTCGAATTTTTGTGCATAATCTTTTGTCTGATCTGGTTTTCAAATGCTAATGTTGCATTTATTGCAGCGTGTTCTATATGTGGACATTGATATCCACCATGGAGATGGTGTGGAGGAGGCTTTCTACACTACTGACAGAGTCATGACTGTTTCTTTTCATAAATTTGGTGATTATTTTCCTGGGACTGGGGATGTACGTGATATTGGATATGGAAAAGGAAAATACTACTCTCTTAATGTTCCACTTGATGATGGCATTGATGATGAGAGTTATCATTTCTTGTTCAAACCAATAATTGGCAAAGTAATGGAAGTGTTTCGGCCTGGTGCTGTAGTTCTCCAGTGCGGTGCAGATTCTTTATCGGGAGACCGATTGGGATGTTTCAATCTTTCAATTAGGGGTCATGCAGAGTGTGTCAGATATATGAGATCGTTCAATGTGCCCCTTTTGCTACTAGGTGGTGGTGGCTACACCATTCGAAATGTTGCTCGTTGTTGGTGCTATGAGGTAGAATGCTGTTTTAAATAATAAAACTTTTATTTATTTAATGCAACATCATTAAATATAAGGTTGCATGGTCCAAAGGGTTACACTATCTGAGTAAAGGTGCTGCAACTTACTAGTTTGGTTATTGTCTTGAAATACCAATATTTTGTCCATATTTCATATTTTAATTATAAAAAATGCTAAACATCAAAGTTGTTGAGTTATAGTACTAGTCTTGAGGTATAAAATGTAAATTAAGATATCCTAAAGTGTCTTAGTATTCAACGCAACTTGCCCTGTAGTCATTGTTTCTCATTTCTCAGTTTTTCGTCATGTTTCTTTTGTTATGTATGATTTGAATCATTCTTCTTCTATACAGACTTCCATCCAAATTTGTAAAATAGTATGTGTTATATGTTAAGGCAGACAGGAGTTGCTCTTGGAATAGAAGTTGATGACAAAATGCCACAGCATGAATATTATGAATATTTTGGTCCAGATTATACCCTTCATGTTGCCCCAAGTAACATGGAAAACAAGAATTCCCGTCATTTACTTGAAGAAATTAGATCTAAGCTACTTGAGAATCTTTCTAAGCTGCAGCATGCTCCCAGTGTCCAATTTCAGGAAAGACCTCCAGATTCTGATCTTGGTGAGGTAAACTTCTACTGCCACTTCACTGTACTGTGTTTTCTCTACCTATCATTATTTCAAATGTGCTTGTTTTCAATTAAAACAATAAGAAAATCTTTTAACAGTAATGTTATTAATGGTGGATGGCAGCAAGTCATAAATTCACTGTAAAAATATGGCAGATGGCATTGTAGATAATGGCAAAAGCATGGTGGCTCCAGACAAATATATCTATATACAAAAAAGTACTGAAAAACTGAAAAATATAATAAATAAAGAAAAACTAATAAAATAGTTGAAGAAACATGAACTAGAAGCATATAAAATTTACCAAATGTATCCCAATTCACAAATTTAAGGGATAATGTCATAAGTATCATAGCATAAGTACACTAACAGAATTTTTATGCCTCATTTTTTTTGTTTGTATATAAAAAACAAAACTTATGAAAAATAAAACAAGGGAAGACAGTATGACGTGCATTGAACTTATTTGTCTAAAAAAAAATTGTATATAAAAGACAGATCTTATTTGACAGATTTTTTTTACAAAAAAGTATCTGAATTGTTTTGTTAAAAGAAAGAGTATGATTCGAAAAGAACAAAAAAGGGATAAAGAGGGTGAAAGAGCTGCAAGTGCATAGTTATTGTACCATTAAGTACTGAATTACTGCAACCTAACTATCTAAACACAACAAATTAATAAGACAAAATAAAGAGAAAATAGAAAAGACGAAATAATTTTAAAAATGGATAAATTCATCTTCTAACAAACTCAAAGTGATTAGTTTCACCACAAATTAGAATTGATAAGCTTAAAGAGAATAGACCTTATATTAATTTGTAATTTATCTTTAAGGGAAATTACTCTACGGTAATTATTGTTCATTTTCATAATACAATAACACATTTATTTAAATTAATTTCTACTTTCATGATAATTATATATAATTAAACCTATTAAGTTATCATAGTGATTTGATAATTCCTCAAGAAACTTAAGACTACTTTCTTGTTCTAAAATCTTAGGTTCAAGTTTGGAATTTCTAATGTTAAGGTTCACCTTTCATTTCTTTCCTTAATATCTGAAATAATGTAAATAAGAGGCCCAACAAATTTACAAGCATTAAAAATACTAAGAATTGAATCAAGAAATAAAAATTAACAAAGGAGTATAAAAGGTTCATTATACCATCATCCATCTTAATTTGAGTTACTCTTAAACACTAGAATAAGAAAATTATTTAGTCATTGTTGAATTACAAACCAAGAAAATAATTGTATATATAATAGGAAGAATAAGAACAAGAGAGATGAGAGTAGAGAAGAGAAAGAATTTAAATCTGTCTTTCGAAGTACGTTTCTCTTGTACATCAAGTAGAGGTCCTTTTGGAATTTTCCCTCAAAGTTTCTGCCGTCACTTTAATCTTTTTGGTTTTCTCTATAATGATTTTTCTCTGATGTGTCTCCAAGAGTGTCTGAGTGACTATTTTGTACTCTCACTTTTCTATTTATAGTTAAGATGTTAAAATCCCTTTCAAACCATTTAAAACAGATATAGAACAAGCAGTCAGCGACCAAATTACTTGAACCACGGGTGTGGGAAGTTCCACTGGCTGGCTGTGAACTCTCTGGTACTGAAAACTTGAATCCTCGCCAGTGGAACTCTCTGGTCTTTAATAATGATTTCCTTTTTCATGGGCTTAGTCTTAATCCATGACGAAGGGCAAATCCCCTAGCAAGCACCCAATGGAGTCTTCTCAGAGCCCAGATTCCTCCCTTTTGAGCTGCTATTTGCTTTTTAATTTCTATCTAACCCCTCATCTACTTATAAAACATAAAATAAAATAGCCATCTGAACTAAATAAAGAAAATGCATGATTATGCAACATTTGGATATTGATTTATGCTCAAATAATATGCTAAATACACATACATCGAGAGGTGTGATTGAGAGCGAAGAGGAGCCCTTGTTGTCATGAGAATGGAAGAACCTAAATTGTGGCTCACACATCTTCATCTCTTTTATAACCTTCGTAAAAGTCACATTTTCTGCCATGATGCAGCTGTCATAAGTTACCACAAAATTCACCATGTTATATCTCTCTAATTTAGCCAGAATTTGCAGTACCATTCCTGATTCTTCCACCATGGCTGCCATTTTGATAACACTGGCAAGGAGCAAAAGAATCATAAGACTTAGGATTTTGTTCAAGAGGGACATGAGTTATTGTATTCAAATCCTTTGTCTAGTTTTCAACATTATCCGAAGGATTAACATTGATGTCTTGAAAGAAAGATGACCTTCCACCAGCCATTTTTGTTTTTCCATAATCTTACCTTTGCAGTTGAGTGTCTTAAAGCTTCCAAAATCATGTGCTGGAGGTTCCACTTGATCATTACCTGCTTACTTGGGTATCAACATTTGTTGTAACTTTTCAAGTTTTAAAGGGTTTCCTAGCTTGCATACAGATCCAGAATCCATCTCCTTCTGGCTTCTTTTGAGAATTAGAAGTAGCAGCATTCAAAAGAGTTATCAACAACTTAATGTTAAAAAACACAAACCAACTTCAACATGACTGCATTTTCCCAAATTCAGATTCTCAAAACCATTTGCTCCTTTTACTCCATTCCCCTTCTCGAAAGGCATCTCAATCCTAAGTTGTCTGACACAGCCACCTTACCACGGAAACCAGCCTCTCCTGTGACAGTCCAGGGCTCAAAGCTGCTCTCTTCTTGCACTCGCTCTCCATGAAAATTTCTATTGGCTCATCAAAATTGCTTTCTCCCATGATTCTGGTTTTAGGAAACATGGGTCTGATTGTACCCTTTGCCAATGTTGGAGGCTTTGTAGTTTGTCCAATATGGTCAAAAAATGAGATTATCCTAGTAGGACCCAAAACGGGCTACTTTTGTTTCTTGTTTACTTTCCGTGTTTGATTTGATCAGGATTAGGAATTTAGTACTACAAATAGGGGTTAGTGCATTGTATATCACATTATAATAAAATGTTGGGAAAGTGATCAATATATTGTTCATTATCTCTCCGGAGGATATGTTGCCTCAATTTGTGCATGTCATGGATGTTTTGACCATTGCTCCAGTCAGTCCCAGAACTCTGACAGCATATACAAAAACTAGCAAATTTGTTACTGTTTTCAATAAGGAAAATGCATCAATAGATAAGAAGGGGATAGAGAGGATATTTCCACAAATATCTCAACAACTCTAGAAACTAGGAAGATGAAAGATAAATTGTCAAAGCTAACAAATTTTAACATAATCCTTCACTTCTAGATTTTGACTTTCATCATCTTATTCAAATTCATTCCCAAATACACACAATTTTTCAGGCAGATGAAGATCATGATGATGGAGATGAGCGATGGGATCCAGATTCTGACATGGACATTAATATTGAACGGTATTATGCTTTATACTAAACTTATTTCTTATGATTAAATATTGTATGCTTATTTTCAATTTGTTGCATCATTTATTAGTGAGCTTCCCCCAAGCAAAGTAAAGAAGGAAATTGTTGAACCTCAGATCAATGATTTGGTATGTATTTCTCTTTGTTTTTGAATCATTTATTTTAAATTGAGTGATTTCTTAATAGTGGTAGAACAGATAATGTGTTGTCAGATATTACATATTAATCTACTTGCGTCAGCCATTTAAATGTTGCAACCACTATATTTACATATTAACAAATCAACAGTACCTCTGGATTTCTTAATGCACTTTTCAACAAAGAAATTAACCATTATTCCTGAACAAAATTTGTCTAACCTCACTATTGAAATAGATAATATTAAAACCTTAATTTTACAAAGCAATTTTGTTTATTTTTTAAGTTGTCCAATATGATGTATACAGCCTACTTTCTGTTAGAGAAAGGGAAAGGGGAAAACTTAGCCATTAGGGAGAGGTAAAACTTGAACATATGTACCTAAAATATTAATTATATGAGTATAGTCTAAAGACACAAAGTGCGGATGGTTCTAGCATCTAAGAGTCATACTTGGCTGCCGCTAGACAAATATTCACACTATTGGAAAAACTTGAAGCTTGATTGTGATAAAGTCTGGAGGAGTTGGGAAGATTTACAGTTCTGTTGAGGACTTCCAAAAGTGACCATGGTTTTTTTTATTGAATTTTGATGAAATCAACATGAATGTATTACGTTTACTCATCATACACTACTGTCCTAGAGTTGAGAAACACCTACAGAGAATAATGATCTTTGTCTAAAATTACCAAATACACACATAACTACCTCCTAGCCACTACTTACATCATATACTGGGATACATAACTGTTCTTCACACGGTAGTTAAAATTGGGAGTTGAATTTGGAAGGCTGATTCAAATTGCAGCAATAATCTTTCCTAGGTGAAATCAGAGTGAAATTGGGATTTCACACTGATTTCATGAAATACCAAGTTTGGATTTGGGTCTTGGCCCAGTTTCTTCATAGTCTGATGGGTATGACCCTATTTTGAATGACCCAGCTTATATTTCTATTCGAACCATAAGATGCGACCTCCTAAAACTAATCACACCTCATTTTCCTTGCTCGAACATGACAACATTGGTGACCGATGATGTGCAACCTGGTCTACGGTCACCCGAGACTGTCTTATGCACAATCTTCTGGTTGTTTCGTCTGCTCCCATCTTGCTCTGTTTTTCTTATCTTATCAGAGTCTGAAAATGGCTTCAAACTCGGGTGCCGGTCAAAGCTCAAGTGGTGGTTGCACTGGGTCTGTCCCAACTACAGCTGATAGCTCCACTGCCACTGGCTCTTCAAGTGTGCCTGCTATCCATTTACTAGGATGGTTCCAAATATTCCTAGTCCAGGGCTTGGAGAACAAACACCATTCACAATTACATTCGGCCTAGTTTATCCAGTATTTTCTGAAGGTCATCATCCCTGTTTAAATCATCCTTGTTTGCTTTGATTGAGCCTTGTTTCATTAAGAAATTAAATCATCGTCCTGCAGTTGAAGAGTTGCTAGGTTGTGGACTGAGTCATAGAGGTGCTGAAATTAGTATAGACACTTTTAGCCTTCTTCTATATCTTAAAGCAAGATTTGTAGGAACAGTAGTAGACCAGAAGAGAAGGTTCAATAGATTGCCAGTGCCATAGAATGGACGCCAATTGATAGTCACTCTTTCCTGATAATTTTTCCCGTTGAGTTTCAGAGAGGTGATTGTTGATGCTCTGGCAAAAGATGCCATGGGTATTAGAGAACTGATTAGAAGCACTGCACAAAGGTCAATCGCACAACAAATAGCTTCAAATAGCCTGGGGTTACCCTCCAGTTGGAAAAGCTAAAAACAGTATCAGCTTATTTATATTCCTAGGCGCAGTGTTCTTGTTCCTACTCATTTATAACATAAATTTACACAAATTCATACATGGAACTTGGTAAAATTTGTAATAACGGCTTAACATTCCAGGAGGACCAGAGAAGAACTGGGGAGCATTTGAGGGGCTCGGATACTGCAGTTGCTGAAACTTGCATGAAGGTGAATTTCGCAATTGCAACATAAAGCACAAATGCATAAACTTTTAGTATTACTGCATTTTATTGACAGTGTAATTACTATAAAATTGTCACTCAATTTGGTTCATGCAGGCTCTAGATATTTGTTCTCAGCAAGTTGATGAAGATAATGTGAAAGTTGAACAGAATACTATGAATGATTTGGCCAAAGACGGATCTGAAGTGTTAAACAAATAGGTTGTATAACTGATTGGTGAACAGTTAAATTAATTTTCCATTCTGCTGTCGCATTTCCCAATTGATTGAGATGTGCCTGCTGCTTGGTTCCATTTTACACTTGCAGCAGCATATTAGTAGTCTTAGGGAGCAAGTTTGCAAATTTAAATTGTTTTATCTGGTTTCTTTACCTGATTTACATCACATAGTTAGAGGACAGTAACTAGGTTATTTTGTGCACTTGAGCTGGGTTTATTTTTCCTGTACTGATCTTGTTAGTGTATATAGAGAAAGACCAACGCATCGAGTGTTTAAAATACAATAACTTTTGTTTAGTAAGGATAAAATTATAAGTTCAGAGAAAAAATGAAGGCTGAAATGTGAAAAAATAAGTTCATATGATTCTAATAATAATAATAATAAATTAAGTATTGTCAAACGCGTCACGAGAGTTGTAAGCGGATATGCCGCTTGTAATGAACCAGTTGGCAAATTAGTTATTGAAAATTTTTTATTTTGCTTTTAAAGTAAATTACACATCATCAAAATTTCCTAGATGGGAATACAGTAACGTATATAGAAAATGATTAAATAAAAAAGTTACGTCTATTTATCCTGCTATAAAATGACTGATTCATGACACTTTAAATCTAAACCAAAGTTCAATAATAATAAATGTTTAAATTCAATAAAATCTTTTATAATTTAACCTCATATAAGGGGAAACAATGAGTTAAAAGTCAAATACTTTCGTTATATTCTTTCTATTTTAAAATCTTACCTATTTTTAAAAAGTTTATTTTTAATTGAGGAAAATAATTTTTGGGAAATTGTTCTTCTATTTACGATTAATGTTATCAAAATAAGCATTATGGTTAAGGTATTAAAACCACCTTTTAACTTAAAACTAAAAAAAAAATATTTGAATACTAAAAAGGTGAGTATAATTTTTTTAAAAAATTAAATAATATAAATATAATACTTAAATAGCATCAATAAAACTCATTGGATTAAGAAATCCATTCACTTATAAATTAAGTACTTAAACAATCTGATTAACTATATTAAAGCTCAGAAATTAATTCTTTGATCAAATTTAAGTTAATTCAATACATCGTTCACTTGCATGGTACATATTTAATTCTCCTTTAATAAATTTTTATATTTGAGTTGAAATTTAGTCTCGATTTGTTGTAGATGTTTTTGTTTTAAATAAAATTATTTTTCAGAAAAAACTATTTATTGTATTAACAGAAACCTTAATTAAAACAAAAAACAAATTTTTTTTCATCATTCATTTCAAATATAGACGTGTTTACACATCATAATTATGTGTAAAAAACAATAACAATTGCCACTTTTAAATATTAATGGTTAGAAAATTTTAACTTTAAATTATTTGCTTAATTAACATTTGACACTCAAACATTAGGTTATCTTTAGTTATTTCATTACAACTTTTATAATTCCGTCAAACAAATTAAATAAAAATGCATCTCATATGCATGCACGGGCACTAATATAAATATTATTGAAATGTATAAAAAAATTGATTATATATTTTTTATTAAAACTTTTTCAAATTTTTTAATTAAAACTGAAGATACTAAGATTAAAATTAATAAATTTTGTAAATAAGTAAAATAATGTTTTTTTTTTCTATTTTATACATATACGTACAATTTTATCTATTTCAGATTAATATATATGTTTATAATTTTTGTATTTGCAAAATAGTATTTTTGAATTTATTAAAATTATTGCACTGGTGTTATTTACGTTAAAAATAATCATAAATATTAAATATAAAAAATTGAAAGATTGAAGAATATGGGAAAATTAAGAAAGACATAAATGGGCATAATAAATCATAATACAAATATCATACATTGATTTTTCTTGGTCTCATTTCATTTTATCGATTTTGTTGTCATTAGATCTCTAGTTAAGTTTAAATAAACTTTTTTTTTATTAAAATAAAGTATTGATTTTATAATTTTTATTTTTAATTATTTAAACCTAAATTCCATGCGTTTATGTCCAATCATAGAATGAAAAATAGTATGAAAATGTTCTCTCTCCTTTAAAATTATAGTTCCATAGGATATTATTGCAGCGCCCAGCCCAACACGCAATGGTTATTTACTTTTCATGATCGATCGTTGGATAAAAGCATGGAAAAACAAATGAATTTTTTTGATATATTTTTTACTAATTTTATGAAAACGGCATTGAAACGTAAAGTGAGTCGTCTGAATGATGATTCCTTGACGCCTAACTGATTCCGATCGGGGAGGGGGTGACGTGCAGAGCAGTGAGAGAGCAACAAAGACAGGTGTCCACTAGCGAGTCTCTGTTGCAAAAAAAACAGGGGGCTCAATTTCATTACATTACCTGCTTTACTTTTAGATCCGACGAATAGGATCGCTACCTGTGCTGTTTTCTATACGCCTTTCATTGTCTTAGTACTGCCCTATAGTACTAGTTTTTTATATTTTAAGAAAAAAAAAACAAAAAGGAAAGAAAGAAGGAAGGAGCTCACCTCTACATGTTGCAACGAGTGACCCATGTCCCTTTCTCCATCTGTGATACTTGAAACACACCATCCAAGCCAAGGTCATTTAACTAGGTATGAAAATGGAATTATGGATCTGTGATCCATCCTGTCCTGTCTGACCTGCCTCATCAATTTATTACACTTATGCTTAGGGTTAGGGGTCCTGATTTTGGTATTACAGTGGTTAAGCTGATCTATCTATTAAAATAATAATATGCGGCGACCTTATTTGCTTTTTCAGGCTGATTGATTTCGAGAGTAACTGAACAATGAGTGGAGCTGTTCTTGTGGCTGTTGCTGCTGCCATCGGTAACTTACTGCAAGGATGGGATAATGCGACTATTGCAGGTCTGTTTCCGTTATTTTACTCTTTTTTTTTTTTAGGATTTGATTTATTAATTTGTTTCTTCCATGTAGCGATTAATTAAAATTGGTTGATCTAGCTAATAACCTGATAATTCAACTGCGGTTATCGGTGTGTTTGCATGCAGGATCTATCTTGTACATTAAGAGGGAGTTTCAATTAGAGAGTGAACCCACAATTGAAGGTCTAATTGTGGCTATGTCACTTATTGGAGCCACCGTGGTTACTACTTGCTCCGGGTCCCTATCAGACTTGCTAGGCAGGCGTCCAATGTTGATTATCTCCTCTGTCCTTTATTTTGTTAGTTCTATTGTGATGCTTTGGTCTCCAAATGTTTATATCCTCCTCTTTGCTAGACTTTTAGATGGTTTGGGAATTGGTTTGGCAGTTACCTTGGTACCTCTTTACATATCTGAGACAGCTCCTCCCGAGATTAGGGGATTACTCAACACACTTCCACAGTTTACTGGTTCTGCTGGAATGTTTTTCTCCTACTGTATGGTGTTTGGGATGTCACTAATGAAGGCTCCAAGCTGGAGACTTATGTTGGGTGTTCTGTCAATCCCCTCTGTTATTTATTTTGCACTCGCACTATTTTTCTTGCCCGAGTCTCCAAGATGGCTTGTTAGTAAAGGCCGTATGCTTGAGGCCAAGAAGGTTTTGCAGCGCCTTCGTGGAAGGGAAGATGTTTCTGGTTAGTCACGTGTTTCTTTGTCACAATTTACTTGCTTTTCCTTCATTTTTTTATGCTTCACTACTTTGGATGTTCATATTAGATCTTAGCTGGTCAGGATGTGCTGGATAGTCAGTTATTCACTTATGGGTGATTATATTTGTATTTTATGAGCCTAACCCGTTCCAGTTGGTAAATTTGTTTTACTGTTCAGTTCTGATGGATAACAAAAATGACACTGGACGATAGATTGTTATCACAGTGTGATCTATCAGTGAATGAATTTTTCGTGTAAGAGCATGTTTGCATTAGATTAAAATTTCTTTTATTATAATTTCAACAAAGGAAATCACTTTTTGATTGTGAGCAAAATTTTGAAACTTATGTTTAAAAGCTAACAGTTTTTTTTTTTTAACTAACTTTTGTTTTCACATTTTATCCCTAACAATTTATTATTTTAATATATATAACCAACTGTTTCCAATAACCTCATTGCCTTCTTTGTAATTTTACTTAAAAGAGCAATTTTTTTAAATGATCCAACGGTATTATGCTTTATACAAAAATAACAATGTGATTTCAAATATTTAATGCATTCTTAAAGAGGGAATCATCTTTTTATTTTTTTTATTCTCATACAGATGCATGTAGTTGATTTTGATTTCTTTTGGCTTTTGACATTCCCAGAAACTTTAAATTGGTTGTTTTTAGTCTACTGCAATAATTACTATGTATATGCATAATTTTGATGATGATTGTCCTTGGGAATGGACAGGTGAGATGGCTTTACTGGTTGAGGGTCTTGGAGTTGGGGGTGACACAGCCATAGAAGAGTACATAATTGGTCCAGCCAATGAACTTGCTGATGAAGAGGATCCATCTAAAGAAAGAGATCAGATCAAGTTGTATGGGCCAGAACAAGGTCAGTCTTGGGTTGCTAGACCTGTCGCTGGACAAAGTTCTGTTGGCCTTGTATCACGGAAAGGAAGCTTGGTAAATCCGAGTGGTCTAGTGGACCCTCTAGTGACACTCTTTGGTAGTGTCCATGAGAAGCTCCCAGAAACAGGAAGCATGCGAAGCACCCTTTTTCCACACTTTGGAAGCATGTTTAGTGTTGGGGGAAATCAGCCTAGGAATGAAGATTGGGATGAAGAAAGCCTTGCCAGAGAGGGTGATGATTATGTATCTGATGCTGCTGCTGGTGATTCTGATGACAATTTGCAGAGTCCATTGATCTCACGTCAAACAACAAGTCTGGATAAGGACATACCTCCTGCCCATAGTAGCCTTTCAAGCATGAGACAAGGTAGTCTTTTGCATGGAAATGCGGGAGAACCTGCTGGTAGTACTGGGATTGGTGGTGGTTGGCAGCTAGCATGGAAATGGTCTGAAAGGGAAGGCCTAGATGGAAAGAAGGAAGGTGGTTTCAAGAGAATATATTTACACCAAGAGGGTGGTCCTGGGTCTATGCGTGGGTCGGTGGTTTCACTTCCTGGTGGAGAAATGCCAACAGATGGTGAGGTTGTACAGGCTGCTGCTCTGGTGAGTCAGCCAGCTCTTTATAACAAAGAACTTATGCATGAACAGCCAGTTGGACCAGCTATGATTCATCCATCCGAGACAGCTGCAAAAGGGCCAAGTTGGAGTGATCTTTTTGAACCTGGGGTGAAACATGCATTGGTTGTAGGGGTGGGAATTCAAATCCTGCAGCAGGTAATGATTTTTTAAACATCTGCTTTTTTCTTCCCCTTGTTCCCATCTGTTGCCGTGTTGTGCTTCAGTGCTTTGTTAGAAGTCTAATTGAGCTAGGGATTGTATTAGTTGTACTGTACTATAAAGTAACTGACCTAGATTAGTAGCAAAATTAGGCGATAGTGGTTTGTATCTAGTTCATGCAATTCATCTCAAACAGTCTCTTCTCGATTTTCCATAGCATCCATGCAGTTTATCTGAGTTTCAGCAAATGAGTTTATTTAGGCTTGCTGTGAAATTTTGAAGATAATTACTTTTTCAACTATTGGTTTATAGAGAAGTGAATTTTGAGAAAAAATAAAAATAAATTTGTGATGCATGGTATTTGAAAAGTTAATGGGGTGAAATTGTTTTAGTTGCTGTTAAATATAAAATCATTCATGTGCTTTCACCCAACAGCTTAAACAAGTCTTTTTTCAAATGTAAAATTAGTAGTGTGTGGAAGGGATTCAAGCCAACTTTCGTTGGATTTGAAAAATATCTTGAATCCTTTTTGGTAAGTGAAAAAAATTTACTTGATATTTTTATGAAACAATTATGCACATCAATATCCAGAATGAAATTGTGAATCCCAATTTAGATGAAATTGTTTTTTTGTTCACTACACTAGATTATTCCTACTATTATGTTTAGTTGATAGCATTGTAGGAATGTGACTAAATAGACAGTTCCTTTATAATACAACAAGAACAACTAGGCCTTGTCCCATTAGATGAAGTCAACTACATGGATCATATAGTGTTGTTGAGTTCGATCAAAACCAAATCCTCAGAAATATTATTGATCAATATATCATTTTAATAACTTCCTTCAAAGAGATCAAACATGTATATCTATATGAATTAATGGTATATGATATTAAATCCAACTTTTATGAAATTGTATAAAAAATTATCTGGGCATACTAGATTGTTATTGAATCCTGATTGAATTTCCTGTTTTTGATGGTGTAGAAAAGTAAATACCAATGAGATTGAAGATCTTTGTTCATTACCACAAAAAAGTCTTACTATTATATGTAATCAGTAACATTTCTATTTTATAAGAAGTTAACAAGAATCATTTGCATTGATGTTCTTGAATAACTTCTACTTTGTGGGTTTTGTTATTGGTAATGCAGAAAATATGTGTTAACACCAAGGCTGGGCCAATTTGTAAATTAAACCAAGCCTTGTTTTTTTAAATAATATGTGCTTTTTTTATTTGAAACTTATCTACTAGAAGGTGGAAGCACCATAGAGTGTCACAGGCTTGTGGTGTTCTATTATAAAAGAAAAAATTGCAAAAACAGAATTATTGATAAAAGTGTATCCGGCTTAGGAACAATTAACTCACTCAAGTGGCTGATTAAGTCAATAAATATTCATTAACCAATAATGCATGGCTCTTCTACTGGTGAAAAGTTATGATGGACTCTCATTTAACTCTGCATTGGATGCAGTTCTCTGGTATAAATGGGGTCCTCTACTATACACCTCAAATTCTTGAGCAGGCAGGTGTTGGTTATCTTCTTTCAAACCTGGGCCTTGGTTCTACTTCTTCATCATTTCTTATAAGTGCTGTGACAACCTTGTTGATGCTTCCTTGTATAGCTGTTGCAATGAGACTCATGGATATTTCTGGCAGAAGGTATTCTTCTCCCCCATACCATTTTATATCTACTTCTTACTCAAATAATAAGAAATATGTTTCATGAGGTGGATGTAGTTGGTGGGGGTTTTTCTTATGAAAGTATGATTTCTATTACATTTTTTCCTCTTTATTTGCTTTTCCAGAATCTTTCAGTTTAGGGCGCATATTTATGATAAGGTGGATTTGACCTTTTACTATTTGCTGTATCAAGTCTGTATGAGATGTTCATGGGATTTTTGCTTGTTCTCGTGCTGCTTTCTTTTCAATCCATTTTTTTTTACTTTCTCATGTCATGTATAAGGTACAATTTTTTACTTATTTCACTTTTGTCTAGGAGTTGTTTGATGAAATATCTTTTCTATGGCTATCTTGATCCATAAATAGTTATTCTTGTGTTCGGTTGCTTTAGTTTAGTGATTCTTGCTGTTATCAAAGCGTAATGTGGGGTTTTTATAGACTGACAATCTCATTCATGAGAGATTTTTGACATTGTTTTCTGTATAATTTGAGAGGCATCCGAAGATTCATGACTAGGTAAATGCGTGTGAACCATATGCACTTTATATTTGCTGAACTATTTGTTCTTTGTTTTGTGCTATCCGTACCCAGTAATGTGATTCCTAGTGTATTTCCCGAGTTCTTGTTTGTCTTCTTCCATTTGCAGTACTTCTTAGTGATATGCTCTGTTTTTTCCTTCCTGCAGAACTTTGCTGCTCAGTACAATCCCGGTCTTGATAATATCTCTTCTCATATTAGTCCTGGGGAGTCTTGTAGATTTGGGCAGCACAGCAAACGCATCAATCTCAACCATTAGTGTTATTGTCTATTTCTGTTTCTTTGTCATGGGATTTGGGCCGATTCCGAATATACTTTGTGCAGAGATCTTCCCCACTCGAGTTCGTGGTCTCTGTATCGCCATATGTGCTCTTACCTTTTGGATCTGTGATATCATTGTCACCTACACACTCCCCGTTATGCTTAATTCTGTAGGCCTCGCTGGTGTTTTTGGTATTTATGCAGTCGTGTGCTTCATAGCTTGGGTGTTTGTCTTTTTGAAAGTTCCAGAAACCAAGGGCATGCCACTGGAAGTGATCATTGAGTTCTTCTCTGTCGGAGCAAAACAGGTTGACGCTGCCAGGCATAACTGACTTAAGGATACGATAAATTGAAAGTTTTGACAGTACCTTCTAATTATTTTCAATCTACGGCTTTGTTTGAAAGTTTTTTCTCTTTTAATTTTTCCTTTTCTATTAATCTCTCTTTTCCGTGGGTTGAGATTGAGAAAAAAAGAAACACTGTTTCTGTAAAAAACGTTCACTTTTCTGGTTAATTTGTGGGACTTGATATGCTGCTTAGTTACCCTGCTATTCGAAGTCGAAATTGTTTATTGACCTGCTTTATTGATGGAATACATGACAAAGATGACTAGTGTTTGGTTTCAAGATTTGGGGATAGCTACAACAATCATTGTAGTAACAATTATACATGATAATCGTTGTCACTATCTACTCGAGTAGTATGTTGATGAATAACATAGAATATGAGTTAATATTAGATCATGTATGCACTATCTAAGTTTAGTTTTCGTGGTCTTGTATTCTCACTTGTGGTATGTTCTCTCCCTCTTCCCTTCCCCCCCTCCCCCTCTCTATATATAACTTATGATTTATATAAATTTATACACTAATATCACTTAATAATTTTTTTATAGAATATAAGATTGATCTTGTTAGTTTAATGTTATTTATCAAGTAAATTAACTAAAAAAGTGTAAGTGAATATTTTTAACGCATGATCTCAATATATATATATATATAATATGTTGGAAAGTTTTTTTGATGTGAGAAAAAAAAAGATTGACCATTAAGATAAAAAAAAATGTTATATTTAACAGGAAAAACTTTTTTACAGGAGTGAGAGGAGAAAATTTTACTTAAAAAAATTACACGATTTTTTAAAAATTTATATAATTTACATGTTTTAATTTTAATTATTTATAATAAGATTTCATAATCAATTTTTTTTGTTCACATAAAAAGAATCTTATTTCACCCATTGCCAGGGATTCAACCAGCTTGCTTTCCTGTCTTGGCTAGAATCCTTCCACTCTTTCTCCTACAGGCCACTCATGGAGTCTAGCTCTACCTATTATATATATGGGAAGTAGATGAAGCCATGTCCTTATTCGCCAACTACAGCAAACCTGTCTTAAGCATAGTGCCAGTAGGAAGAAGCCTGTACATGGGATTGGATCCGATGTTATGAACCACTGCCTTGCCTCATTCCATTGCTGTGCAGTGGCAGTACGCACCATTGCCGTTGTCCCCACAAAACAACTTCCCACCCAAAATAACACCAAGACCCTGTTATATTTGAGTTAGGAAGTTCGAATCAAATTATTTTTAAACTGCTAAATTATTAAAAAGAATTAATTTGATGGTTAAAAAATTAATTTAGATTTTTAAACGAATTGATGTTGCATTTTTATTTAATGTTATTTTCTAGCTAATTTTAGTATTATATTAATATTTTTAGTTTATTAATTGTAAAAAAAAGACACATCAAGTTAAATGAAAAATATATTTCATTAAACTAAAATTCAAGTTATGTATTCAAGTATGGACGTTAATGACTATTCTTCTTGAAAATACACCATGGGGACAAATATTATCGTTGTGCCCATTATCATTTTTATAATACAGTTCAATTCTGTATATAAAATAATTATTAATATTTTTTCTTCTAAAATATAAGAAATAAATACTATTTTTAAATACATTAATTTTTAGATTCTTTTTATATCTTTATTTATTGTGAATTTTGTGTTAACAAGTTACTCACTTTTTATTTATATAGATATCAATTAATACTATGAGTATTTTTGGAATAGAGTATAAATTTATGATATTTAACTATTTTTTAATAATCTTGATTAATTAGGTATTTGTCTTCGATAAATAAGATTGGCTATATCTACAACGCTAAATCCCTATATTTGCATTCAAAGCCTAAAACATACTTACCCACAATTTTTTAGATACTAATGTGATGCAAATAAATAAATTAATAATCGTAATTTTAATTTACCTTTCATTTTGTTTATCAATGGGTGCAAGAAAATTTGAGTGGAAAAATAAAAATAAAATTAAAAAATGAAAGGAGAAAAATGTAAAAAATGATTATGAGAAGAGAATAAAGAGGTCATAGAATAACTTTGAACTTTAAAATACTAGCATTTTTTTTTAGTTGTTGATAAAATAGAGTGATGCACTTACAGTTTTCTATTATTAAAGTATCAATATTTGAAAGATTAAAATTCATACGAGTAAAATAATAAAAATTAGTATCTAATAAATAAATTATAAAGAGCACAATCAAATCATAAACACTAATTATTTACTTTACAACAAGCATGCCTTTTAATGTAATAAAGAGAAGGAAAGTGCCTTATTTGCCAGTTTAGCACATGCCAACCATGTCTATGAATTTAAAAGAAATAAATCTTTATTGATTTATAATTTCGTATTTCGTAACGTATATCTTTTTTATGTTTTTTTTTTTTTTAATTATAACCCACTTGAAGTTTAGGTTAAAATGAACTGGTTTTTTTTCTTTACCTAATTCAACTACAATTTTAGATTTATTGATCATCGTTTTAATTGTAATTATGACTTATTCAACTCAAACTTTGGGAGAATAATGATACAAATAAAAAAATGCATGACAAATAAGAAAAATATGAAACGATAAAGTGCAATTTAACTCAAGTGTAGGAAATTGTACAAAATATATTTTATTTAAAGTTGGACTTGATTTTTCTTCACTTTCGTCAGAATTTTATTTTTGTATGCACAAAGAAACAAGGAGTATCCCCAGCCACGAACAGCCTCTCTCCCAAGGGGTTATCTCCGCCTAAAAGCGGGATCTTTTTCTCTTTATGGTGTTTTCTTTTGAGTTTTTTTCTTTCTTCTCCTTTCTCATTTCTTTTTTACTTTTGCTCTTCATTTTCATCTTTTTTTTCCCCATTACCATCCATTTAAACTTCATTATGATTTTCTTCTGTTACCTGAAGTCGGGCAACACTATCATCCTTTACCTCCAACGGCTAAGATTGTCTCTAGTGTTTTTAATGATCTTTTTGGCTACTCAACTGAAAAATAGTTATAATATTGGCACAGCCAGTTACACTATCATAGAGTAAAAGGAAGAAGAGATAGCACAAGATGAAAAAGTAAGAGAAGGAATTTGTCTAGCTAAGACTTTGCTCTTGCCATAACAAATAAGTCGAAAACATTTGGTTTATTTGAATCTATCGAGATTTTTATGTTTCTGTTTCTATGCTTTTTGAGGTTTCACGCCAATCGAATAGAACTAAATTATCTAATCAAATATAAAATGCTATTAATCGAAACGAATTAAATCTTATTTAATGTTGTATTTAAGTTGTTCCAAATCAAATCACTTTCTTTTTTTGTTCAAATCAAACTTTTTTTACATATCCAAATTAAACTTTAAATACTCTTACTTTTATGCATACCAGATTTTTAAAAAAGTTAAATTAAACCTTTAAAAGTGGATAGATAAGATGGGTTGAAGTCTTAAATTTAGAAAAGATGTTAGGCTCACACCGTTTCAAGTCTATCCTAGTTCAACTTATTTTCACCCCCTAAATAGTCACACGCCCATTCTTTCAGAACTAATTCCGCATAGAATTCCGATCAGGAATGATCACAAAGTACACATGAAATAACTTCGAAGTGAAAAACTACAATACCCTTAAAATTAGACCTTTTCCATCACTAGGACATGAATGAAGAATAAGAATATGAGACTCCCATGACCTTTCTAGGGCCCCACTAAGTCTGCACCATAAGACAATTTCAATCTCAACAAGATACATGGGATGATGGCCATAATTTTATCCCTTCTCATTTTCGTATGCATTTGTAACACTTACAGCGCAGACTATAGCCTGTTTTAAGCAGTGGATTTGACAATGGAAGTATCCACATTATCATGTCATTTTAGGCTCAATATCAATAACTCAGCAACTCTTCCATTGATGTCTGAAAACAAGAATATGTTTCTTCCTCATCCAGCATTTTCAATCTGAAGTAACTTCAAAGATTCTGGACCAACAAGGAATATACGCCGTGTATGATATCTGAAAACAACTACTCCTTTATAGGCTGTCCTGGGTACACCATCCTGGAAATGGACGAATGCAGCAAAATAATGTAGGATAAAATTAGATCTATACATGAAGAGAAAGGGTGAAGTTCATGTGATATGAGAAAATAGATGGGGTCTGTTAGGTACGGCTACATATAATCAACATGCATGTGCAGATGTATGTAACCAATAATATTTTCACCTGCAGGCCACACAATTTAAATGTGTTTCTCAATTGTGAGTTCAAGCTTTGATTCAGAACAATGCATTTACTATTTACCATTCTACCAAATTGACAAACCAAGCGAATGGAAAACTTTAAAGGCTTCCTTATATAAATGAACTGATCCATTTGTGATGGTTAACTGCCATAGCATTGCCTGACTTCTGATAAGGATCTCACAGCCGTCTAATACATAAAGACATGAGATTTTAACATAGTTTTTTGTTTCAAATTTCTTCCAGGACTCGGACTAGGATGGTTGCATTCTGAAACTAGTCCAATGTATACTCTTCCACGGTAGATTGATATTAGGCATTGAAACTTGGGACTCTCCATTGTGTATTATAATGCATAGTAAAGAACAAAAATAGTTGAATTACCTTCCACTCTTGAAATATACCAAATTGACGAGCAATGTTTTCAAAGTCTGACTGATCTTTATATTTAATGCGCACATCGCCATCTATGTTATATGCCTTTAGAACCATGTCAGCTCCATAGACAGGTTTAGCTTTCTTTACGATATTTGCAAAGTGCACAGAATATTTATCCTGGAAAAGAGCACACCAAAATTCACATGCTACTACAGCATTCTTGTACATGAATATTTAGCACAAACACAACACAGCATCTCACCTCCAGTAAATAGCTCAAGTCCATTGACTTCCAATCAACCTTCCAACAATCCAAGGTAATATAGCATCATTCTAATATAAGAAACATATTAAGACTATTTTTTCGTAAAACATGTATAGCTACCTGGACTTCATTCAGCTTGATTGGCTCTAGATATTGCTTAAAAAACTGTCCCAAACTAGAACCCTGCAAAAGTTCAAGACTATTTAAAATATGCATGAACAAAACCCATGTACAAGGATTCTAGAGAAAATGAGAAGTGAAACAGCTAAATAGAGAAACAATGATATCTGTTTTATCTTTTTATTTCTCTCTAAATCATTTTAAAGAATGGAAGGATAAGCTACACTAAGGACAATGCAATATTCTCCCAGAAAAATAAAACAGCAGAAAATACAAGAAATGACACTAAGGAGAATGGGCAGAAAAGCCACCAGAAACCTTTGACTAAACACCATTAAGAAGCTAGACAGATAGATATCAGAGCTTGATTCTTGTTAAAAGATCTAGATATACACCATAAAGAAGCAAAGATTCAACAAAATAAAATCTTATCCTGAAGGAAACATCATGAAGTTTAGTTATTGAATATGCAAATTGATAAACAACACTTGGGAAAAAAAACCTTAAAAGAAGGAGAATAAGAACTGAATATGGTTTTCCTCATCCTGAGTACAAGGTGATTATGCTAATATATAGGGAGACTAATCCAAATATTTACTGGCTATAATCTTCTTGCCATTATAACAGTTAAGAAAGGAGATAAAATTACGAGAAAATAAATCTGTTCAAACGAAAAACTAAAAATAATGAAGAAAGGAAAGGATATTATGTCCTCCAATAAAATTGTATTCTACACCGTGGATTACCCACGGAGGTATGCTGTCTGTAAAACAATTAATGCCTATTTTATTTGTATAAGAATAAAACTCAGTTTTTGAGGAAAAGCATGATTTAGTTGATAGCATCAATGGAGTTTTAAACCAAAAAAACATAAAAAAAACTCTGGGCAAATGACATTTGGCAATGGATTTTAATATGATCGATATCATATGACAAGCTCAGTATTCACTCAGCATGTGCAACTTTGCAAGTAAATATGAAGCGTATCATGCAGCACAAAATTATTATATTTTTTACTGGACCAATAAATATTCATTAAATTACAAGGTTCAGAAGATACAAGCTCAAAACTTTCTAAAGAATATAACTATGTAAAGAAGGTCAATCAAAATTACATTTAGCAAACTTACATGCTCGCCAAAATTATATGTTCTGCATACTTCTGGTCGGATAAACTGTCGTCCTTTGTGATTCTCTTTCAATCTCAACCAGTCATCCCAGTAAGTGAAATTTTGTCAAAGAAAAAATTATGTACATACATCATTTTACTGAGATTAAACAAGGGTGAGAAAGCCTATTAGAAAATTCACTGTGAAGGAAAGATTAACACTTGACATGACTCTTTTGTACAATTTATTGGCTTAACCAACTGCTCCAAATGGTTATTAGTACACCTTCATGATAAATATTTTTACCAAGAGTGCCTTATTTGGAAACTGTCCAATAAACGAATATGGCAGACAAACAAGATTAATTACTGAAATATTAAGGATATGCTTTTGGCCATTTTGGTGATAGCTCATCCCATGTAGATTTAGCCAGCATCCATCCTAGTCCAGGAAAGAAATCTGAGCGATAAAGTTCATCTGCAGATTAGATGAAACAAAATTGATCAGAATAGTAACATTGATCTTCCCAAACATCCTAATATTTTCAGGAACCAAAATTTCCTTATGAATGCATTACACCTAGCAATAGAGTGATCTCATGTTTAGAAACTCATTTCTTTGTATGTAAGATTACTGGATGGGTTGATAAAATCAAATAAATATGCATTGAAATTTTTGGAGATCCCAAATTATCTATAAATTTTGCCAGAGTAAAATTTATAAAGTCAAGGCAATCCTTGCCTTATAAGTTTACTTTTACGGTTGATTTACGCCTAAGCTCAAATTTAAGATGGTATCAAAACCTATATAAATCCAATTGTTAAGATTAATGTAAATAAATAGGGTAACTATATAATTACATGATTCTAAAACACTGTAGATCATGAATTTATTATGACTTATTATTATAAATGTTGGGTCAGAGTATCGAGGGAGTCTACATATTCAGGATTAGGTCACCACAAAACTTAAGGCAATAGGTTGTGAGACACCACCTCTTATATACTAGTCACAATCACTAATATTAGACAATATGAGACCTCTTTTACTTGACTCAACAATAAATGGTAGTTCCATTATATATTCTAAACACATGGATTCATTCTATGCTTTTTCGTTTCTCTCTTTCTCAACAAGACAATAAGAGTCTAATGAGACAGTATGCAACCCAACTCTGACTAACCCACCTTCATTGATGCTTTGACACGCCCTCACAGTGACACAACATTGTGCTGTTCCATCAACATTGTCATCTTGCATAGCGGCACATTCAATCGTTTCTCCATCCGCCGTTCATGTCAGCAACGTCACCACCATGTTTTCTCCTCAAATCTACAGTTGCTTTGCTCAATAATTGGTCCTTTGTCCCATGTTTGGCATTTTTTGTACAATTCACGACCTTCTTCTCTTTTCCACACTGCCCATGGCTGCTTTTCACCCCCCCCCCCTCCCCCTCCCAAGGCTAAACTTGTCATCTTTATCATGTCACGACTTCTCTCTTTATAAGCAATTGGATGATAAAAAATATGCTACACAGGCTTCTAATATTTGTCTTTGGCTTCTCAAACATAATTACAATAAGCATCTTACCACAAAGGTTGAAACTATTACTAAAGTTGATCATCCTTGTTAGAAGAAGATTGATGCCCAACTTGAATGCATACTTAAGGCCACACTTCATCCCTCTATTTAGCCTATTTCCCATGGCCACGAGACATTACATGTCTCATGGGCATAAGTTGAGTTCCTATATACCAATAACACTTAATGGCCTTATGGGTTTTGTCACAACCTTGTGACAACTATTGATGATTGCTTTCTTGATGACTCTATGACTATCTACCTAGGTTGTATCTTTGGTCTTTGCCATGATTTTAACGAAATCTTATCTCCTGTTGACAAAATTGGCAAGGAGCTAGAGCAATACTAGCAATTCTAGCCTTATATGATTTGCTTGAGACTTATTCTAATATTTGCAATCAGATCTTAGGATGTCTCACTGTTTCTACTATAGACACTATTTTGGTCCACCCTACTCCGTGTTCTAAATAAGACATCTTTGAGGTTGCTCCTCCTCTTGTGGACTCCTTTGCTTTGGTGTCTCACCAAGGTGAATGTACTCATTCTTGTAAACTAAGAAAATCTCATCTTAAGTGTAACCATGGTCATAAGCCTAGTCACATAATTGATCGTTATTATACACTTCATGGCTGCCCTCCTTGTGTGGCTAATGTTGTTCACATTACTTTGTAGGTCCTTTTTGACTCTGCTAGCTTGTTGCTTGCTCCTTAGACACAGTCTATTTCGTATGATAACTCTCTGAAGTGGTGTAAAACCTATAAGACTTCCAGTTCTACTATATTGATGGTGCAAATTGATAACTTTTCTGCTAACATCTCATTCTCCTCTGACTCCTTGGTTCTTGATTTTGGAGTCACCGATTACATTAGTAATAATAATTTTTTTTCTTTACTAATTCCTTTTATGATTCTTAATCCCCTACCATTATGGCTAATGGTTCACAAACATGACCTTAAAGTATTGAGACTGTATATTATTTTCCTTTCTATCTCTATTGATAATGCCTTTTATGTCCCTAAGTCCCCTTTTAATCTATTCTCTATTCATTGTCTTACCCGTGCATTATTTCATTTATAAAAAATTTTATTACTTCGCAGGACTATAGTCTGAGAAGGATGATTTTTGAATGAGTTCTAAGGTTTGTACCAACTATAACAATTCTCTCATATGGTTTAGTGGTGGACCTTCAACTCACAGTTCAAGCTCAATTAGATCTTTCCAATCTTGCCAACTTGAAGCAATTAGTGATAAGTCTCTTCAAGTTGTCTCTTCTTTATATTATAAGTCGTATTAATTAGATAAACATGTTTGTAGTTCATTTCCTAGTTGTGTCTATAGTTGAACTTCATTTCCCTTTTTTGTAGTTCATTCAAATGTCTAAGGTTCTAGTTGTGTCATTTCTATTTTAGGGTCAAAATACTATCACTTTCATCAATGATTTGTCACAATTTATTTGGCTTTATTTAATGAAAGGCCATTTTGAGTTATTTTCTATCTTTCAACCATTTTATGATAAAATAAAAACTCAACTTTTTGTTTCCATTCGTACTTTACAAGGTGATAATACCAAAGAATAATTGTTTTTCTCCTTTCGTAGTTTCATGGCTTCACACCAAATTCTTCATCAAACATCTTGTCCCCATGCCCCCTAGTGATGTGGGGTAGTTGAACTTTAAAATAAACATCTCTTTAAGATTGCTCGCACCCTCTTGCTTTACGCTTATGTTCTCCATTGTTTCTAGAATGATGCTATTAAGATATTCCACATTGATTAAGAATAGAGTCAGAATACTCCTTATAAGGAATAAAGCAGTCCTTCTCCTATGAGCTAACTTTTGAGAGTGAGTTAGGCTTAAGTTTCTGAACATACTATTAGAGCCTATCCAGTTTGAAGTTGAGCTACCCACAGATGTCCAGTCCTGTTGAGTCACCCGTGCAAATATCAAATCCCGCAAATTTCACATATCAGATATTCAGTCTTGAGCATGAAAGGGGTGTTAAGATTGTCTCCTTAGATCAATGGTTCCACCTATTTTGTTCACCTTAGTTTTGGGCTTAACAAACTCTTTGCTGGTTCCTACAAATATCACCCTATTATAGTTTTGAAATTATGTAAACAGCATCCTTTGTTGATGGCAAGATGGCATGACCCTTTTTTGATGGTATTGCACTGTATTTGCTAACATAGAGAGAGTATGTGGCAGTACTACAAGCCACCAAATCAACCTTTATCTATTTGCTAACATGGAGGGAGTATCTGGCAGTGCCACAAGCCACATAATCAACCTTTATCTTAGCAAAAGATTATGCAGGGTCTAATAATTACATCAATTTGAAATCCATAATGCTAAAGATTACTGAAATTGGAACTCATGAGATCAAAACCTTTTCAAAACTATAAGGATCCAAAATTACAATCTATTCAAAATAAAATAGTGTTAAAGAAAATAGTCAACATAAAATAATTACATCTTAACACACCCTCTCACGCACAGGACTGGACATCAAACAGTTTCAGACGGGTTCGGGCTAAAATTAAAAATCATTGCAACCCAATTATATAAAATTGTATGCCAATTTTGTCTGAATGAATTGTCGAGTTGATCTGGTATCAGGTTATGCAAATTTCGGGTTAAGCGAGTGGGTTGATTCGGGTTATAACAAAAATGTCTAGAAAACCCGTCTTCTTTGTTTTCGCCAGTTCCACTATTGAAAACTAAAACCATAACCATATCCACTGATGACAAACTCCAATAGTGATGTTAGAGCTGTCAAAACAGGCAGCCCAGCTCGATCTGACCCGGCCCGATACTGGTAGCGGGCTCAAATGGGTCGGGCTTAATTAGCCCAAGGTAAAAATGGGCTTATATTTTTACTGCCCAAGCCTTATCCTATGTGGGCTATGACCTTCTGTGGGCTGACCCGACAACTCAAATAATTATTTTATTTTTTTATTTTTGTAACGTCATTTTTTTTACTGTTTTTATAACAACAAATTATTATTTTTATTGCTATTTTTAGTGTTTGTAACATACCATATTAAGTTATTTTTGCAAAAACTTAATAGACCACTCATTTTTTATGTCTAATTTTTGTATTATACTATTTATTTGTTTTCTTTTTAAGTTGTAAAAATTCGCTGGTTTCTTTTTTTTTATTATTTTTGTAGCGGTGCAAAAGTATATAATTTAGACTTGTAATTTTAGAGTTTTGAAACTAAAATATATTCCCTTTCAAATTCTTTAAAACTCTGGGTTTAATCTCAATATATATATATACGGGCTACTTGGACCTGCATGGACCAACTCGGTTAAAGCCCTATCGGGTACCAGGCTTATTTGGACCGGACCAAAATAGCCCAAGGTAATTTTGAGCCTTATTTTTTAGAGCTCAAACCTGCCCATTTAACGGTTTTTTGGGCCCAATCCATCGGGTCATCCCATTTTTTCGACTCTAAGTGATGCCCATTTTGCCAGCATGTATAACACCAGCCCACCACTCAGAAGGAGTTAAAGTCATGAGTCAATGATTATGATTTTCTGAAGGAACTATGACACAATCAAAGAGAAAACACAGGAAGGTGAGACCGTGAAGATTAGGGTTCTAAGGAAGTTGAGTTCAGTTTGAAAAAGTAAATTTTGATGGAAGAAACATTGGAATCAAAGTGGAATAGAGTTAAGACCATAAACCAATCGAATGCAGATAGTGGTGGAAGCTAAGGAAAGTAGGTTCGGTTTACTGGGATTTGCTTGGATCAAAACAAAAAAGAGGAAACTGTTTTTTATGACCCAAATACCCTTGAACATTGATCTTAAGTACCTTAGACTAAACTACGAAGCTGTCCTTTTTTATATGGGAATCAGGGTGGCTTTAAATTATATATATAAGCCCATATGTGAATATTTCTCTCAGTTGAATTCGGGTACCAACAATTTCAAATTTTTACAACTGCAGTCAACCAAATTTTACTGAATAGCCAATAAAATATGTCTATCTAAAACCATCGGTATAAAACTTAATTTTATTACTTCTTCTATGGTTCGGCCTTATCAGTTATATACGAGTGTACTATTTTTGCTCACTCCTAGGACTGGATCTGGTATGTGAAATTTGCAAGACTAGATATTTGCAGGTGGCCCAACAAAATTATACATTTATGAGCAGCCCAACGTGAAACATCTTAACAAGTTTCAATGCTAAAACAATTAATTTCCATTACTGACGGAAGATTTGGAACAACTCTAAAATGATGAATAAAAGGTAATTCTTACTTGTAACTTCTACATACGCTTATGGCTCAATTATAATCGGATGGTGTTGAAAAATGATCCGATAATAATATATTCCATAGTATGGACAATAAATCATGACTAGAAATGTAGATATTCATCTATGTATGAGTGTGAATAAATTTTTTTAGAAAGAAAGATCAAAAGAAGGATGGATTAAGTGTCCTCCTTAAACAAAGCAATGGAAGAAAACAAGACTTCAGCCCAGTTGAGATTAACATATTGATAACTAATTATAGGAGACAGAAATAAGAAAGTAAAATGAATCAAACTTCTCCCATAAGTTAAAATTAACTTATGTTCCTCTATGACTTTAGAAACTCTTTCATTTTAACATCCTGAAAACATAGAGTGCATAAGTAAATTTTACCTTATGAGAAAGTTCTATTCATTTTACCACTTTATTTTCTTTTCTTGTAAGTACTTTCAAAATTTACTCAAATGAGCCTGGACAAACAATGACATAAAGCAAGAGTGATCTCAAGTCCTTCTGCCCATCTAACAAACAGACGTCCTCAAACAGACCATATATCGAAATTCAAATAGAGGTTCAAAAGGGAATTCTGAGCATCAAAAGTTATAATTTTGTGTTTGGAAATTCTTTTACTGGTGCTTTAAGACAATTTTCCGCATCAAAAGTCAAAGTTGTGTTGTTAACTTTTTTTCTACTAGTTCTTAGGGGATGCTTTTTGAAGCCCACAAAACTGGGCTATTGTACAGTTGCCAAACAACTTTACCCTGCTGTCATCAGCCAAACCTTCTAAAACTAATCAAAGGAGATTACACTCTGCAGTATGAAGTAAAAAAAACACCAAAAATCCTATTAAAAAATTATCTGTTGATGGAAAACATGAAATGAATGTGCTGAAGTTTTCAAATATGAATGTCACAAGTACCTGACTTGATAGACAAGTTCTATACAAGTTATCCATGAGAAGCACAAACGAGTACCAATAGATGTAACATGTTTCCAGGAGCACAATGAAACAGGGAATTGGAAAGGGAGAGCCAGAGAAGAAAAGGCATTCAAACAAAAAACTAGTCCCATCGATATTAACAAATTACAATTATTGTAAATGAATGAGTTGTCTCAACTCTACAATGCTATTTAATTCTAGATGATCTATCCATGTGTCCTACAGTGATATGAAAACCACATGGCCAGAATTTTAAAATCCAGTTTTCCACGAGTATTATAAATATAAAAGAAATGAGGCATTCAGACATAGAATTGAACAAACTTACATGGATCATGTACAAACTGCTTTTGTCCATTGTCATTCCATGAGGAAACAGCCATAATGGACCTAGAATAGATGAATTATAAACAGAGATCCTGTAGTCTTAAAACAAGTTTAGAAGATATAAATTGAGCATTCTGCTCTTGTTGAACACATACTTATCCTTGTCAAGGAGAGTCACAGCAGCTTCAAAATAATCAAAAAAATCAGGTGCTATCTCCATGTCATCTGAGATTGAATAAAGATGTTCTAGCAGCTTGCATATGTTTTTACCAATGATATAAGAGAAAGAATACATAATGTTGAAAATATATAGCCCATTTCACCTTCAAGGATGATTACTCGACTGAAGTTATGCTTGTAGAACAGTTGATCTAGAGCCCATTTATAATGACCTAATAAAGGCATCAAATGAATATTCTTTTTATATGGAGAAACAAGACACATGAAAACAATGAAGAAAATTCTTACTTGCAATTTTGTAGTAAGCAATTAATTCTCCTGGCTGTTCAGTTTGAACTGGTTCAAAATTCAAGTGCTGCATCAAACTATTATTATTAGTACAGAGAACCTGAAATCTTGTGTTGAGCAGAGTTTTGGTTCAACACTAACTAATGTGCTGAAACCAAAATGACACCCTTTAAGGCCTTATACGACCAAGATCCTCCAATTCTGTCAAAGGGGACTGGCATTCCTTCTAAAGTGGAGGAAGTAAATAGACTACTTCAGCAGCAGGATTAGTTTTTTATGGAATTGTGGGATAATCCATTGATTGAAGGCCCAAGATCATATGCAGGTGAAATCTAACAAACACAGAATGCCTCCTGAATTTCAGCTGGGTGACCTGGTTTATCTTATATTTTTCTTTACAAGTTCTCATTGGCCAAGAGAGTTAAACAGAAAATAAGTCCGCAGTGTTATGGTCCTTTGGAGGTGCTGGATAGGATTGATTTGGTTGCATACAGGTTGGAATTGCCAAGTGACAGTTGCATTTTCTCTGTTTTTCACACATTCATGCTCAACAATGCCATAGGAGCGTAAAAAACAAGCTAAGGCCCTTCCTCCCATGTTGACAGAAGACTATGAGTTACAGCTCCAACCTGAAGACGTGGAAGCAGTTTGAGTTTCCAGTTCTGGTTTGCAGGAGGTACTGGTGAATTGGCAGAACCTCCCTGACTTTGAGAACAGCTAGGAATTAGTCTCTAGTTTGCAGGAGGCTTTTCGTCGTCTCCAAGGGAAGACCAGGTGGAAGTTACAACAAGGTATTGATAGGAACAGACCTCCTATTAGGAGGGTTTATGAGAGAACATATAGGACAGCTTGTAAGGGGGATCACAGCCCTTAAGGGCCACCTTCATTGTACTATAACTATCAGAAAGTCAGTAAGGAGAGGCAGAGTTTAGCTAGTTGCAAGAAGAATAAATAGAGGATGATAAGGACTGTGGAAGTATATCCAAATTGTCGTTGGAGAACTTGGGAGTGAGCTGGGTCATTCAAATTACTCAGCAACCCATTGTAATCACTCTTGGCAATAAATTTATTTTTCCCTTCGACCTTGATACCATTTCTATCAACTATATCAGAGCTCCATCAAGGAGCTGTGGGTATCACAAGAGGGAGGGTTGATTCACTGGAAAGATTGATGGAGGCCCAGAGCAGTGGTCTATGCAAATCCTGGAATGGCGATTTGAAGCCCAAGACCAGAGATTTCAGCAATTAGAAGTGATGATGGAGATTACACTTCAAAAAGTTACTATAAAACATTACCAAGGGGAGGTTCATCACCACTCAACTTGCACAGGAGTGGAAGGAGGCGAATCTGGTAGGGACAAGTTGAGATGAATCAGCAGACAAATGGAGGAACTGGATGTGCCAATGTTCTCAAGGGAAGGCACTTATAGGTAGATTCAGAAGCTAGAAAGGTATTTTCAAATTAGAGGGCTCGTGCAAAAAGTCAAAAAGATAGGATGCAGGCTATAATGGTTGCACTGGAAGTAGACCTATCAATATGGGTTATAGCCCACAACCCACCTCATTTAGCACATAATATAACCCTGATTTTCTTAAGCCTTATATTTAGTGGGTTGACTTTGGCCATAAGCCCCAATATATACAAACATTGTAGGTTAAGATCAGGGTTTTTTGGAGTAATTAATATATGCTATTTTTTTAGTAAAAGATATGTACAAAAAAAGTTGTGATTTTTAATTTCTTACACATACACATAATAATAATAAATTTATGTATGAATGCAATATATATGATAACCCATGTTGGAAGTGGAACGCTTCTGTTTTTCCATTATCCAATTTGACTGAAGAAACGGAGTACTTGAGAAATTGTGCATCTTGGCTTGCACACAAATATCTAACTATATAGTTACATTACATTCAATCAAAGAGCAAATCAGTAATCATTATCTAATTTACCACAATCTTCAGAATTCTGGCAGACTGTCAATTTACACATGTTCTTAATATGCAAAACAAAAAGGTAATTGGCCTTGGAAAATAAGAGTGTATAAATATATTGCGCTGATTTTCAAAGTATAAAGTATATACCTGCATATATGATAACTGATCATAGCTCAAAGCCTTACTTTTAACATCTGGATTTGATCCATCCTGAATAAACATAAAGCACCACAATTAAATACTTATGTTCTATATGCATTTTCAAGAAACTGTCAACAAAAACTCATTCAATGCAAGCCAGACGCACAGACCGGATGTCAAAACATATAAAATACCTGAGATACAAATAAAGGATATCTTGTAGAAATGTGCCTTTGATATCTGAAAAAATAAATAGATCATGACTCAGTTGGACAAAATAATAGCTGATAACCAAGTATAAGAGATTAGAAAACAAAATATGTTGTAATATAATGCATACTTCAATACAGAATTAATAGTCCTCTCTAGGTAATCAGCACGATTACATGCCATGATCACAACAGCTGCCACTGGAACCTAAAACGTTCAGCACAGAGAATCTCATAATAAACTCTAGAAAGAGTTATAGAAAACTCAGCAGACTGCAAACTTTCATCTCAACCTGCACTTTATTGATCAGCCTCTGCAGGTCTTTTCCTGAAATGTTTATATATAGAATAGAATGGTAAATTCCTGAATATCTAATACACCAAAACTTCATTATTAGATTGTTCATAACAATTCTGACATGATGAACCACCAAATATTTTTGTATTGACAAGAACCTAACAATGTGCAGTGCATATGATGTATAAGATGCATAAGGCAGTCAGCATTCCACAGTTTATTGCAGATATGGAAAGTTTTTCTGATCATGAACATACAAATGAAGAGTTTAATGATGAGACTCTACAACGGCAAATGGCCACATATGTTGTGTAAAGAATGAATAGTCATATTGTTATGCAGCTGATTTATTTGTATACAGTTGCTCACCAAATCAACCCTACTGAAGAAGTCCCAAAAAGCTTATTCCAACCGTAAGTTACCTGCCCCACCAAGGGTTCACTATAAGTCTTATGTTTCAAGCAACAAGACCATGGTGGAATTTCCTTCAGTCATTAAAAGACTTTCCTGTGGTCCTTCACTTTCAGAACAAGGAGTGTTTTTTTTTTTTTTTTTTTTTTTGGGGGGGGGGGGGGGGTGGGGGGGGGTGTGTGGAGTACTGATAGATATAAACCCATGACAAGGTACTTTGGTAGTGTAAGTAGGGAATCTGTCCCTTTCAATGAAATAATGGAAATAATGGGGCAGTTAGTTTAACTTTAGAGGGGGAAGGTTTGAAGGGGTAGATTGCAAGTCCCTCTCACAGTAGATGTTGTATCCACTTCCCTGTTTATAATTTTCATATCAGTTTGTTGGATTTTTGGGGTTAAGTTCCATTTCTGCAATATTACTAGCTAGGGTTCTTACCACAAATGCAAGAAGAATATGATTCTTTTTTATTATTTTGGTCGTTGCATCACCTCCTCAACCCAAGGCTATTAACTAGCTGAAATGCCAAAAACAACTACTTATCAATTTAGGATGTATTTGGGTAAGGACCTTAATTAAATACTTATTAAACAAGAGCTTATCATATGAGAGCTTACTTGCAACTTTGACCCTAGAGCTTTTTGAAATAAACTAAAAGAGTTTATAGGAAGAACATAAGTTACTTCCATAAAAGCTTTTTCAAACACCACTGTAATCACATGCTATGTAGATAGAGAAATGAATACCCCCAACCACCAAAAAAGAGACCTTATTACAGGCTATAGCTTACTTTCAAGATCTTGTACAAGAGATTTCATTTGTCTGCATTCTTCATCTCGACGTTTCCTCTCTTCTAAAAGAATCCAAGACAACAACCCAAGTTAATTTAACAAAAATATTATATGCAATGTAGGAAAAATAAATAAATAAAACAAAATGACAACTGCTAACAAGCCTTGGCTCACCTATCCAACTATTAACATTATTAATGAAGGAAAACTTTTTTGTTTTGTTACATAGAGGGGCCAGAGGCCCAAAACAAGAAATAGAAATTACAATGAAAAACCCAAAGTAATAACTACCACAGCATCCTCAAAAACACTCCCTGAAAATCTCCAGGCATTGATACCAAATCTTAAGATCAGGCTGCTGATCACAATATTCAGATTAGCCATAAAAGGAGGCATTACCTGCTCTATAAAGAATCCAATCACCCTTCCTAGCTTCAAATACTATTATGTGAGATAACTTGTCCATGCAGAGGATAGAAATTATGGGGATCATGGATCATCTCAATAGACTCTTCTATTGGGCATGAAACTTTCATTTTGAGAATCATTCCAAAGAACCAATGTCAACATTGATTATGTATGTGCAAGAAACCTTCATGTTTTAAACATATCTTTTGTATCATAATTATTTATTTAAATAATATGATACATTTCACATTTAGTTATTTATTTAAATATAATAATGTCTTTAAAATAGTAACTATAACTTCGTATGAAATCAAATAAATGATTTGATTGTGAGATCTTACTTAAAGTTATTCATAAAATGCTTTGAGATAATACTTTGAGACTATGTAAGTGAATTGATCATGAAATCTTATGGATCATCATGAATATAAAATACCAAGTCTTTAGACAAGTACCCATAAAGAGTAATGATGTATTGAACTGACCCACTATAAAAATCTTACATAAATTGTCATATAAGTGTCATAAAGAGTTGTCAATATGATGTAATCAAGACCTGAAGCCACTATGATTCTTACATAAAGGGTTCCATATATTGAAACAATAATTTTCACAGATCTATTGAATGATTTATATACTATATTTATTTACAAGTCTAAATCAATCCCTAAAGTTTACGGATTAGGATCAAGTTACTACAGAAACTATACAGCAAAAATAAGTAAACTATACAACAAATCTTCAGTAAATCAGAATAATATCTCAACACTCCCCCTCTAGGTGTAGCACATATATCATATGCATCCAACTTGTTACAAATGTACATTACCAAGGACCTCATAAAGACTTAGTGAATTGTCTACAAGATAATCCTAAGAGCAAACAAAGGAAGTTTTAATGATGCCAGGGAGAATTTTTTCCCTCATGAAGTGACAATCAACCTTAATATGTTCTGTTTTCTCATGAACAATCGTATTAGAGGAGAGATACAAGGCTGATTGGTTATCACACACTAGTTCCATAGGAACAACCTTACAAAATTGCAACTCTTGAAGTAAATGTTTCAGCCATAAGAGCTCACATATGGCATGAGCCACGGTACGATACCTGGCCTTTGTACAAATTGTACTTGATCTAGCAACAATACTTGCCTCCAATAAACCTTCATCTCAAGTGGGCTATCCAGTAAACCTTTAAGGTAGTGTCCAAATTTCTGCAAGGAAGACACAAGAGATGGAGGCCCTTAGACTCCACCCTGAATGTCCTCCCTCGGACTTTGAACAACACTAGTAGAGGTTTAGTTTGATCAACATCAGCTCAGAACCCAGCAAATCGACTTATGGTTTGCTTCACAATATTCTTGCCAATCCGCATTTTACTCCCCACCCTATTCAAAGAAATTTTGGGTAATACTACTGCATCAGCAAGTTTAGGAATCCCAACCAAGCAACTACACTATCCAAGATTTTTTTAAGGAAGAAAAAAAAGGGACTCCCCTCCAGAATTGTCAGATAATGTTCATAGATCAGCCATGGGCCACTCATCAACTAATGAGCACAAATATTCAGGATTGTAGCCAAGATTTTAAAGTAGCCAAGATATTCATGCATTCAGAGATAAATGTAACGATGTAAGATGATATCCCACAATTAAATAAGAAAAAACAAACCTTCTAGGGCCACAATTCGTCCTTGCTGCAAGCTAATCTGATCAATCAGTGATCTCATTTGACTTGTACAATGGTTTTCAGATTCAATCTGTGAACAAGAATTTGCAATCATGTTGATGACCCACCACACACTAGTTATGGAAATATAGAATATAGCAGCGGAATTGAGTTACAGCTGCAGCGAGGCGATCGGCATATTCTGATTGGGTTGCGAAAAGCCTCATCTGAATATAGATGAACACGCCAGCTGCAACCAAGAGAAGGAACCGAAAATCACAGAAAACTTTTGCCATTTGCTTTTGCCCGAATACTGAATTGCTACGATACACTACAGCAGGTTTCTGAGATTCATTATGTAAGAGCAATTTCTATGCCTTGTGCTCAGCTACCTGCAAATCCTTCAGTCAACTCTATTGTCATTCAAGAAACGGCATTCCAGTTTCATATGCGTAAAATTATAGGCATATACGATTGTAGGATCCGGACGGCTCAGAGCTAGCCCCTCACCAACGACGACTCCATTGTTGATTAAGAACATCTTTTTTTATTGAAAAATATAATATAAATAGAAAATATATTTCATTACACTTTCTTAGAATTTTTATTTTATTTTAGTTTCTTAAATATTTACTCCTTAACATTTAAAATAAATAAATAAATTCAACTACAACAATGATTCACTAAATTACTCTTTAAAGTTAGTATTTTAATTAAATTAACTTCAAATTCTCTAAATCATCTAATTTAATAAGTCATTACTGTAAATTTAGACATGAATTTAACAATTATCAATAAATATACTAGAAACGTGATAGTTAATTTAGTTCAAAAATAATTAAAAATTATAATTTAATAATTATAAATAAATATTAAAAATATAATATTAATTAATTAATATTTTTAAAAATTTTACATAATAAAAAAATATAACTAATATTTCATTTAAAAATAATAGATAAATATAAAAAATATAAATTTACTAATAATTAGTAAATATATTGTGCATTGTACAGATTTATATGAATATATTATATATTGTTTATTTATTAATTTAATTTAAATATAATTAAAAATAATCATAATTTAAATATAAAAAAATTATTTATTAAGCATTTATCAAATAATTATTTTAATATAAAAAATTAAAAAAATTTATTTAATTTTTAAAATAAATTATATATATCAGCTAAATTTAATTTATAAATAATTCTAAATATTTTAAATTTTAATAATTATAAATTTAATTATTAATATATGTAGTACTAAGTTGATATAGTTAATTTTAAATATATAGATAGATTATTGAAATTATGAATTAAGTTGATAAATTGATTGAAAACAATGTATTAAAATAAATGTTAACACGTATCTATTTATACTAAAATTATTTAGAAGCCGAGTGTTATAGTTGTCTTTTAGCCATTAAAATTAAAATTTAATTTTTTCAATTTATAAATAAAATTTATTATAATTTGTATAGGTTTTCGTATTTGGCTTTTTTATTTAATTAATATATTTTAAAAATTATTTCTCTTATTAATATATATACCAACATCCTATTCCCTGATTTCATATCTTCTAAAGGTCAATTTAGTAAAAAAAAAAATTACTTGACACGTACGAAATTCAGGGTAACATAATAAAAAAAAAGTTTTAGACAAGAAAATAATTTTTAAAAATATTATTTAATTAATTTGTTCTTAAAAAATATCAAAAACATAAATAAGCTCAGCTATGAACGTGAAAACCCCAACATTAACCTTTATACGTACTCCTTTGAGGGAAAAAAAAAAAAAGACTCTTGCCATACACTTGCTAGTTTCGTTAAAATTTGGTTTTGTGGGAAAGAATAGACGGAAGTGTGGAAAGAAGAGTCGAACAGAAAAAGAAGAATGGAACAGAGGAAGGGCGATGATCCGATCTGATCGTAGAGTCCAAATGGCAAATAAAGGAATTAATGAAATGATGTAATGTAGTAACCAGTGATTATTATCATTTCAAACAAGATTGAAGATTCAATCAATCCCAATTGGCATGGAGACTTATCCTGGAATATCTCCACGCCCACTGCTACTTATGTTCTTCTTTTCGGTATGGATTTTTAGGGTTAACGCATTCCATCTCTGAAAATTTTTAATCCCTAATAATTAACTCTTTCAATTATGTGGCCAGGTTTTGTGTTATGGTGTAAATTCTTCGACAACCAAGTAGCAACTCCATTCTTATCGTCTTTGCTTTTCCTTTCTATTTCTCACCTTCTCCTCCCAAACCTGATTTCTTCTTTTCTACAGAGGATCTTGGCCCCTCCACGATTGCGACCAATGTCATCGTGCCAAGGTAGGTGTGTTCATCTCAGATGTTGATCATACAATATGTTGTTGTTCAACGGTTAACTTGCCCCATTTACTTGTCTTCCCGTATAGTTATTTTTACCGTGTTGCTATTGCTGTGCAAGCAGGAACAGGATATCTCTACAACTAGAAACCGCCATCGTCCCGATGAAAAGGTTTTACCAGGGATCATTATTTATTGGAAGAAAGAAAGTGTTTATTATATTTTTGTATCTACAATGTAATAAAACCAGCAATAATGTTTATATAGTTAGAAATGATTGTATGCAGGATATTGATATAATTGCAACATACAGTGATGCATCTGGCTATGTTCGACTGGCTAGGTTAAAGATGAGGGACTTATCTGATTCCTGGATTTGGGAAAACCCTAATAACGGAAACAATGAATATCAAAAGAGCTCCCAGGTACTTTAGTTTGATTTCATCTTTTTCTTCAGTTCAGGTGGTTGCTGTAATTTGGAAGGACTTAATGTCTAGCAGAAAACATAAACTACAACCACATACTTCGGTAGCATTTCTTGTTTTCATTTCCAGTGTGAGAAATCCTAGCTGAGCTGCCATTTTCACTCTGACCACTCACTGTCTGGTAATTTTCATGATCTGATAGACTGATACGGATACACTTACAGGAACTGATGGAATCATTTCAAATGGATTCAAGATTTTTGGACAATCCCAAGCATTCCTCAGATGAACATTATCCTCACAAAAGCAGAATTGAAACACCCCGTTCCTCATCAATGACTCCAGTGAAGATCAAGCGCAGGGTAGTAATCCAATTTTGCTTTTGAAACTCCACCAAACAAAAATGATAGAAACAGGGAGCCACTTTGTCTTACTAATATAATTTGTGTATGGTTTTTATAGTTTTTTAATCAGATATTATTATTTTACTTGTAATGTATCAAAAATTTTAATCCCATTTCTTCTATATATATTTTTTAATTTTTTTTTTACATCTTTCTGGTGTTTGGTTCCCTCAAAAATTTATCTTTGTGATTGGTCCCTTAGAAAAAAGGGCTAGCACCAACCTGGATAGAGAATAAGAGAGTGTTTGTCCCGTTGATCTGGGTTTTTTTAACAGTTTCCAATCCCTTAGGTAATGCGGCAAGAAAGAAAGCAAGCACGTGGAGCTGAACTTATTCTGCAAGACACAGAAACTGACAATCACTTTGTATCAGCAGCAATGGAACACTCTGAAGGATTTGATACGACTATCAAGGGAAAGTATAGTATATGGAGGAGAGAATATGAAAACCCAAATTCTGATTCAACTCTGAAACTCATGCGAGATCAAATAATAATGGCCAAAGCATATACCAACATTGCAAAATCTATGAACAAAACTATTCTTTACAAAGCTCTTGTCAAACACTCTAGAAATAGTCAACAAGCTATAGGAGAAGCCAGTTCTGATGCTGAGCTTCACCATGGGTATTTTTATTTTTCCTTCGTCTTCTTTCTGAGGCTTATTAGGTTCTTTCAATTTTCATGCAAAGTTTCTATTTACTGCTTTTGCTAGGGCACTTGATCAAGCAAAAGCTATGGGCCATGTTCTTTCTATAGCAAAGGACCAACTTTATGACTGCCTTTTGGTGGCAAGGAAGTTAAGGGTGATGCTTCAATCAACAGAAGATAGAGTGAATATACAGAAGAAAAGAAGTGCATTTTTGATTCAGCTGGCTGCAAAAACTGTGCCTAGACCATTGCACTGCCTTCCTCTGCAACTTGCCGCTGATTATTACCTGCAGAGCTATCATAAGAAAGAAAATCTTGACAAAGAAAAGATTGAAGATCCATCTCTTTACCACTATGCTATATTTTCTGATAATGTACTGGCTACATCTGTGGTCGTTAATTCTACTGTGCAGAATGCAAAGGAACCCAAGAAGCATGTATTCCATATAGTGACGGATAAATTGAATTTTGCAGCAATGAGAATGTGGTTTCTAATCAACCCTCCTTCTAAAGCAACCATTGAAGTTCAGAATATTGATGACTTCAAGTGGCTGAATTCCTCTTATTGTTCTGTTCTACGTCAACTAGAATCAGCAAGAATCAAGGAATATTACTTTAAAGCCAATCATCCTTCCTCCCTCTCTGTTGGTTCTGACAATCTAAAATATAGAAATCCTAAATATTTGTCAATGCTAAATCACTTAAGGTTCTACCTTCCTGAAGTTTATCCAAAATTAAACAGAATTTTGTTCTTGGATGATGACATTGTAGTGCAGAAAGATTTGACACCTCTTTGGTCAATTGATTTGAAAGGTATGGTGAATGGTGCTGTAGAGACATGCAAGGAGAGCTTCCATAGGTTTGATAAATACCTAAACTTTAGTAATCCACTGATTTCCAACAATTTCAGTCCTGAGGCTTGTGGCTGGGCATTTGGCATGAATATTTTTGACTTGAAGGAGTGGAAGAAACGAAACATCACTGGAATATATCATCGGTGGCAAGATATGGTAAATTTCACTAATCTTATTCCTCCTTTTATAGTTGTCCAGAGGTATCTTATTATTTTCAACTTTTCAGCTAAATATCATATTATGAAATTGGTTGCCTGAAGATTCTCCCAAGTGTGTTATAACTTAAGCACATGAAGGGAACTCAACCCAAAAAACTAGTCCATTAGGTAGGAGAACTTCAAGGCTTAAGTACCAGATTCAGCATCTTATTCTACTCAATATGGAAACTTGTAACATTGCAGCACCCTTTTAAGAGGAGCCTGTGTCCATGGTGGCTAGCCCTTTCCCCTTTGCTCCACTCACCTATGAGTATTCAGCACATTGTGCCTTAATCTAGCCTATTAGAACAACAAATGTTATGACTTAAGCATATGAAGGGAGCCCAACTCAAAAGATTAGTCCATTAGGTGGGAGAACTTTAAGGCTTAAGTACCACATTGAGCATCTTATTCTACTCAGTGTGCAACTCATAACAGTGTGCATCATCCCAATGTTTATTTTATTGTTCAGGTCTCAATTTCTAATACCAGAAAACCATGTCTTGCAGTTTTGTGCGTGTGTAGTTTCTTCTTATCAGATGTAGAATTATTTTTTTTTTCTCTGCAGAACGAGGATAGAACCCTCTGGAAGCTTGGAACCTTACCCCCTGGACTAATCACCTTTTATAATCTGACCTATCCGCTGGATCGAGGCTGGCACGTTTTGGGACTTGGCTATGACCCGGCTCTGAACCTAACAGAAATAGAGAGTGCCGCTGTCATTCACTACAACGGAAACTACAAGCCGTGGTTGAATCTTGCTGTTTCGAAATATAAATCATACTGGTCCCGATATGTTATGTTCGATAATCCATATCTTCGAGTTTGCAACCTTAGCGAATAGTGAATTTTGTAGACCTCACTTTTCCTCCGTCTCTGTTACTGTACTTTTTGAGAATGGTACCCCCATAATATAGTTGTCCTTCAAGAGAAACTCTAGTTTGGTGACATTTTGATCGACTAAAACGTCGAAATTGGTTTCTCTGGTCGATTTAATTGTTGACATTACAAAAAGAACTAAAATATTACTTTGGTCATTGGAAATAAAAATATTTTTGTCTTTCAAAAATGAAAACATTGACTACTGTAGTGAATTTTCAGTATTAAATTAATATTAAAAAAAGGATTAAATTGATTGTCCATCTCATATTTGGAAAATGAATATGATAATTTTATCCTAAATTTTTCAAGTACTAATGATATTTTACTCTTTACCAAAAATAAAATAAAATTGGCTTTGACCTTCCTATTTATCAATTTAGTCTCGTGCATTAATAAATAATTTAATTTAGTCTTGGAATTCTATAACTTTTTTTCCTTGATCAATTAAAAGATAAAGTTGACTAGTTAAAATTAATTTTTTTAAACTTTAAGAATTAAAATGATTAATAATAAATAAATATATATATATATATATATATATATATATATATGTTTTGTAATGTTAAAAATTGTATTGTTGAAGTGTTAAAAAGTAGCCTAGCCTGGAGAAGTTATCATGAAAATTCACTGCAGAAGAAATTATAGCAGAAAAAAATAAATAAATTAAGACTTAAATATATTTAACTACTTCTAAATATGATTTATTTTAAATTATTATTTATTAAATTTTTTTATTTTATTGTTTAATTAATTTTTATTTTATATTTGACATTAATTTTTATCAGTTAAATAATAACGTAACTCATAATTTACTTTAACTAATAAAAATTAACAATAAATATAAAATTGAAAAAAAATTAACTAAATATTAAAATAAAAAATTTAATAGATAATTTAAAATAAATCATATTTAGAAGTAATTAAAATATATTTAAACTATAAATTAAAGAACAAATTTTCTGTAAAAAGTTTTAAAAAAATAAATGAATTCTTTCATCTAAAACTTCGATTCCAATCCTTGTTTATAGCTTCTCAAATGAGACTCAAGCGGTTCTGTTCACGTTTTGGACCCATTAGGATCAATTAGCCTAATTTACAATTAATTTTCTCATAACAAAGTTAAATGGTAAGCTCTGTCTTTGTCTCTATTCTTAAATGTTTTAATCTAGATAAATAAGTATTTTTCTCATGTAATGAATTTGATAAAGGCTTTTATTCTAGATAAATATAAATATATTATAATTAAATATTAAATTTAAAAATCATATTTTATATCGTGTTATCGTGTACTTCATTACTCGAGCACAAGCAATCACGCAAGGGCTGAACATGGGTAAGGCTGGCATTCAACCTCTAAGGCTTATAGATCGTTTTCCGTACGCAAGGAAGGATCAAAGGATGTACTGCATCCTGCGGTAAGGACCCAATATTTCCATATATACAGAGAATGCAATTCCTGATGAACTGCAAGGATGGTCAGAAAGAAACAAGGGTAGCCTACAAAAAGCATAGGTGGCAATTAATCCCCGTTTTTTATTTTCATAAACATAGAGGTGTTAGACACTTTCTTAGTCAACCAGAACATTATAAAGCAATCAGCATAAACACTAGCCACAATAAACAATCAGAAAAATTTAACTGCCTGTGGAAATTTACTGCAGACGAAAGGGCAGGAAGATAATGTTGATGTCTTCAACTTGTCTGATTATTCGTCATGGTCTGCTGGCACTTTGAACTTCTTCACTGATTTTCCCAAAACATTTAAAACAGCAACACGCTGCAATTCTTTAGCTGTCATAATGGTGAACAACATGTTAGAGAAAAATCATCAGCTTCAAATTATGTGTAAGCGTTTGCCATTTTTTGCCAAAACTAAAAAACAATCAATTGCTGAGTATTTCTTGGATATGGATGCATGTGCAGATCGGGGCTGTAACCATGACAAAATGTAATTATACCATAAGCATGATATATGCAAATTGTACTGTGGAAGAATCAGATCCTGGTGCTATTTTATCTCCATCTCTCTCCATCCTTAATCACAGCAGTCCATTCCATTAAGATTGTAAAGCTTGTAAAGTCAAAGTGAAAACAAGCGTAGGCTATCTAATGGCTGGGAAATAAAAAAATACAAGTGTGTCTCAAATGCTGTATGACACTCCCGCAAAAAATTTTACACTCGGTATCCCTCCCGTGGATCAAAGCATGGTATAACACAATGAAGGAAGCTCAACTGTCTATCAAATTTTCATGTTTATTGCTTCGTGATGGTGGCTTTGCCACTCTTTCCCCTCCTCACTGCATCCAATAATGCAGACCATCAAAGTTATAGGCAAAGAGCCTTTTTGCAGTGAGGAGCAGAAATGAAGGTTGTACATCGAGCGGAAGGAGGAAGAAATGAGCAAGACACTGTGTCAAGAAGGAACATATATCCGAAAGTGCTATAGATTACAATCATGGCCCAAATTTGAACTCCTTTAGAGAAAGTTCAGTGTTGCGTTGGCTTAACCAGCCACGGCTCATGACATTCCCAACACCAACAGGGGAGCCGCCTACAGGGAATCTGGCATTGTACAAACTGGAAGGCAGAATCTGCATATGATCTCACAATATTCAATCCTAGATAGCGGCACAAGACGGCCAACCCCAAAAAAACCATTGCAGAATAAAAGACAGCAAGATGGCCGCTATTGTGAAGATTTGAAATACACCCAATATAGATTATTCTACACCTAAGTTGAAGGGGTTAATAGATGAAAATCAGAAAAGAACAAAGAAGAAAAACAGAAAACAGAGTGGTCTCTCACTGGAAAAAGGCTCTCTCACCAGAAAGTAGTCAGTTTGCCAGAGATAGAAGACAGCTGGAACTCGGCCAAAAATGATGACTTGCATCAGATTTGGGCCGGAAAATTGTCAGCCGCTGCAAAGTGCGTGGGACATTGTCAGAGATTGAGCACTAGGGTTCAACTTCAAGGCTGTTAAAGCAAGGTACAGAAAACTAGCAGTGTAAAAGAGGGCCGAAATCCCAAGCTTGCCCTCCATAAAAGCCTTCTAACATTTAGAAAGAGAGTGTAAATTTGGAAGTTTAGCCTTGCATAAGTTAGCAGCTGCGGTTTGTGCTGCTATTCCTGCTACGCAAAACCACAACACTATTTGCTTTGTGTCATCGCCAGGAGCTGCTCTGCCATGATAGCGCCACTATTGTGCACTATTAACTACTATGTATGATCCCTACCACAAGGGGTGTAAAACAGTGTTGTGACTAGTGGGTGTCCAGTGAAGGTGGGAGAATAGGTATTTCTCAGGCTGCAGAACACGGGTGGCTCAGTGGAGGGTTGGATGGGTTTGGACCTACGTTCAGACCAACAATGCCACATTTTGTTTTTCTAAGGGTTTATGTTTGTTTTCACTTTGATTTTTATAAGCTTTACAATCTTGATGAAATGGACAATTGTGATTTGAGGAGAGGGAGAGGATCCGATCCCACTGTTGAAGCTTGTCTTTTTTTTTTAATGCTACTAAGAAACAAAAACAAAAAATGAATAAGCAAAAAATTCAGTATATCAGTTCTGATGTTTCTCTAAAGCCTAAGCATAAAATATGGGCAGAAGTAAGATAGGGAGGGGGGAATAAATGACATCAAAATAATTTGAAAACTTAACTCTATTTAATTGAACTACCACAAGCACGATTGATAGTGAATTATCATAAGACTAATGCCTAATTACAAACCCCAAATCCAATATACATTGAGTAGGCATCAACTCTAATACCATGACTATAAAGAAAGAAACATGTGAAACAACAATTCCATTACCTTCCTCCAATGAAAGCTGAATTGATCTCCTCTCTAACTCAACAGCTTGTTTGCTAAGTTCAACCGAGGACAGGGATTGAAGCACTGCCAAAGGACAATATCAGCTGCATAAAAATATCAAGACCTTCATAGAAAAATATTTGAAGGATTATTTAATTGTTTCTGGACATACTTTGGATATAATCTTCTTGATCTGATTGGTCCAATTTCCTCAAAAACATCTGCATTTGTTGGTATCGTTCCTCCCAGTGCAAATTTTTTAATCCCTTTGGATTACCAATGGTAGTAGGGCCAGAAGAAGCTATCACATAACTGGACTCAACTTGTGCTAACTTTGTGGCAGACTTCCCAAGAGAAATAGAAACTGAAGGCTTTCCAGATGAGTTCATTGAAGAAGCTAGAGGAAAAGGTGAAAATGCAGGAAAACTAGAAACCTTTGGTTCCTTTATCTGAGGTGGTTCCCCTATCTGAGATTTTGGTTGAGCAGTCTGCTCTTCACAGCAAAGTTGCCTGGAATGTGGACAATAAGCATTAATACTTGGATTTTCAAAAGCAGTGCTCTTTCCCAATTCTGCTTCTGATTTTCTACGTACATACACAAGATGTCCATTAGCAGCATTACTGCTTGGAGATTGTTGGAGATGGTGATTCACTGGGTAGTCAGATGAGGGTCTCTTGGTGCCAGAAACTTTATTAGAATCAATACCAGGATCCTTATCCTTTAAAAATGAAGAGCTTCCAACAGCAGTTGGCACCACAATTTTATTATCATTCTGCACATCTCTCAATGCTGTCTTCTTCACAGCAACAGTCAGTTGTTTATCACGATTAGGCAAGTCCATTTTAAAATTGCTCAGACTATGCTCACAAAATTTAGAATCTATACCTTGTTGAATCATATCCAGCTGTCATGAAAAGCAAGGTATTAGGTTGCATGTAGTTGACAGAATAGTGGTCAAATTAAAAATTTTATAAAAAAAGTTGAAACCAAAGTTTCCTATAATTTATGCAAAGGAAACATGATGTTTCTGGAACAATTTTTCAAAGTAAACCACATGCTCTATAATTGACAAATGAGGATTCACACACCTTTTTTGGGTATTAATGTTCATGTATCAAGTTTAGAGATCATATAGATGAGTCAAGAATGGCTTAAGGTTTATGAAGTCACTATAACAACAATCAAACCTTATTTCATTAAATGAAGTCACAAAATGTCTAAATTTGATGATCACAAAAAGCAGTATAAATAGGGATGTAAGCATGATAACAAAGAGGCAGACAAAAGGAGGAAACCAATGAATATTGCAAATGGCGAAGGAAAAAATTTTCTAGGGAAAATTGCCAAAAAAGAGGATACATATCAAAGTTCCATATTTTGAAAAATTACAGCAAATGCAATTATGGACATCAGTCATTGTAAAGTACTTATCAAACTGAAAAGAAAGTTTTATCGTACTGCAATAAAATCGGTTATCCTATATATAGTAATGAACGTTAGACCTTAAAAGAATAACACAAAAAAATGGTGAGTGAGAGAAATGAAAATACTAAGATAAATGAGTGGTCATACAAACAAAATACAGGATAAGAAATTATTGTATACACAAGGATTTGGAGTAGCACCTATAGTGAAAAAAAAAAAAAAACCTAAAAATTATCTAAAGTGATTTGGTCATGAACAGAGAAGACCACTAAAGGCACTAGTGAGAAAAGTAGATGACATGACTTTTAATTTAGCAAAACAGGATAAAAGAAAATCCAAAAGAATCTTAAAATAAGTTATTAAAAGAAATCTATTAATAAATAATATTCCTGAGAATTTGGTTTTTGACCAAACTCAATGATGTCATGTGGTCTATTTAATCAATCTACTCTGTAAGATAAGGTTTCATTGATATTGGTCATGGTGAATGGTATGACTCTCATACTAGTTTGAAATTCACGGATTGGATGGAGAAGAGAAAAAGAAAAATAACTCAGCTAGATCTTTGAATAATTGTTATATAAATATTAAATATATATTCCTATTTATTCTAATAATATAGGTCTTACAAGGAATATTTCTTGGTTATTTTTACCTCATAGAGGAAAGGAAGCAGAATTAGCAATCAAACTTCTCCTGTTGTCACACTTTGACAAAATGGAGCAGGTGAATAAAGCATGGACACTTAATCTAGATTGCCAAATCTTATCATTTCATATGAATTAAATATTTCTGGGATAAAGTAGTCACTACATCCACCATATTTCTGTTTTTGTTTCCTACTAGATATATTTTCTGAAACTCCCTTCCCATTCTCAAAAACATGTATGCCTAGCATACCTGATGGGTAATGGTGTTATTCTCCTTATCTAGGTTGGCAGCTTCAGTCATCATATAAGACTGTCTTCACGTCTGCATATAGTAGTTACTTCTGACAATAACGAATTATTTGTTTGTACGATTCCCTTTAATATCTAAGTCTCCTCCTGATTCCTACAGGAGACAATTATTTTAGATTGTCAAAATCGACCTAATTCTACTGCAGAAAAAGTTCCTGTAAAGTAAAATTGTCTCTGAAGTGAGCAAGTATGGGTGTAAAGATTAGTATGCACTTTAATTTGAATGAAGGGTGGATACACCCTAACTTGCTCACTTTAGAGGACCCTTGTCTTTCAACTATATCTCTCTAGCTTGAAGCTTAGAGCAAGTGAGCGTAATTTTTCTGCATTTTAGGGACCATGTTCTTTTATCTTTAAAAGAAAAAGTGAACATATTAGCATATATTATGTATGTTGTCACTAGCAAACAAAAACTAAGAATTGTTGCTGTAAGTGCTGTAACAAAATCAATAGAACAGAACCACAGTAATTCAAAGAATAAGACCTTCATTACTTAGAAGCCTGCGCAACTAGATTTGTTTTGTTAATATTTATAGTTTTTTTTTTTTTTGTGTTGTGTGAAACTGATATTGTTTACACCCACAAATTTCTGTAAGTTTTTTTAATCTTTTTTTGAGTTGACAAATTTCTTTATAGTTGGCACCATGTTTCCTCTATCTGTGCATGTAATATCAATCTGTTTTAATGTAGGAGTTAATATCACTAAAGATCATATAATTGGTAGATTTGCATTTACTCTATTAAAACAATATCAATCATGAAAATTCCAAACACTTTTAAGGAGTATACATTTTAGTTTTAGATAAACAGCCTCCATAATAGAAATCCAGAAGTTCACTAATCATACAGCTTAAACAAGGAAACCAACCATGTGGAATAGGGAGATTGCCTCTGTAAACTATACAACTCCCTAAAGATTTAATGCTGGGTTTCTGTTTGGGACATTGCATATAAGATTACTATTTATGCCAACTGTAGTTTTTACTTAGGGTTCCTGTGCTATATTAAGTTAGTTTTTGGCTGTAACAGGAGGAATAAGATTTAATCATTATTTCTTTCTCTTTTAACTTGATGTTGACTGGTTTGGCTGTGGAAACCCTAGGCCTATATCCCAATAACAGATCCACCCAATCATTAGCAGGTAAGTATTGAGGCCGAACCATGAACCGAAGCTTAATCACGAAATCAAAATGTGTACAAGTTGGAGAGTTTCTCCCATCAGACACGTTTGCTATCAAATAAAGCAAGCGTTTGTAATCGTATCTAATGTAACTACTTGTTTCTATCCTAAGTATTAACTTGTATCTATCTCCATAGATGGAACAACGCGGCTTCTCTCAACGAGAGAAAACTCTTTTCAAATATTATCCTCGCAATCTCTAATCTATCACCAGACAACACAGTTAGCCAAAAGCAAACAGAGTTTTCGAAACAAAAAAAATGTTAACGAGAGCGAACCTGAGAAATAGAAGTCTTCTAGAACATGACGCCAGCGACGGTGGAAGTGACGGCGAGGATAAATGATTGAACAAAAGGAAGAGATTAGAACAAGTTGACCTCCGTCACTTCCTCTCACGCTACTTTTACTTATATTTATAGCCAAATCCTAAATTAACAAGTTTTGGTAGCAAAATTTTAAGTAAATAATAAATAAAAATTAGAATTTTAGTTTTAGCTACTCTTTCGTTAAGTATTAACATTGATCATTTACTATCCTTCTCAATTTGAAATTTTCTTCATTTTTATTTTCAGTTTAGTAGCTTCTATTAATCGAACACAAAGAAAAGAAAAACAAAACTTTTTAAAAAATAATATTCTATGATTAAACCAACAACAATAATAAATGTGACACTATCATACAGAATATCATGAATTAAAAGTCAGTTTTTACACTACAATTAAATAATAATAAACAATTTTTATAATGGCAATGTCATGCAAAATAAGGTAAATTAAAAATAACTTATTTTCATTATAACAATAATTACCTTTTCATAACAAACATTATTATTATAAGACACTTCAAATTAATTTTAAAGTGCTATTTGCTTTTCTGCTCCATAAATTTAATTTTTTATTATTTTATAAAATTTATTAATTATCAATAGCATAATTTTATTTTTAAACTAATTTAGAAGTCTGTATAATGATTAAATATTTTATTTTATCATAAATATAATTTAATTTATTAATTAAAAATAATATTTTTATAAATAATTGTATATATAATAAAACTGTTTTAAATAATATATTTTAAAAAAATTAACTTAATTTTTTTATTACGAATAATATGAAGTAAAATTATAAAAATTCAATAAAATTAAATAATTTAAAAATATTATTTATTTAAAATAATAATTTTATCATACAATGTCAAAAAAATTAAATTAAATATCAATAATTAATAATAATAATAATAATAATAATAATTTTAAAAAATAAGACTCTTAATATAAACTCTAAATTTATTTATAATAATAATAATTTTATTAAATAATTTTACCATATAATTTATTGTAAAATAATAATTTTATCGTGAAGTGTCAACAAAATTTCTTTAATTAAATGTCAATAATCAATACTTATAAAATTGTTTTAAGAGATAAAAATTTTAAAATTAGGTTTGAAATTTTTAAAATAATTAAAATAATATTTTATAAGTGTAAAAATAAATACACACAAAAAACTTAAGAATCTATATAAAATAATAAAAAAATTCAGAAATAATTTTAGTATCTAAAATTTAGAATGAAACTAATAAAAAATAAAATTATTGCAAGGAAAGAAAATACATTTCATATATTATTTTAAGTTAATTTTAATCTTAAAATACACATAACAAACTGTAAAGAAAATTAGTTTTATTAAATATTTTACTTCGCAAATAATAGATTTTTATTTATAATATAGAAATTGACTGAAAAAATAAAAACATAGAATTTGTCATAAATTTAGATAAAGTTTAGTTTAACAAAGAAACACAAAAAAAAAATCATTAAAGATTTATAATTTTAAATAAAATAAAATAAAATAGTAATATTAAAAATTGTTATCATTAGCCAGAATCATTTTCAACTTTTGAAAAAAAAAAAACTAGAATTCAAGATTTAAATAAATTTTATTTTTTCTAAACTTGCAACAAGAAGCTTGTTACTCATTAATAGGATTAAAGTTTATAGTAACTATTTTAAAAAATAGTTGTATCCTATTATCAAGAAAAGGAAAAAAAATTAAATAATATAATTTTGTTTTTAAAGTAGAAAAGTTCAAACTATTTTTTCTTTTTTTTTACTTACTTGACAATTGATAAGGAATGAAAAATGAGTGTAAATAATATATATATATATATATATATATATATATATATATATATATATATATTAATAACTAAGTGTCAAAAAGTTCAAAAACGTTGTGCGCCCAAATAAAATTCATGTATATATATAACTACTGTCAATGCATGCTTTGCCTTAAAACGAACTTTTTGGCATCCATTATAAATTAACCCTTTTTATAAAAAAAAAAAAAGAAAAAAAAAGAAAAGAGAAATTAAGATCATAACTAATAAATGAGTAAAAATGTTACTTATTTTTTTATAAATAAATTGACAATAATTGTTTATCAAAACATTTAAAACTTTTTAGTCTCAACATTATATTTTAAGTTTGTTTTTAATAAAATGTCAATTTAATGAAATAGAACTTTTTCAATTATTAAAGCGTCAAGTATAAAAGAGGGAAAAATTTATCCTTTTACATACCATTTTTTTTTGTAGGATTTCACAAAAATAACAAAATTTTCTCTTTCTTACTAGATCTTTCAATAACTGGATCGCAATGTTATTTTAATACCTAAATTAAGTGTTTGCATATAAATACAATAGTTTGTGTTATTATAAGGTGACAAATAAGTACAAGCACACCATAAGTCCATAATCATATATAAAATTTTCATTATCTTCTTTCTTGTACTCTCTCTCTCGCTTTTACTTTACTCTCACACAATTTCATCCTCTATTTTGAGATTGAAGTTCATTTAGTGTGAGTATTTATGCCTATTATTGCTCTTGTAATCAAAATTAGAATAACAAATTTCGCAATACACGTGGCCATGATTTTTGTAATATTTTTCAAATTGTTGCCTTGGATTAACATTAATAGAAAAAACATGTTAATATTTTTAGACTAATTTTCTACCTTAAAGATGTTAGGGAAGCTTTCATTATTTAAATATGTCAAATACATAGCTTAAAAAGATATAAAGAGATTGAATCTCGCAGTAGTAGAAAGAATAGGAGATTCTGATTAAGAATTTTATGACAGGATTCATAACCAATGTATTTGTTTACCGTTCCCTTCCCCTGCACATTATTTATCTTTTTCTAATTATAATAAAAATAATATATAAGTATGTTTTTATTCTTAAAATAGTTACACTTTTTTAATTTAGTTCTTATAAAAAAATTTGTTAAAATTTAATCTTTAATATTTTAAAACTATTAAAAAATAATCCCTCCTATCAATTAAATTATTTTAAGCAAAAATTTAATTTATTATTATTAAGTCATTATTATTTTTGATATTTTATTATTTAAATATCAATATTTAAAACAAAAAAAAACTACTTGAAAAATCCAAATTCAGTTTTCTTTTAAGATTTCCGTGATATCCAAATTTCTTCCCATCTCCACACCATCTTTTTCTCCGGAGGTCGAATGGGTGTACAAACAAAATAGAACGTAGATTAGTACCCACATGCACAAGAATACCCAGCATTCGCTTGCTAGCGTTGTTGTTCCCTTGGGCCACATTGGACCCAACTCTCACAAAGGCGATGTAGGAGTACTTCATGAACAAGCCTCTCAGCCACTTGCATCCCCCGGTGGGGGATGTTCTTCAACACTAATAAAAAATTATCAAATATACAAAAAGATTGTAAAAAAACTGTATAAAAAGGATTATAATAAACCCTTCAAAATTTAAAAATAAAAATAATATTTTCAAATAGTCGTTTATCAGTACTCCATCAAAGTTAGGGTATTAAGTCATGAAAAAATAATGCTTTAATGTTTCAAACGATCAAAACCTACATCCTCAAAGTAACAATCTTACAAGTACACGTAATTTTAGTTTCGAAGGTCAATCTCCAATAGACATCCAAAGCTCATATAGTAACAAAGCATCATAGTATGCAAGGAAAAAGAGGAAAAAATAGAATAAAGCCGCATCCTTAGCCTGCATATGCAAGAAAATCTGAATGACAAAAGGCTTCACCTACAAATTCATCCTAACCCGATTACTTGCTAGGAGAAAGTGTTTATGAAGAACTCCAAAATAAAACCTAAAAGATCCATAAAACATCCTCCAAGCTCGTACTATATCAACCTCTGCGAAAATTCCATGGCAAACTGCAATTAACTCAATGTCTTGTTTCTTAGAAGCAAGGATACCTGAACTTGCAAAACTCATTAAAATGTAAGGTAATGCTATTCAAAATTCCAACAAGTATAAAATAGAGCTCATTGGAAACTAACCAAAACTTTGATTTCAACTTCAAAAGAAGCGCCCATTCTTTATCCACTTCCATTACTGCTCAATAATTACAACACTTTTCCTGATTTGTCCTTCACTCTTCACCTATTTTTACTCATTCTATTAGCATATTGAACGGTGAAAGGTGTTTGAACATGTGTGTGTGAGAGAAAGAAAAGGGTTACTAAAATGTGTCTCTCAATCAAACGCTTCTTGAAGAGTAAATTGGAGTTCTTCTAAAATTTCACTTAAGACTGCAAACAGGCAAAAACGACGACGTAAGTGGGGGGAGAGAGAGAGAGAGAGAGAGAGAGGATATGGAAGTTAACCATCTTGGCTTTGGAGTGAGACTCTCTCGCTGGGAAGAAGTTAAACGCGTCTGAGAGGTAGTGAATTTGTTTGGCGTAGTGAACGTGACAATTTTTACCTTTCCAATATTAAATTTAAAAAATAATAAAATATTAAAAATAATTTAATAATAATAAATACCTAATCAGTTATTCAACTTATCATTTAACATATTTATGATACAAATAAATTTTTATCACTTTAAAAATGTTTAAGACTAGATTATGATAATTTATTAAAAAACTAATTCTAAATAATGCTATTTTTATTAAGATAAAAAATAAAATTTTAAAATAATAGTGTTAATAACATATACTTGGGTTAAAGAAACTTTTGCTATATAAATAAAAAGAAGACTAATAATAAAAAAAATTTGTTTAAAAAATATATATACATATTTGAAAAGATATTAAAAGATTAAGTTTCTTATATATAATATAAATAAATAAAAGAAAAAGTCACTCAAATGTGTAAATTGGTTGATGACTACACCGTTCCAAGTTATCGCTACTAAGCAGTAGACTTGATATGCACTTATACAATGAATTAATGACACCTGGTCTAACAAACTCTAAGGTTGCTTCAATGAAAGATAATGCTGTCATTAGTCTTTTTCAGATTAATTTTGATTGCCATGAATTCTCTTTTTTCTTGTCATAATGTGTAGGGAGTGAACAATTTCTTTAAAATTTATCATATTATAAAGGTATAAAAAAATAAAGTTATGCTACGTGAAAGTTATTAGTTAGACATGACAATTTCTATTTGATTATATCATTCCCTAAAAAGTCTCATCGTAACTTTTTTTTTACCTACAAGCTTTATCAATGAAAAGTACTTGAGAAACGTAACAAAACTTTTATTGTGTTATTAACTATGTAGAGACCCTTGTGGTAAATCTAATTTCCATTGCAATCTAATAAAAATAAATTTTCTTAAGAATCAAACTTACCAAATCGACCATAATAAATTCTAAAAACATTCAATTGATTTCATATTTTTCAGTATAAAAGGTAAAATAATATATTCTTGGAACTATTCTTAACAAAATGAATAGTGTAAAATTGATCCAAGCACTATAGTAGAAACACGTCAATATGTAATGAAATCACTATTTTTTATTTTATTAACTAATACTGATATAAAAGATGTATTTAGTCTAGTTTATAGCACTAATATTTTTTTAGATGGGATATTAAATATATCATATTTTACTTCTTAGTCAAGTTTTTTGAGTTTTAAGAATGATTTATATGAACTGTTAAAAAAATGAGAACATATTCATGAAAGAGTGAGAAATAATGTATGGAAATTATATTATTTAAAACCACTTTTTGTAATTTAAAAAAAAAATTATTACATGAATTTTTTTGTTTTATATTTTTCATTATTATATAAAAAATATTCAAATATAATTTTGAAGGGAGTCGAATTGGTGAGAAAGGAATATAATATATTACCGTTGGGTTGGGGTTGTGTTTGTGACACCGAAGGGGATCCAACGGCTAGTATTTAGTAGCCGTTAGTTTTAAACAATGAAGTGTGACGAGGCCAACCCGACATCTCCGTCTAAAATTTGCTTTTACATCATTCCTTTTTTATTTTCAGTGTTGGCTGTGCTGTCTGTCACTCATTCAGATTCAATTCTTCTTCTTCCTCCTCCTATTGCTGCCCCTATTCCTGCGTGAGTAAGCGACTGAACCTCTTCTTGATTTTTGTTGCTATTCTTTTTATGGATCTTGTTTTTTTTTTCTTTGTCCAATTTTTCTTATTTATTTATGGTTCAGCAAATGGAGGGCTCAAAGGAAAATCATGTGCTTCCGCTTCAGATTCCGCTCATAGCCTCCTCAAACGTTCAAGGTTAGCTAGTTATTCTTTTCGTTTTATGGAGGTTTTTGATTTGATTAATTTTCATTTTCTCTTTTCTTGAATTACAATACAAAGGCTGTTCAAGAATGGAGGGTGGTGTCACTGTCCATCACCGGCTGCCTCTCAGCAACATCAATCACAATATTATGGATTCTCTCGTCAACAAATTAGATCTTTCCCGGTATATTATGCTTCAATTTTAAATCAATCTCCTTATATTTAAGAATCATAGCAATATATTCATCAAGGTTCATTCAATTTTTATTTCTTTGATTCAGCAAGTGTTCGTCACACACCGTTGGCCACTACCCTCAAGTACTCTCTCATCATTTACCTTACTACAATTATTTTTACTCCCTTTTCTCTTGAAATAAACATCGAATGCTTACCTGTTTGCCCTATTATCCTAGGGAACTAGGAAACAGAATCTGTTAGCTCCTACCTCGAGTTACCCGTTGGATTGTGCTATCGTAAATATTCATGATTACGAGGATTCCAGTGACAATGCAATTCCAGTATTTGTGAAGCATACTGAAGCAATGCTTGACGAAATTGATAGGATAGTAAGTGTTTTAACTTGTCATTTTATCTACTCATGAATTACATATTCGGCATAACATCATTCATGATGTTTGTCAGGACGAAGTTGAAATGGAAGATGTGGAGGAACCTGTTATGGACATTGACGCCTGTGATAGGAATGATCCGCTTGCAGTTGTTGAGTACATAGATGATATCTACTCTTTCTACAAGAAAATTGAGGTAACATTTGAATTTGTAAAAGAAAAAATCAAACCCTGGAACGTCTAGGCTTAAGTGGATGCACCATCAACCAAGACCAAGCCATGATATGCCAATATTTAAAGCCTCTGCTTGTTAGTTCTTGTAACGAACAACCATCTTTTAATTTACACAAATTAGTTAGACTCTATCTTTTTTATTTTTGGACAGTCATAGATCGTAGGTTGCTTCCCCCCTAAATTCCTTTGTAGATCAGAACATTAAACGGGACAGAGCTTTAGGTTATGATTTTGTTAGTTTCCCTTTAGAATGCTCGTGGATCAGATGCGAAAATGTGAAAAGGGAGATATCGTTTGGGCTATGGTTTGATTGGTTAGTTAACTGATTGAAAAATCAGATGGAAGGATTTACAAGATTTTGACCCATCAGTTCTTTTGCAGAATTCTAGCTGCGTCTCTCCAAATTATATGACCTGTCAGTTTGACATTAACGAGAAGATGAGGGCCACTCTTGTTGACTGGCTTATTGAGGTACGTGATTTATCTCTCGGATCCATGTGAATGTGGCAAGTACATTTGAAGTTTGAGCTTCTCTAAACTTGGTCAAAGTGACTGCATCTAACAGGTTCACTACAAATTTGAGCTTTTGGAGGAGACATTGTTCCTTACTGTCAATCTCATAGACAGGTTCTTGGAGCGTCAGGCAGTGATCAGAAAGAAACTTCAGTTAGTTGGTGTAACAGCTATGCTAATAGCTTGCAAGTATGAGGAGGTCTCCGTCCCAACTGTTGAGGACTTCATTCTGATAACAGACAAGGCATATACAAGAAATGAAGTTTTAAATATGGTAAGGCAGTTATAAACATTATCATCCTTTCTTTCCTTCCCTCTAATTCTTTGTGTCAAATCAACGTGTGCCAATAGGAGAAATTAATGGTGAATACCTTACAATTCAAGTTGTCTGTGCCTACTCCATACGTGTTCATGAGAAGATTTCTTAAGGCAGCTCATTCTGACAAAAAGGTGAGTAATGTAGCACTGTTTTGCAAAGATTAACACTGAAGTAACTAACAAGGGTGAAAATGTACCAGCTGGAGCTCTTGTCCTTCTTCTTGATCGAACTATGCTTGGTGGAATGTAAAATGCTCGAGTTTTCACCATCTTTGCTAGCTGCTGCAGCCATATACACAGCTCAATGTAGTCTCTACCAGTTTAAGCAATGGACTAAGACCACTGAGTGGTATACTGATTACTCAGAAGAGCAGCTTATGTAAGTTGTTTTTGCTAGCCTTGTACCCTTGTTGAATTTTCTCTAGTCTGACGACATAAATAGTAATTATTATTCTGTGTGCTGTCAGAGAATGCTCGAGGCTGATGGTTATTTTCCATCGGAAAGCTGGATCCGGGAAACACACTGGCGTGTATAGGAAGTACAGTACTTGGAAGTATGGCTGTGCCGCAAAATTAGAACCAGCCCTGTTTCTACTGGACAGTTAAGGGAATGCACTGGACCTTTTAGTTTCTAATGTTTTTTTCCCAGATCGCTTTGGGTTGTTTTGAGAGTTTGCTTGTACTATAAGTTTGTTTTGAGAGTTTCAGTCTTAGCAACAGAAGTTGCAGCTTCAGGAGTGTGTCTTTCTTTGCACTCCAAGGTTGTATTGTATAGAATGCCTGTCACTCAATGCTAGTTTTTTCAGGATCGTATAAAACATTGTGGAATGAAAATGAGTACATAAATAAGTAAATAGTATTGCAAAGAATTACTTTAATTGATATCACAGAAAGATAAAATACTGGTTGGTACTTGAATTATTGATGTATGGTGTTTAATTGATCAGTAAATAGTCAAAACAGTCAAATTAATCACAGAAAGGTAAAATACTGGTTGGTTCTTGAATTATTGATGTATGGTGTTCAATTTAAATGATATTATGTTCCAAATAACCTAATTATAATATTATTGTGTATGAATATAAAAGCACATTTTTAAGACATTATGTTCAATCTAAATTTTCATAATTCACATTTCATAAATATATATCATTTATATTTACTTTTATAAATGATATTATGTTCCAGTTAGCTCGTGGTATAAGCAAATGGTCTACCTAAGATTTTTTTACCTATTATTTAATATTTGTATTTTTAATATTATTATTTAATCCTACTAAATATCTACAAAATAGGTATTCATTTTTGTATAATAGATCATTTGTGTAAATGTTCAAGGAATGTCCTCAAAATATGTCTCTATCGTACCCCCTGTTGCGCCAGAGTAGTGGGTCGTTGCTGATTTGCCTTCCTATTCAATTTTGGGTGACTCGTCTAGTCACTGTACGCTCGAGTCATGCCTTTTATTCTGATCACCTGAAATCTTGTCTCACAACAACAATCTCTTGATAACCCTCTCTCCTTCACTTCTTGACCAAAACCACCACTACCCTCTATTGTACCCAAAATCTTCTCCAATATGTGATAGGTGTGCAACTGCGTCAACTTAGTACACCCACTCTACTTGAAGCTCCAATTGTTGTTCAGTGACACTTCTGAAGGAGCTTCCATAAACATTTTGGGCCTTCTGTGTGAGTTCGCCAGCATTTGCATCATTTATTTGGCTAGCACTACAAGTCTTTGATGTGTTTCTTTTTGTGATCTGGATACAAATTTTGAGTTCGGTTCACTGTACATTCATTTTAATTGAGATTGTTATTTATAGATGGTAAATTGATATTGTAGACCCACAAGATGTAGAGGATGATGCCTCATTTGGTACGAGGTAGTTTGCTAATGGATTAATAAAGTAATATATACTATAGAACTTTATTACATTTCAGCTCAGCTCTCTAATAAAAATAATATTACGTTAAATAATATAAATTAATGGTGTTTTGATACACTGGTGTTCGTAAATGCCACTCTAATTCACAATTTTTAGCGTTCATAGACCCCCCAAAAAAAAAAAAAGTTCTACCGAGAGAATGAACAATTCTCTTAAGATAAGAAAGTCTAAGAACTTCCTACTTAATTGTTGATAATTACGTACATAACAATAATGACAATAAAAAATAATAATTTTCAAATGCGTGTTTGACATACACATTTCAAAGAAAATATGTACATATAATTTAGTGATTTTAAAGTCACTTTCTTATGACAAATCTGATCATCATTGTTGCATGTGACTAAGTATTTATATGAATACTTCCAATGTAGTCAATTTTTTGTCATTATACTAGTAATCAGCAAGAGAGGGAATACAAATCACATATTCTTAGGTTTGCACATTTGATACTCTTCCATAAAAGAAAAAACCTAATGAATGATTTAATTCTTGAGTTCATTCCATATTAGTCTAACCAAACTAGCTAATAATTATAATCTAATTAAAAATTTTAGTAAATTTATTCTTTGAGTGTGATTTAAAGTTCTTTTAATATTTTGTTTAACATAAAATTTGTTTAATATAAAAAATAATGAACAATATCTAGCAATACATCATTATTTTAAAGTATTAAAAATGTTATTAAACTAACATGATTTTTATACATGTAAGTACAAGATATGAAATGTGTTATTTTATAAAATTCAATATTATTTTTTGATATCTGAGCATACTTTCTTAAAATAAATATTTTCTGTTTGTTTTAACAAGTATAATCATATAATTTATAGTCTAACCCTATAAAAAAAAAGCTTTGTAGATATTACTCATATTATATAATAGAAACTAATTTCATTTATATCACTCACATTTTTTTATATAATTTATTATATGTCTAATTTTTAACTTTATAATCACTTTTGATGAGATAAAATTATAGAATTCATGAAAAAATTGTAGTGACTTCGGGTTAAATGATTTCATATACTACAATTACATTAAAAATTACTTAAGGCACTTATGCAATGATTCATGTTACAATCCCATAGTGGACAATTTAATACAACATTTTTCCTAATGTTTATCAATATAAGAACTTTATATCTCATTTTTTCATGATCAATCCATTCATGTACTAGTCTCAACATAATATTTTTTTTAATATTAATATTTGAGTAAGAATAGTTTAAAAATAACCCTTAGTAAGATTTTATGATCAAATTATTTAGTTGCTAAAGTAAAAAGTTATATTTAAAATTCTAAAGACATTATTATATTTTTAAAAATATATATAAATATGAATTGTCTCAATTTATTAAAAAAATAGTTATGATATATTAACGAATGTTCATAACATAAAGACTCTTAAAATATACACTAACATTAACAACTTTTAAATCTTGGAGAAAAATAAATAAAAGAGCTAGTTAAACAAATTTTATCAAGCCACAAAATACTAGGTGAACAAGAAAGAACAATAAATAACTACACATTAAAAACTAAAAGTATATTTTAGATTTAAAAGATTTAAAAAGAAAGCATATTTTATTCATTTTATCAATAATCGAGTCAGATTTGGTGTATAATAACAAATTTATTTTTTTATTAATTCCTCCATGTTGGATAAAAACCTTAAGAATAATTGAATTGAGAGTATTTATCTCATAGTAATTAACATTTAAGAAAAAAATTTGAAACATTTTTCTTCTCACAAAAATATCTAAAATCGTCATTCATTTACAAAACATAAAAGTCAGCTATAATGAATTATATATGAAGTGCTACAATGATAAATTTAAATTATATAGTCATTATTTATATTGTTATTAAACTTATAAGTAGAGATGGAAACAGGTCAAGTCGCCTGACAGGAGCTGTGGCCTGGCCTAATTTAGGCCTGCCTAACCTGAACTTTTTAATAAACAAATCAAGCTCAGACCTTTTTTAAAGCCTGTTTAAGTAAATAAGTCAGACCTGAGCTGTTTATAAAGTTTTTTAAGCCTGACAGGCCAGCCTGTATAAATAAATAAATAAATATATATATATATATATTATATAATTTAAAAATAGAGCTATCAAAATATATTTAAATAATAAAGTTATTTAATAATATATTTTTATATTCTTAATTCTGTTATTATTAAATTAATATATTATTTTATAATTTTATTTATTTATAATTATAATAAACAGAAATTATATTATATTAAAAATTAAAAATATTTATACATGATTACACTTTTTAAATAATAAATTTATTTAATAATAAATTATTATATTTAAACAATTTAAAAAATAGTTAAGTCTTTGAATAAGAATAAGACATAATCAAAACTAAATGAAATAAAATAATAAAATTATATTAACATATTTTTTATACTCTTAATTTTATTATTATTAATTTAATTATTTAATTATTATATTAATATATTATGTTATAATTCTTTTTATTTATAATAAATAGAGATTGCTTAAATCTGAATTATATTTTATTTGAAAGTAAAAATTTATAAAAAAAATGATAACAAAATAAAATAAAAAACTTATTATAATATATATATTAATATATATATATATATATATATATAATCAGACCATGTAACAAATAATATAAATAATATAATTATAAATAAATTATATAATAATATATATTTTTATAACTTGCACATGTTTTAATTAAATTATTAGTCAATTTATCAATTTATATGTAATTTATAAGTATGTGTTTTAATTTATTGTATCAGTAATATTTTCTATATTACATTAATATTATAGTGTATTTAATTTTACATTTATTTGTTAATTTAAAATAACAAATTAATGAGATAAATAAAATTAAATATTTTGTAATTATTTTTTAATTTAATAGTTGTTATTGTTTTCATTTTATACATATATAGTACATTAAGTTGAAATTTGTATATTAAGTTTTATCACATATTTTTTAATTAAGATAAAAATTTAGAAATATAAATTATTTTAATTTAAATATAAATTTTAATAATTCTTCCTATGCTCATATGTTATTTTTGTGTATCTATGAATTTTATAATATAAGTATTTATCATCTACAATTTTTATAATGACGATATTTATTTACTTTTTAAAATATAATAATTTTTTTAGCTGATTCAATAAATTTTATAAGTGTTATTTTTTGTAATTATTTTTTTAATTTAATAGTTATTATTATTGTCATTATATATATATATATATATATATGTTACAGTAAGTTTAAATTTTTTTTTAAAACATATAATTTTCTTTTAATTGATTCAACAAACTGTGTGAATGTTATTTTTTTTTATCAATTTTATGTATTTACTATAACTTTATTTGTTGAATATAAGATGTCTTTAAATAAATAAAATATGTTTCTAAAATAAAACTAAAATATTTATTATTTATATAATTTTAAAAAATAAATAAAAAAATATAAATATAAATTTTATTAATATAAAATATTTATAATTAATACTTAAATAATATTTTAAAAATTATTTATAAAATTATATAAATATTATTATAATTATTTAATAATTATTAAGAACATAGATAGAAATTAGAAAAATGTATAAACTAATCTAATAATAAAATATTTATATTTTTATTAATATTTTTTTTTTAACAAGCTTCGTTAACATGTTTCAGGACAGGTCAGGTCAGGCCACTTAAATAGGTCAAGTCAGGCCTAAAATAAAGCCTTTAACAGGTAACAGGTCAGGCTTAGGCCTAATAATTATGTTACAGGTCAGGCCTGTTTAGAATAAAGTCTGGCCTTACTTGGCCTGTTTCTATCCCTACTTATAAGTCCTTAATTTTATTCATGAATGTCATAATATAAACTAAAAGTATGTAAACAATTTTTAGAATTTTATTTGAATTATTAATACTTTAGGAATTTTTGGATAATTTTGTAAGTTAAATTGAACCTTGGATTATTCGAAAAGACTGAGAAGTCAATATGAGTAGCAGGAAAATCTAATATTTAACTTTCTCATTATTGTTTAGTAATACCCATTACCATTAACTCTAATTTTGACAATCCTAAACCCAAAGTAGGCAGGAATCAATGTTTAGGAACGTAACTTAAATCTTTTATAGTCAATGGGTGTAAGAGAAACTTGGGAAAAAAATATAAGAAAATAAGAAATGAAGGAAAAGAAGAGTTGTATAAACAACAGAGAAAGAAAAGGGAAATGGCTATGATAAACAACTTAAAATGTCGATGTTTCTTCCTTTTGAACATTTAGCTTTAACTCTTTAAGGTGCGAACAGGTAGCAACCACGATGGTGGTTTAAAATAAAAGATCTGGCAGCTTTAATATTACCGTACGTTTCTTCTGAAACAATGTAGAAGCCCTGCCGCCCCTGCGTGCGCAATTGGTATTGTATTCGTGTTTGCATACAACATCTGATTACACCGAAAACTAGCTGAGTTACATGATTAACTCCAACCTCGACCATAAAAAGTTCTTATCATATAATTGAGTTTTATAACAATTTAAGTTTTATCAATAAAGTTACAATATAAAAAAAAAAGAGATCCATAGTATTTTGCAGACAAATGGAAAATAGTATTCAAACCCAAAATGTTTTTTACATGTTATACATCATCACAATCTAACTGGCTCTAAGATGTATTTAACATATTTTACAAATTGCAGTCTTTGTGAATCCACAGTATTTTGCAGACAAATGGAAAATAGTATCCAAACTCAAAATGTTGTTTTCATCTTATACATCATCACAATCTAACTGGCCCTAAGATGTATTTTACATATTTTACAAATTGCAGTCTTTGTGAATCCTCATCCCAAGCCGTCATATAGTCATATCATATTCTACAATTGGCAGCTGGGCAGGAAGTAAAAGCAGAGAGGAAAAACAATAAATTAGAAAATTAGAATTTACCATGTCGAGTTCATATAAAGGCAATGTGCCAAACCAAATGCAAATCTAAATGGATTAATCCATATATCCATAAGAACAATGGCTGCAACGAAATAAAGCAGGAGCGGTCCAATAGCATGGACAGCTGGGCTAATCTGTTGAGCCAGGAAAAATGCATTACTTTCTACTTCTACCCCTCAAAATCCTAAACCAGCCTGCACAATGTTGAGTAATACAACGTGAAATGGATAGTTGGGTCAATGACCAACTTGATGTTAATTGGAAAGTAAACTAGCACATTGGGATTCTTTCGAAACTATTCACTCCAGAGGAGTTGCTTTTTTGCCACATGGGCATTGCTGCTGGTCCATGACATAAGAGTGCACCATGTCAGATTTATGCAAAACTATGGCAGAACAAACACTTAACGTATTCCAAGAATGGACCTTTCTACCTTTTTAATTGCATTTCAAATGGCAGGTCACTTTGTTTTAATGTATACAACAAAATCACAAAAAGCATCATCAGTGTGATAGAATATGAATTCTGAATGATAGAATGTGTATTGAATAGGCGCAGTCGAACAAAAGCACCCTAAATATTTGAGCTCTCAAGCGGCTCAATTGCGTATTCACAAAATAATACATGCTGTCCTTCCTATCTACCATAACCCTTATTTAAACTACTCCTAATAGAAAGATAAATATCATAACCGAAAGATAATAACAGAAATAAAAATAGAAATTAATAATAGAAAGCTAGTCTATTTTCTAACACCTTTCCTAAACTGTTGCCTTTTATAAACTTTTAAACCCTCTGAAAATTTGTCTCTAACAACACTCCCCTCTTGAGCAACCACCTTGTCCTCAAGGTGAAATGCTGGAAATGCTATCTGAATGTCTTCAGCAACCTCCCACGTGCTCTCATGATCTGGCAAGTTCTTCCACCTAATCAGCAGTTCCGTGTCTCCTTGGCCGTTGGTCCTTACTGCCTAGACTTCTTTGGGTTGTACTAGCAACTCCCAGTTTTCATTAAGACTGGGGGTAGGGGTTGGCTCCTTACTCCGGTTGCCACACATTTTTTTAGCAGAGAAATATGAAAAACAGGATGTATTCTTGTGTCTTCTGGTAGTTCTAGCTTGTAGGAAACCTCGCCAATTTTCTCCATCACCTTGTAGGAGCCGTAGTATCTAGGGCTGAACTTTTGATTGGTTTTGGTGGCTAGAGTCTTCATCCTGTAAGGCTGGATCTTTAAGTAAGCCATTTCTCCTACTTCAAGCTCCATTTCTCTCCTTTTCTTGTGCCCTATTCAGCTGCCACTTTAAATCTCTGAGGATGCGATCTCTTTCCGCTAGAGCCGAGTTAACCTCCTCCACTGCTGATGCACCAACCTCCCCTTGCATGATAGCCGGTGGGTCTCTACCATATAATGCCTTGAAGGGGGTAGTTCTTGTTGAGCTGTGATATGTGGTGTTAAACCACAACTTAGCCCAACTCAACCATCTAGCCCATTGCTTCAACTTAGTGCTGGAAAAACACCTCAAATAAGCCTCCAAGCACCTATTTGTTACTTCCGTTTGGCTATCTATTTGTGGATGGTATGCTGAACTGAACCTTAGTTTGATCCCTGCTGCCTTGAATAACTCCTTCCAAAAGGAGCTCATAAAGACTCTATCTCTATCTGAAATAATTTAGGCTGGGAATCCATGCAACTTCACCACCTCTTTGTTGAACAAATCAGCCACGTCTTTAGTTGTGTAGGGGCAAGCTAAGCAAATGAAGTGACTGTACTTAGTCAGCTGTCTACCACCACTAGGATAGTATCCTAGCCCTATGACTTCGGTAGTCCTCCAATGAAATCTATGGAAATATCGTCCCAAACTTGTTATGGAATCGGCAAGGGCTGCAAGAGTCTAGCCGGGCTTAAAGTCTGGTACTTATTCCGGTTGCAAGTATCATAAGCGGCCACATACTCTTGAATAGTCTTCCTCATTCCTTTCCAGCAAACCAAGCTTGCAATCCTCTTGTAGGTTCTGAAAAATCCTGAGTGGCCCCCTATGGCAAAATCATAAAACTGTTGGAGTAGTAGTGAAATCCGGGGAGAATGCTTAGGGAGTACTAGCTTTCCTTTATGGAAAAGCCTTCCATTTTTTAGCTCATAGTTGCTGGCTGAAGGCTCCCCTTGTATAATCTTTTGTATGATGTCTATTAGCTTCTCATCCCTTCTGATCTCTTCTTCTAACCCTGCCCATTCTTGGGAGGTAATCGTAGAAAGGGCCGCCAGCTAAAGCTTCTGGGAAAGCGCATTTGCAACTCGATTTTCCTTTTCAACTTTGTATTTGATTTCGAACTCAAAGCCCATGAGTTTAAATATCCATCTTTGCTGCCCTTCACCTAATACTTGTTGATCAATTATAAATTTAAGAGATTTTTGGTCCATGTACCCCGTGAATTTCCTTCCAAGCAAGTAGTGCTTCCATCTTTGTACTGCGAGAGCAATTGCCATTAACTCCCTCTCATACACAGATTTCATTTGGTTTCTGCTTGAGAGTGTATGACTCCAGAAAGCAATAGGCTTTCCCTCTTGCATCAAGACAGCCCCTAATCATGTTCCTTAAGCATCGGTTTCCAACACAAATTCCTTTTCAAAGCTGGGGGCTGCTAGCACGGGTAAGGAAGTCATGGACTTCTTCAGTTTCGAAAGCTGTCAAGCTTCCATGCTCCAACAAAATCCATCCTTCTTCAACAACGTTGTGAGAGGCCAAGCTAGCTTCCTGTAATTATTCACAAATCTTCTGTAGTGTCTGGTTAGGCCCAAAAATCCCCTTAATCCTTTCATGTCTCGCGGTGCAGGCCAGTTAATTATGGCTTTAATCTTCCTGGATCAGCCTCTACTCCCTCTTTAGAGATAAGATGCCCTAAGTATTCCAACTTAGCTACCATAAAACAACATTTTTTCTGGTTGATATACAGCTAGTTGTCTCAATAGTTCCAGCACCTCCCTTACTTGCCTTACATGCTTTTCCTTGGTCTTGCTGTAGATTAGTATGTCATCGAAGAAAACTAACGCAAACCTTCTCAAGTGGGCTTGGAGTATTTGATTCATGAGGGATTGAAACGTGGAAGGGGCACTGGTTAACCCGAAGGGCATTAACAAGAATTAATAATGCCCCGCGTGCGTTCGGAAGGCTGTCTTTTCAATGTCATCTTCTTTCATCCTAATCTAGTGGTACCCATATTTTAAGTCCAGCTTAGTAAAGATCTTAGCTTCACCCAACTCGTCTAACAACTCTTCTATGACTGGAATGGGAAACTTGTTTGGCCTTGTGATGGCGTTCAGGGCTCAGTAGTCAACGCAAAACCTCTACCCTCCATCTTTCTTCTTTACCAACAACACGGAGCTTGAGTACGAGCTGATACTAGGCTTGATGATGCCAGTCTCTAACATCTCATCCACAATCTTCTCAATCTCATTTTTCTGGGAAGGAGGGTAACAGCCTGATATTTGTTAAGGAAGCTCCCTCCTTTAGGATTATAACATGATTGCATCTCCTTGTAGGGGGTAAACTCATTGAGCAGCTCACTCATGGGTTCGAGTATCTTTTGTGAGGTTTCTTCTTCGGGTTGAGGCTCCACTGGGGTTACCAAAACAACTTTGCCTTCCTCTTTCAGTGCCTTCAAGGTCGTCTTGAACGTGGCCCCTTTCTTGCTCAGAGATGGGTCTCCCTGTATCATCAGGATTTCTGCGCCCTGGTGCCACCTAATGTAGAGCTGAGAGAAGTTTGTTGTGATTGTCCCCAAACTTTGCAACCAGTCCATACCTAGTACCACATCCACACTTTCCAGTTTGATGAGGAAAAATGTTTGTATTATTGTCACTCCTTGTAACTTGAGCTCAACTCTTTTACACACTCCTATACTCTGGTGCTATGCTCCTGTTCCCAGCTCCATTCTGTATTCTGGAGTCTCTGTCACCTTTAGCCTCAACTGCTTTACCAATGCTGTGTGCAGGAAATTTACCTCAGCGCCACAGTCCACTAGAATAGTGATGTTGCGGCCCTGAAGGCTCCCCCGCACCATGAAAGACTTCTTGTTAGTGAACCCCTTCAAGCTTTGCAGTGAGATCTTCAGTACGCGAAGTCTGGTTTCTAGGGGAGGTGTTTCTTCTTCTTCTACCCGAGTCTCGTCTCCTTCCTCCCCCGACCCTTTGCCTTCACTTCCTTCCACTAGCTCGAGCCGAAAGTGTCTGTACTTGCACACATGCTCCTTGTTCCATGGATCCCCACACTTGTAGCACAGTCTTCGAAGATTTCAATCATGGATTTCGGCTTGAGATAATCGTGGTCGCGGCTGGGTATTATGTGGTGGGTCTCGTTTGGGTTGCGAGTCCCTCATGGTGTTATTGGGCCAAGCTCTAGCTATTGTCTGTCTCGGTTTTGAGTAGGGCGAGCTATTGCGCCTACTGGTGCTGGCCCCTTTAGCCCATTGGGCGACTTGGTTATTTCTCCAAGCTTGGTTTCTCTCTTCCAAAAGGATGGCCTTATACTTCATCACCATCAACGACTCCAGCTCCAAGCTCCTCACCGATCTCCTCTTTGAGTCTGTTGAAGAAGACTTCGATCTGCACCTCCATGTCAAGATGCTTAAGAGGTCGCGAGAGTTTCTCGAACTCCTCTATGTATTCTTGCACAGAGTCGGTCTGTCTTAGGCGGAACAGTGCTCCAAAGGGGTCCCTACTCGCGCTTGGTTGGTAGCAACCTAGCAACGCGCTTTTGAACTGGCGCCACGAAGGGACCGTCGTATGCTCCTCCCAAGCGTAAAACCAGTTCAGAGCCGCTCCTTCCAAAGCGAGAAGCACCATGTCGAGGCGCTCATCACCCGCTATGCATTAGAGGGTGAAGTACCTCTCAATCTTCACCAACCTGCTAACTGGGTTGTCGCCGAAAAAAATCAGAAGTTAGATTTTCCGATCACAGTCAAGAGGGGAGTTGTAGCGTCGGCGGTCTCAAAACGAGGAATGGTTGTGCCGGCATTTAGAAGAATCTTTAGGTTTGCGAGGGAACAGGGATGATTGTCGGTGGTGGGAGTCGGGGGAGGCTGAGACCTCTGATCTGGATGTGGGTCTCCACCTTCCTGCAGATTGGTGGCGGACAGCACTGGGTGGTGTGCGGTCACGATGGCGCGATCGGCCCCACATAGTCATTCGCTGCAGCCATGGTAGTCAAAATCGGGAGTTGAATCGTAAAATCGTAAGATTTTACGATTTGGGTCAGCCAAACGATGCAAATCGGAGCGAAAATCGGGAGAGAGTGGAATCGCAGTGAAATCGCGATTTGAACCGTAAAATCGGTTAAATCCCGATTTGATTTCGATGCAGTAAATTGCGGGTCGGTGCAGATTTTGACCCAAAATTTTTATAACCGAGCCCAACCCAATTTTTTAACCCGAGCCCAACCCAATGTTTTATTTAGGCGCGAAAGAAACCCCCCGACACTAAATCCCTCTTTTTTCTTCAGCGAACCCAATGAACCCAAAGCGACAACTTCTTCTTCCTCGTGGTGCTTCATTTTTTCTCTGCGATCTCTCTGGTTTTGTCTGCCGGTCTGCGCCACTTCTACTTGGTTGCTATTTTCTTCTCATATTTCTTTGTTTTCATCATGGAACCCTAAACTCAAGGGAACAAGCTGACAACGACTTGCTAGTTTCTTCTTCCTCCTCTGTTTTTTTTTTCATCTTGTCTGAGAATGGCATAAAAAATGGCTGGTGGTCAAACCTCAAGTGGTGGCTTTTCTGGGTCACTCCCAACTGCAACCGACAGCTCCACTGCTATGGGCTCTTCAAGCGTGCCTCAACGATTGGTTCCCCAAAATGCCCGTGGAAACAAGGCTGATGTGGGATGGAAGTATGGAATTTCAGTTCAAGGAACTGTGAAGATTCAATGCAAATTCTGCCAAAAGGTATTCAATGGAGGGGTTTATCGCCTAAAACACCACTTGGCTAAAACAAATCAAAATGTTGAAGCTTGCAAATTTGTTCCTGATGATGTGAATAAAGAGATGATGGAGATTATTACTTCCTTGATGAAAAAAACAGCTAACAGAAATGGCTCTTTGGAAATTGGTGAAAAGAGAAAAGCCATTGAATGTGATGAAATTGAGAGTGCTAGGATCGGACAGCTTTGCAAGAAAAGGGGTGTAGGTTCACAGGCCACAATAAACAGCATATTCAAGAAGGGTATAAGAGAGGATGCATGTCAAGCAATTGCAAGATTTTTCTACAACAATGCCATAGCTTTCAATGTGGCAAGAAGTGAAGAATTTCCTGCCATGTGAGTTAATTGCACAACATGGTTCAGGATTTAAGCCACCCTCTTATCATGAGATTAGAGTGAAGTATTTGAAGCAAGAAGTGCAAATGACAATGGAAGTTATTGAAGAACATAAAGCTGTTTGGAAGAGTGCTGGCTGCACAATAATGACAGATGGGTGGACTGATAAAAGGAGAAGAACCATTCTGAATTTCTTAGTGAACAGCCCGAAAGGTACAGTGTTTTTGAAGTCAATTGATGCTTCCTACATTACCAAAACAGCTGATAAAATATTTATGATGCTTGATGAAGTTGTGGAAGAGATTGGTTAGGAAAACGTAGTGCAAATTGTAACTGATAATGCAGCAAATTATAAAGCTGCTGGGGAGATGTTAATGGAGAAAAGGAAGAATTTATACTGGACTCCTTGTGCTGCACATTGCATTGATTTAATGCTTGAAGATTTTGAGAAAAAAATACCCCTCCATGAGGAAACAATTCCAAAGGGCAGAAAAATTACAACTTATATTTATTCAAGGACTTCTCTCATTTCATTATTACAACGCTTTACAAAAGAAAAAGACTTGGTGAGACCAGGTATCACTCGATTTGCCACTTCATATTTAACTTTGGGATGCCTTCATGAGAACAAAGGAGCTCTTTTAAGAATGTTCTCGTGTGAAGAATGGAAGTCCAGTAAGTTTTCTAGGACAAGAGAGGGAAATTTGGTAAAGGAAGTTGTTTTGGACAATGGGTTTTGGAAGAATGTTCTAATTTGTTTAAATGGTGCATATCCTTTAATTAAAGTCCTTCGTTTGGTTAATTCAGATGAGAAGCCAGCCATGGGCTTTGTTTATGAGGCAATGGACCAAGCTAAAGAGGCTATCAATATAGCTTTTAATGGTGTCAAGAAAAGGTAATTGATTATCTATCAAATTTAGATAATCCCTAAAATTTAGTAGTCTTTTATTCATTTTTAAAAGATTAACCTATTTTATTTATTTTTTAGTTACATGCCTCTATGGAATATTATTGATAATAGATGGGACAAACAACTTCATAGGCCTTTACATGCTGCTGGCTATTTTCTCAACCCACAGTTACATTATAGTCCTGGATTTAAAGTTGATCTTGAAGTTAAACGAGGACTGTATGATTGTATGGCAAGGATGGTGCCCGATATTGAGGAACAGGCCAAAATTGATGTTCAAATTGATGATTTCAAGAATCAGCAAATGTTTTTCGGTAGTCCCTTAGCTAGAGCAACACTTCTGAAAAAGAATCCAACTGATTGGTGGGAGTCATATGGAGATGAACATCCAGAGCTTCAAAAATTTGCCATTCGTGTATTAAGTTTAACATGTAGTTCCTCTGGATGTGAACGTAATTGGAGTGCATTTGAGATGGTAACATTTTTAGTAAAGTTGTTTTCAATTATCTACATTCTACAAGCTTACATATTGCTTATACATAATTTAATGTGTTTAGGTCCATACCAAAAGGAGAAATCGTTTGAAGCAAAAGACAATGAATGATGTTGTCTTTGTTATGGCTAATTCAAAATTAGTAAAAAAGAAGCAACTTAGGAGAGCTCGTGAGTTAGATCTTGATGATGTTTCATCTGATGATGAGTGGATTGCAGAAAATGATGTTGGAGATATTGAAGGGTTGGATTTGGATGCACACAATTTGGACTTGGATGGAGATGAGACCTTAGCCCAAAACTAAGATGGAAACAATGTTGTTGAGAATGATGTTGATATGCTAAATTTGGATAATGAAGTTGATGGAGATGAAGATGAATACAATATGGTGGATCTTTATGATTTTAATGTGGCACAATTGTTAAATTAGACATCTTAGAATATTACTAGTTTGTAGTTTTTATGCTATTTTGGTGTTTGTGCTTTATAATTTACCAAAAACATGGTGATTTGGATATTTTGGGTTGTTAATTTGTTACATTATGGATTATGCTTGATAGCTTTCTTATGGAATACGGATTATTTGAGTACTTTTAGTGATTTAATATATATTTTTTAATTTCAGCTATTTTATATGCAGAATATAAACTTATATTCATGTATATATAATTTTTGTAAAATCTTACGATTCGATTTACGATTTTTACTTCCCTTAACGATTTGAAGTAAAATCCCGATTTTAACTACCTTGGCTGCAGCAGCTCTTCCAACGTCTTCTCCACACGCTCCAAACGTTTAGACTCCATTGTTCAACAAAAAGGCATCTTCGCACCCCAGGATAGAGCTTTGATACCAAAATGATAGAATATGAATTCTGAATGATAGAATGTGTATTGAATAGGCTCAGTCGAACAAAAGCACCCTGAATATTTGAGCTCTCAAGCCGCTCAGTTACCCTATTCACAAAATAATACACGCTGTCCTTCCTATCTACCATAACCTTATTTCAACTACTCCTAATAGAAAGATAAAAATCATAACCGAAATATAATAACAGAAATAAAAACAGAAATTAATAATAGAAAGCTAATCTATTTCCTAACACCTTTCCTAAACTGTTGCTTTTTATAAACTTTTAAACCCTCTGGAAATTTGTCTCTAACACAGTGATTCCCTGTTCCTCAAAACAAAGCATCAAGGGCTGGACTGTTCAACCAAGTCCGATTGAATTGTACACAACAGAATTTTATTTAAATATTATGAGAGACTGTAATTAGGTGCACTCTTATGAATTTTGTGAAGATTTTTAAAAAACTAAAGAAAATTGATTGTTTTTGCCAGCATGGCAAAATGCAACCACATCAAGATAAACATTTTTGTTAAACTAACACCAAATTGGTAATTGGTTTGTAGCTAACGTCTGATAGGTCATTTAACTATGGATAATTATATAAGGTAGCTCAGTGTGTACTTACTACAATAGACAAACTGATTCAGATCAAGAGTAACTCTGCCATGTTTCGCTATATCAAATGAATTAAACAGATTCCTGCAAGAAATAATGAGGGGTCCTTATTATGATATTGTAATGAATGATAAAATGAAAGTTCGACACTGGGTTGGAAAAACTGGGGCCCTGTTAGAAACTTGTGGCTTGCCAGGATTTTGTATGAAGTGTGAACATACCGAGCTGATTGTAAGAATATACAGATTGATATGAAGATATCCAGCTGAAACCTCCCATTTTTACTTCGATCAAAGCTCTGAGAAGAAACAAAGAGAAATAATTTGGCATGCTTTTCTGAATTGTAATGTTGAATAGATGAATGGCCACCTGAAGTATACGCTAGGCAGCAAAAAATGGTGAGACAATGAAAAATAAATTATATGCCAAACACTGCATTATTGAATTCTCCAACTCACTACTAATAGTAATATATCTTCAATCTATTATCCAAAGAAATTAGGAAATAGATGCTAGAGTAAACAAGAATCTTGCCAAATTTTTTACTATAACCATTGATTGTGTGCACAACTTCTCCAGCATAAATTTAGTTCATATCTAAATTTATAAAGACGTTTTACCTCACAGACAGAGTAAAAAGCAGGAGAATCCAGCATGAAACCAATTTTTACCAAAGCCTGGAAACATATTTAGAAATTCATCAAGATGAGCTGCATGAGAGAATCTTAACTTGTATAAGCAGAGTTGTGTAGACTCTCAATATTCTTATATCCTGGAATAAAAACAGTAGATAATGCAAGGACACCAGTCTATGCGGAGAACACCCAACAATATACAACAACAAAGGAACTTAACATTTTGTCTATATAGTAAGAACTATAGCTCAACTGGATGGACTAAATTAGTATTTAGTAACAGTAAGTACATGTATAATTTAGAATATTGCTGGAATAATTCTTAAAGTATACCTCAAATACATCATCGGGTACAAGAAAACCACGACCCCTGCATCAATGAACCCAACAACAAGTGTTATGGTTCATCCTCCCTAATGGAAAAACCAACAAAGCAAACATTGCTTGATATCTAAAGTCCAACCAAGAGCTCAAATATAGCTTAGACTACAAGGTAGTGAAGCATTTGAATGAAATGTGTTTTGATATATACAGACCTGTAATCAGAAAATAGAAAAAAAACAAGAAATGGCAAGCAAAAACGCTAGAGCAAAGAACAAGTATGTGTGTTATGAGATTGTAAAGGAAAATTATAGAGGAGAAATGTATTCTTCCACTACCCAGAGCTATAGTTCCTATAGAGAACTCGGTGGCTCTCCATCCTAACAAAAAAGATAATACCCAAAAAGATACCCTCTTCATTCTCTCCCCCCACTATGTAATCACCCACACACTCCTTACCCCAACTAATTCTGTGCCAACTCAGCACCCATCATCTTTTTCTTTCTCTTACGAAAATACACTTTCCATGACTTAGGTCTAGCAACCTCATCTTGGACTAAAGCTTCCCTTGGCCCATCTTCATCTTGGGCCCTATCATATACACACAGAATTATACTTGCACAAAAGACTTGATCATGGAGACAGTTTCCTCTGACACATTTAGGTTCAAGCGGGGCAGGAAAGGATCCATTTTTAAATCCATGACCAAGGAAGAAACTGCCCATCAGGAAATTGTACTCCAGAAGAGGGCACGTCACATGATAAAAGTTTTGTTGGCAGTTCTAGGTAGAAGTCCAGAAGATAGGAGTAGTTATCTATTATTAGATATATGCGTAGTATGGTGTAATAGGCATATATGTGAGTTGTGTCCTAGTAATTTGGACAGAGAATCCATCTCTGTAGAAGTCTATGACTGGGGCAACAAATACTGCTGTATTATGCCTATTTTGTGTTATTAATCCTATTCACCAATCTATCTATTGGTGTTCTATCGCATCTAAAGGTTTTTAGAGACTTCGGAAGTAATAGGCCCCAGTAATATTAAGATTCAAACCCACCTTACTCACATGGTTTATTAACATTCAAATTATTAGTTTCTTTTCCAAAAGGTCATCCATCATTTAGTTAAATCTCACTAGAGGTAAATGCAAAGGAAATTATTTAGGATCTGTTTGGTGTGGCTGCGACTTTTTAGTTTTCAAATGCAAATTTTTAAATAAAATATGTTTGGCTAAAAAAGAGTTGAATTGGTTTTTAAATTTAATTTCAAAATAATTTTACATCAATTTTTAAACTGAAAACGAATTGGTTTTTAGTTAAAAAAGAATACTCAGCTCTCATATCTTATAAAAGACACACAACAGTGCAACTGGTTGTCATTACTAATCAATAACTATTGTTGTCTCTGCCACCACCTTTATCACAAGAATTATAGTTACTATTATCACCATCATTTTCACTTGAAGTATAAATGAGCTGAGCTATTAGGGAATTGTTTAAACCCAGCTCACTAAATACTTGTTTATTTAGCTAAATAAACAAGTTTAAACTTTAAGTTTGACTTAATTATTTAAATGAGTCAAACTCAAGCTTTTCAAATTTCACATTAATAACTCATAAACAACTTGTATATATCTATAGTAAGATAATTATAATTTTTTTTTGTAAGACTTGTATTTTAAGCAAATGATCATAATTTTTTTTAAGAACTCTACTATTTTCATGGTAAAAAATTTCAGTTCTAATATCAAGTTATCCTCTTGTATATAAAATATTTTCTTATTATTTTACTTATTAGTACAAAAGTGTCTATTAAATATTAATTAATACAACAATCAAGCCTTATCTTACTAGGTGAGATCGATTATATGGATCACACGATGTCATTGAGCTCGGTAAAAAACTAAATTTTTAAAAATCTAATTAATCAAAATGTCTCTTTTAATAATTTTGTCTAAAATCCTTGAGTCTCTCTTGACTCCTTTTAAGAGTCATACAATCTACTCTCTTTACTAGTGTCTCTAGATATTAGTTAATAAATAAAGATTTACTTAAAGAGAAACTCATTAAAGAAAAATAAAACTAAATCATAAATAAACTAATGAGTTAAACTCAAGCTTTAAGTTTAGTTTATTTTGATAAATGAGTTAAGCTTAAACGTTCCTTTATTCACAAGTCAAACATGAATTTCAAATACTCAACTTATTTATACTGATATACTCCTAGTTGCCATCACGACTACCACCATTACAATCACCACTACTGTTGCTACATAGTTGTCAATGTCACCATCCTAGTCATTGTCATTATTAGAGGAATGCTAAGAACATATTCTCATTTATTGATCAAATTTTATTAGAAACTACAAAGACATAAATGGAACTTATTAAATTAAGAGTGAAATTCACATATTCTTTGTATTTTTTAATAAATTTTAGTCAATAATAAGTCTCATGCATGCTCCCACCACATTGTTTCTATTACCATAAGTCTACTCTTGCCTCTCTTTCTCTTACTCCTACTCCCACCACCAACAAACAAGCTTAAATTAAGTAAAAAGTGATTTTTGAAGTTTGAATTTAAGATTTGGGGTTAAAATGTAAAAATTGAAAACCAAAAAATTTTAAAATTTAAACCTGGGTTTTAGTTTTAAAATTTTCAAAACTTAAAACTAAAAATCATATCCGAAAGGACCTTTAAAAAGTAGACATGACAAGAAACTGAATAACCATGATGGAGATAAAAATAAAAAGATTACCTCTCTAGATCAGAAAATGCATGTTGAACCTGCAAAGCCATTTACTAAGAATAAGAATACTCGTGGTAACTATCAGAAGTGTAACTACACACTACTGATTGTAACGTGATATACCATGCAGACAAGGGTGCACATACATTATGAGAAAAAGTTAACATGATCATTCACAAGTCTTGGGATTTGAAAGCCAAAAGGCAATAATAAATTACAGATATGCCATGAGGCATACATTCTACACTAATTTACCAAAAGTGAGAGTACTAACCTTAAGAAGGAACTTGTTGAGTGCAACAAATTCTGAGAGAAGCAATTTATAGGTCAGAGAGAGCGATAAGATACAATGGTTTGACTTAAAATATAAAGGCAATTAAGAAGTAGGATGCACAGAATTTCAAATTTGGTGCGGAATTGGTAAAGAAAAAAGCGTGTAAAAATATTGTTTAGCTACAGGAAGAGAGAGTTTGGAAAATGATGACTAAAAGAAAAAAGAAATCCGTCGGGGAGATAAATGGGAATTGCATATGGAATTAGTGGTAGGATAATGAGTAGAAAGCATAGTAGTGGCAATGGCAGGCATACCTTCAAAGCTCATCGTACCATTCCTGTCGAAATCGTACATCCTATAGTGTGGGAAAAGAAAAAGAACAAACGATGAAATTAAAAGAGCAGTGCAATTAATAAATATAGGGAAGAAAAGGGAGCTCACCTGATCATCTGCTCAACAACTGAGAGGGGAAATTCCAGGTTGCCCACAGCTAGAGCTGTCTGATTAAAAAAACAAACAAAACAAAATTATGATCCATCACAATTGGTATTCAAAATTGGAATTCAGAGGACAAATCAACCACCCACCTTGAGTTGGAGCGCTGTTATGCTTCCATTTTTCTCCGAGTCGACTCGGTCAAACCATTCCCGCAGTATTTCCCTGTTCTCCATTCTCCTTCTCTCTCTTTCCTTCTCCCTTTTTGCCTTTTCCTCCCTCAGCTTCGCCCTTCTCTGGTGGACACAATTACTATGATTTGAAACGGCGTCGTTTTAGTATTATGTTAATTTAGATTTAGATACGAAATAAAAAATAATTCTATTTGTTTTTTTAATTATAAAAAATAACAATATGAATATGAAGAAGCGAGTGGAGACTCTCGTCTCGTTTATTATTTTGTAACGTATTTATTATTTATTTATTATCATAGAGAGGTCGGAGAGGAGGGATTGCGAGGAAAAGAGGGGTTTTCTTGGTTGAATTGCTTACGAGACGATCCAGATAAGGTTAAGGTTCTTTTCTTGCTTTGCCTTACCCTATTTATTCTGTTCGATTCGATTATTACTTCTCTCTCCACCACTTTGATCTGAATCAATCAATCCCCTTCCCCTTCTAGTTTTGCCTGTGCCTGTGGATCGTCAATTTAATTTAATTGCCCCATTATTTAGTTAGTATGCATGTGGACATGTGTATCCATTAATCCAGTGTATGTTACGATATGTTGAACAGGTTATGTTTGCATTGAATTGAGCTGTAGTATTACTGTGAGTGAGTGGTCAATGAACATCAACAGCATTATCATCCAATTGGGTTACTCGCCTCCTGCATGGGCAACTATAATTGCAGCTGCCTTTCTCATCTCCACTCTAACTCTCTCCATGTATCTTTTATTTGAGCATCTTTCCGCTTACAAGAATCCCGAGGAGCAAAAGTTCTTGATTGGGGTTATCCTAATGGTTCCCTGCTATTCTATTGAATCTGTAAGTTCATACTCACATCTCATCATATCATACAATACCCATATGTTATCTCAACTCACTTTCTTCTTTCCATCACTGCCAGTTTGTATCATTGGTCAATCCATCAATCAGCGTTGATTGCGAGATTCTAAGGGACTGCTACGAATCCTTTGCCATGTATTGCTTTGGAAGATACCTTGTTGCCTGTCTTGGCGGTGAGGAAAGGACCATTCAATTTATGGAAAGGCAGGCTCGTATCACTGTTAAAACTCCTCTTCTACACCATTCCTCTGACCAGGGCACTATCAGCCATCCTTTTCCCATCAACTATTTCCTTAAACCCTGGAAACTCGGTTCCGGCTTCTATCAAATTGTTAAATTTGGCATTGTTCAATATGTATGCCATCTCCATCTCCCATACACTTTCATCCTCTCTATTTTCTTCGTATTAACTCTCTCCAACCCCCTTACAGATGATAATCAAGGCTTTCACCGCAATTCTGGCCGTAATCCTTGAAGCCTTCGGAGTCTACTGTGAAGGAGAATTTAAACCGGGATGTGGGTAAGAATTTCTCAATTTACCCATGTACAGTTATTGGTTTGTTTAGTCATATTACATAAGCATGTTTATTTTCCCTCTCGCTCCTTTCGTGTTTCAAATAACCCAGTTTCCTTTTAATATTATTCCTTACAGTCCTTTTAAACGATTATTATTGTTTCCATAGAACATTTAACTTCTTTCTTTATCTATTCAAGTACACTAGAATCTTGTGAACTATGCCTTGAATTCACCTTCATCTTTATTGATCATTCACTGCCAATCTATGTTAATAATGTTATATTTATGGTCATCTTCTTCCAAGTACCTTGCATATGCCTTTTGTATTACTTTTGTCCTTTTTTTACCAACATAATAACAAAGCTCCTTCACTCTTCATAATCCACTATCTTCAATTTCTTAGGAGATATGACAGTTATTAAACTACTCCAATTTCACGTGAACAGATAAATGAGAGGGGAAATAGAAATCTTGAAGGAAACATTAAAATTATAATCTTAGAGGGAAACAAGAATGTCAAGCAAGAAAAATAGAGAGGGGAAGAAAAAAAAGCAAGAAAGTGTCCAATCATGGGATTGATCTTTGAGGAGGCGGCTCTAACATTGAGCTGATGTACCTGAGAATGCCAGCATAAAGTATTGCCAATAGCTTAGCCATTCAAAATTGTTCTTTCTGCTCTAGAATATTTTAAAATAGAGAAATCCCAATTATGATAAGAGGAAAGAGAAGACTTTAAGGGAAGTTTTGAAAATCACAAAAATATTAAATGCACATGCTTTTGTTGGCTTTCTTTACTCCTTATGTAATTAGGAGGATTATTTTAATGATGTATTCAGAGGATTTAGCTTGTTTCTCTAACCTATACCTTTTGTATGAGATGCTAATGATTATGTCTGCATCTGATTGTTATTGATACTCTGTTGTGGCGTTGAATTGCTTATGTGATTATTTCTGGATTTGGTAGGTAAAATTTCATGTTTGGTACCTTTGTATTAAAGTTTGTATTATTATGCTCTTCTAGTGTCAAGTAAAGGTTCGGGAGTTATATCTGACTGCATGAGTTATTTGCTACATTTGTAGGTATCCTTATGTGGCAGTGGTTCTGAATTTCAGTCAGTCTTGGGCTTTGTACTGCCTTGTTCAATTTTATACTGTTACAAAGGACGAACTGGCTCATATAAAGCCATTGGCCAAATTTTTGACATTTAAATCAATTGTGTTCCTCACTTGGTGGCAAGGTGTAGCAATTGCTCTCCTATGTACCGTTGGTTTGTTCAAAAGTCCCATAGCACATGGCTTGCAGTTTAAGTCAAGTATCCAGGATTTCATCATTTGCATTGAGGTAAATGACCTTCACATAAGTTTACTTCTTTGCATGGCAATTGCATTAGGAACTGTAACATCATTTTCATAAATTTCATTGAATGTCCTATCTATGTATTATATCATACAGCTGACCATTATTAGGAAACTTTTTGTGCTACCATGAACCATGACCAACACAGACCCTAGTCATCACTGGTCCCGAATGCCTTGAAACATGGTCAAGATGAATTATCTCTTTCTTTTTATAATTCATTTTGGTAGGAAGTGAATTGTGCTATCTGAGCATGTGAATTTTCTCTAGATTATTTACAGCAATTTCTTGCTAATTGATCTGTTGAAAGTTTGTGTTCATGCCACAATTATTTTTATATTACATTAACATAATATGATTTCTTTTCACAGAACTAGATATTTGTAGCTAGTCCCAAGTTGTAAACCCTGGTTTGATGTGATTGATCAGTAGATTGATTGATCATTTAACCAATCTTAATAATCAGGCAACCCAATGCCATGGGTTGATAATATGCTACAAAGCTCAGTAGTTCATATTTTATAATTTTAGCGCTTTGTTACATTTTGCATTTATGATTTTTCAGCACTCAAGCTCTTGGGCCTCTACACACTGTTTCTTGAACTTGTACTTGTACCTTTTTGGACTCATAAGTACATGTTCAGCACTTCTTATCTTCATGTGTTAAATTTTTATGACTGCTTCAGATAAGGGGAAGAATAAAGTTTAACAGCACTTTGTATTCATCAAGCACAGATGGGCATAGCTTCTGTAGTCCACCTTTATGTGTTTCCGGCGAAGCCTTATGAGCTAATGGGAGACTGCCTTCCTGGAAGTGTTTCAGTTCTGGGAGATTACTCTGCTGACTGTCCTCTGGACCCTGATGAGATTAGAGACAGTGAGAGACCCACAAAACTGCGTCTTCCTACACCTGATGTTGATGCCAAGAGTGGGATGACAATCAGAGAGAGTGTTCGTGATGTAGTTATTGGTGGTGGTGGATATGTAAGTTTCCTGAAGTGTGCTAATATTACAATCTAGTTAAGATTTACATTCCTAGCAAAGACAAGAAATTATATCATTCTGTGAAAAATTAAACCATTGAGTATTTATGAACTTGTCATTAGAAGAGTTTATAAGGGAATTAGGTCAAATATTTCTCTTTAGCTGTGGAGGTTCCAGCACCATATAGAAGATCTTACTTTTAATGTTTTCAAATGTTTTGCCGAAGGAAAAGAAAATATAAAAAGGGGTAGGATGATCTGGTAGCGTTATATTTATTTGAAACAGATTGTAGGGTCATTTCCTATTGTGTCTGCTAATTTTCAGTTTGTGATGGAGTCCACAATTCACAGTAAATGTAATGTGTCACCATATTGATGTAGCTGTCCTGTTAATTGAAAACCTGAATGAGACACACACCAAATATGCATGCAAAATGCATTGATATTTCCTAAAGAATATTTATTAAAAATAGAGAAACAGTAGATACTAGGGCAATAAGATCTTGGATAAAATTAAGGAAAATTGAATCATAAAGCAGGCTGCATTTATCTGAAATAACTTCTTTATGTTTTTACTTACATTTTTAATCCCATACCTATCTATTTTATTTTCTAAACATACCAACAAATGACTTATTAGGAATCTTCAGGACAATAAAAGAGTGAAAACTTCCAGTGTTATGTCTTTATTAGTGTTTATACATATAATGTTTTATCTGCTTTGCCCTTTTTTTAACCTTCAGATCGTGAAAGATTTGAAGTTCACAGTCCATCAAGCAGTGGAGCCTGTGGAAAAAGGGATCACTAGATTCAATGAAAAACTACACCGAATCTCCCAAAATATTAAGAAACATGACAAAGATGCAAGAAGAACCAAGGATGATAGTTGCATTGTCTCATCATCACCTGCAAGGAGGGTGATTCGAGGAATTGATGACCCCCTATTGAATGGGAGTTTCAGCGATAGTGGGATATCAAGGGTAAAGAAGCATCGCCGAAAATCTGGATATACAAGTGCAGAGAGTGGAGAGAGCAGTAGTGATCAAAGTTATGGGGGCTACCAGATTAGAGGCCGAAGGTGGGTTACGAAGGAGTAACTGATGGTTTAGGGAACAGCTTATAGCAGTTTCGCAAAAATGCTAGATTTTACTGGTTCATGTGCCCAGCGCTGAGCTGAGATGAATGGGAGGAATAATTTGTTACATGTTTGGCGCATGAGAGATCTGGTTGAAATTTTTAACTGTGTATCATTTCTCGTCAGATGAAGTCATGATTTTTCCTGTGCCATTGCTATGATGGGTCTTCTGTATTTGTATAGAGGTTTCTTCTGGCAGCTTCTAATACTTTTGCTTTGTACCAAACAAGAAATTTACAGCAGTTGCCAGAATAAGCGACGAGTTTGCCGGGGGCAATACTATGTGATACTGGGGATCTATTGGAATGTTAATGTTAGTTTTGTGCGGTTATTAGTGTTTAGAGGTATACGCATGCGAATATTTTTTACCAGTGTAGGGAGAGTTAAGGCAACATTTTGACTTTGTATGATTTAGGAGGAGAAAAGATGACAGAAAATGAGAAGAAACAAATGTACAGATAATATTATTCTCTCGTATTTGATAGTGGGGTAGCGAAGAAATGTGGGAAGGAGAGTAAAAAAGTTGCTAATCCCAAAAAAATTTTACTGGTTAATGAGTGTGCCTTACACAACAATGACCAAATCATTTTTTCACTAAATAGGATTTGATTACACGAATAACAAGTCATTGTGTTTTGACGATGGTTTGGGACTTGGAGACGTTGAGTTTACGAAAAGCTTATTTACTTTTTAAAAACAATTTTTAATTTTTTTAAAAAAACACGTAGTTTGTTTTTAAATATTATATTTTAATAATACTTTAAAAAAATAGCTTAGTAGAATAAATTCTTTTAAATTTATTTTAAAAATTGTACAGTCAAATTGATTATATTAGATTTGCCAATGGTTTTCATGTTGACTTGTTGATATTTTAAGAGTTATATATAAGATTTATGGAATTTTATTTAGGTGATTTTGTTTAAAATATTTTTTTTATAATTAAATTGGTAGTAGTGACAGTTTACATAACAATGATACTTTTTATGTTTTTTTAATAATACTATTTTGTTTTCTTTTTGCTATCTCTTTCTATCATATTAATCATCTTTTCTATGCCGTCAAGGAAGGATTGATACGCATTTTGCTTTTACTAAATAACAAATTTGCACGATAATTTCTTTACTATAAAAGTTCTTGGCAAAGGAACTTGCCAATTCTCCCACGAATCCTAAAAATCATGGAAAGCCATGGCATATGCTTGTATTGTTTCCTTTTGTGTTAATAGGTATATTTCAGTTTCAATTACAAATCGGTTAGAATTTATGAATGCGAGCATGACATTAGATGAATGTTATGTAAAAAGAAAGAAATTTTACGATTACGAAAAGAAAAGGAAACAATATTGTAAAAGACATCTCGTGTGATTGATGTTAAATCTAGCTGTGTATCTGAATTAGCGCAATGAAGGTAGAATGGTTCAATAAATTTATGAAAGAACACTCATAAGTTGTAGATTTTGCAAGTTCACTAATATATAGACTATCCAACTTTATTTAATATACTATTACAAATTATATATAGTAAGAAGTAAAGTGAATATAAATTGAGTAAAATATGTGGTAGTAATTTACATTCAACCAGAAGAAAGGGTTGAACTATATATATTTTTTTAAGAAAAGTCTCTATTATACAACTAATTGTTAACAGTAGTAATTTTTGAATTAATATATAAATAAGAAGGGAGGGGTAGAGAGAGTAGTGATCGGGAGCATCCGACGTGGCGGAATTATGATCAGATAACAGAAAGAGAAGAGAACGAAGGAAGGAAGTTGGTCCGTGATCCTCTCTGCTCTCTCTACTCTCCGCTGACAAGATGAAAATGGCACTGCTGAAGCTATGGAGACCCACACCCACGCCTGGCACTGCACAACTGTCTTGGCGCTGCTCTGGGGCACCCACAACGCTGGCCTTCACTGCTACCAATTGGAATTCGAATTATGGGGGTGGGTGGCTTTCCATATCCAAATGAAATTGAATCGAATGAGTATGAATAATTTGATGTGTGCTGTGAACTGTAGGAAAGGGAAGGGGAAGGGTAAGGGGAGGAGTGAGAGTGAAATGCAGCGGAGGCGTGAATGTTGGGCCAGGAACCCCTGTTAGGCCCACCAGCATACTGGTTGTTGGGGCTACAGGAACCCTTGGAAGGCAGATTGTGAGGCGTGCACTGGACGAAGGCTACGACGTCAGGTGCCTCGTTAGGCCCAGGCCTGCTCCTGCCGACTTCCTTCGCGATTGGGGAGCCACCGTTGTTAATGTAATTCTTGTTGCTGTTAATGTAACTGTTACTGTTTTAGAACTTTCATTCTGCATTCATCTTCTTTCCCTTTCAGGCTGACCTCAGTAAACCAGACACCATTCCCTCCACCTTGGTCGGCATTCATACCGTCATTGACTGCGCCACAGGCCGTCCCGAGGAGCCCATCAAAACCGTAATTACCGCTGCTTCGTTCAACTTTCCATTTCAATTTCATTTCATAATACTATAATTATTCATTATAGGTGGACTGGGAAGGGAAAGTGGCTCTTATACAGTGCGCTAAAGCAATGGGAATTCAGAAATACGTGTTCTATTCCATCCACAACTGCGACAAGCATCCCGAGGTTCCCCTCATGGAGATCAAGCATTGCACTGAGAAGTTCCTCCGAGATTCTGCCCTCAATCACATTGTTATCCGCTTGTGCGGTTTCATGCAAGTAACTACTAATCATTGCCGTTGCCTATGGTTTCATCTTCTCCACTCTTCCCAGAGCCTAACTATCACTACACTTTTTTCTATTGCAGGGTCTTATTGGGCAGTATGCAGTTCCTATCCTGGAAGAAAAATCTGTCTGGGGAACGGACGCCCCCACCAGAATTGCTTACATGGATACTCAGGTAATTCATTCATCCTCCATCCTTTCTTATTTGCTTTCTAATTACTCTACCTTTGTTACCTCAACTTTTAGGATATAGCTCGCTTGACATTTGTAGCCTTACGAAATGAGAAATTAAATGGTAAACTTCTTACATTTGCCGGTCCTCGTGCCTGGACAACCCAAGAGGTAACTTCTTCTTCAATGCTCAATGCTCAATGCTCATCTACCTCACTCGTCTCATTGTATTTTCAGGTGATAACCTTGTGCGAGAGGCTTGCAGGCCAAGACGCCAATGTAACTACAGTTCCAGTCTCTATATTAAGACTCACTCGTCAGTTGACGCGCTTTTTTGAGTGGACAAATGATGTTGCTGACAGATTGGCATTTTCGGAGGTATTTCCTTACCCACTATCAGTCTTTCTTAAACTCATAAATAGTTGCTATCCATTCCTCCGCACCCCATCCTTTTTTTATTTCTTGATAACTCACTGTACCGTACCATTAAGCATTATTGATGAGTGGTCACTTCTTCAAGGAGTTGTGCTTATGTTCTAGTTGCCCCATTACTGACATCTCATAACTATAATTTTTCATAACCTTCTTCATTTTAAAGATGTGAAGAGAGATAAAAAGATGTTGAATCTGTGGTGTTTACAAATAAAAATTGATTTCATTGTTATTGTTTTTGAGTGGCTGCCTCTATGGTATAATAATGGGGCGGTCGCGGGTTCGCTATACTCCTCAACTCCACCTGAGGTAAAACAATCTGATTTTATTTGAGTACTTGGATAATCGAGTGAAAGTGAATGGAATCCTATCTGACCAATCTTTGTTAGTGTCTCCGGTCAAATTAGAATGAGCGGTGTATTTTAGAAAATAAAATACGAAATTACAATTATTGATTCAAAAAATAATGGCGTAGATTCTGCCAGTTTTATAGTTTGCTACATGACAGATTTAAGTTGTTGATTTTCAATTGACTGTGATAGTTTTATGCTATATCCTCTAAAATATATTCTTCATTCTAGATGAGTCAAGTTCTAAACTAAAACCAATATTTTTACTGGTTTAATTTTGAAGATATTGATTTTATCGGTATTGCCCTTTGTCATGCGTTTAACAGTTACTGATTTACATTTTTCTTAGTCGTAGTTAGGATTTACCTGTCCCACTCTTCCCTGATCCATGTGGTCATTGCCTTTACAATTTTTTTTAAAAAAAGCAACCTCCAAAATATGGGACTTCTTTTTGGTGTAATGGGCTTTTATTTTTTATTTAAGTTTCAAGTATGAGTCTTTCAATTTTAAAATTTAATTTTCTTTACTTTTGAAAAATCTCTGAAATTCATTGCGTGAAGATTGTAAAGCAGTGGGAATTTAAAATGTATTCCAGACGTTGACCTAAAATAGAAAAGCATTCCAGATGATCAAATGTGAAAGTGAAATATTAGAATGTCATATGCTCAAATTTATTTTATTTTTTTGTACAATAAGCGCAGAAAAATTAGAAATAAAAAATTGGGCATGTATGATAATCACAATGGAAGGCATAGACATATCATGTTGATGGAATAAGAGCGATAGGATTTAAGGACTTATTGCATGAGTATAAATACTTGTAAAAAAAAATTAAGAAAGCAAAAGAAATAAACTTTTTTTCGTAAAATTAATATATGGACATTACCTTTTTTAAAAACTTTTCTATTTAATTTCTCCTAAACTTAATATGTATAAGAAAAGTTTAATTTATTCTAACTCCTTATTTTATTCTCTTATAAGTATTTTGTTGAAAAGTTTATTCAAATTCAGCCTAACATTATATTTTAGTTGTTGATTTGCTGCCTTTAGTGTATATAAAGCATTTCTATTTCCTTTTAGCGGTAACAAAATATGCCTGATAATGGAAAAATATGCAGGTCCTTACTAGCGATACTGTTTTTTCTGTTCCGATGGCGGAGACATACAATCTTCTTGGGGTGGATTCGAAAGATATAATTACACTAGAGAAATATTTGCAGGATTACTTCACAAACATATTAAAGAAATTGAAGGATCTGAAAGCCCAGTCAAAGCAAACGGATATTTACCTCTGAGAGATTATTTGTAATTGAAAACGAGGTGACAATGTAGATATCTAGAAATTTAATTGAGATGCTCTGGCAACGTATATTTATTTTAATTTTTTTTGTAATTCTGTTATTTAAATCACTAAAAATTAATATTGTATGTGATATTATGTATATATATTTTTTTTTATGTATGCAGTTCAAAAATACATTAAAAATATAAAAGGAGATCAATTGCAATAGCAACTATAAATCTCAATTAATCAAAGTATTAAAAAAAATTGAAAAAGAACTTGACTAAAAAATATAACTTTGTTGAAAAAAACATCTGAAAATTTTACCAAGACTTTTTTTCTATCTTATCAAGATTTACTTATTTAGACATGTTAACATAAGACAAATAAGCAGGACCAAGACTGGTGATCTCGATTTTTTGAAGTTCGAACTTTGACGTGACGGTGTGAATGTTTTCAAAATTGAATAGGTTGTCGGACTGATTAAAGTATTGATTCATAATTCAGTAAGTGATTATATCATTACTTATTTTTAATATTATATAACATATTAGATAATTAAATACATAATTTTTTAATATCGTATATGTTTGTAAGGTAAGAGTAAACCTTGGTAAAATTAGTTAATTATTTTGTTATGTAACATTATTTTAATGATTATAAGCATAAAATTCTAGATAATTTTAATATTAATGAGTATGTTACATTACAGTTAATATTTATTTATATTTTACAGAATATAATATTTAAATTGATTGACAAAGTATTAATTATTTTTAAAATTGTATAAAATTTTATGAGTTTGATCTGTTCAATTATAACATTTAATTTAATAATTAAATTAACAAAATTTAATATTGATAATAAGGTATTGAATAAAATAAGTTTTTCAAGTGGACAAAAATACATCTAGCACAACATATATTAGATTTAGCTATTTTTAAATAGAAGTAAAAAAATATTAAAATAAATATATGTTTATATTCATTTTAAAAAAGTCAATCGCGTTTTTCTTTGTAATGTAAATATATAAACATCGGATTTAGCATTAAAAAAAAAGAACACGAGATTTACAAAGCCGCCTGTATAGGTCCCACATGTTATTATTTATGCCACAGGATCTTATCTTTTGGTTAGTAAGATCATGTTAGGCATTAGCCGCCTTGGTTGAACAAGTCCATGAAGGGAAGATATATATAACTGTCTTTGAAGAAGAAATATAGAGGGAGGTGAGGAAATGGAAAGGAAGATGAGTTGGAGATGGGCAGCGGTGGCAGGGGTGTTGGTGTGGTTTACAGTAGGAAGCAGGGGAGAGCAGTGTGGAAGCCAGGCAGGGGGTGCTCTGTGCCCAGGTGGGTTGTGTTGCAGCAAATTCGGGTGGTGTGGAACAACCCCTGACTACTGCGGCGATGGTTGCCAAAGTCAGTGCAGCGGAAGCAGTGAAGGTGGCGACCTCGCTGCCCTCATCTCCAGAGACACCTTCAACCAGATGCTCATACATAGAGATGATGGTGCATGCCCAGCAAGAGGATTTTACACCTACGATGCTTTCATCGCTGCTGCTAAGGCTTTCCCCAACTTCGCCAACGACGGAGACACTGCCACTCGCAAAAGAGAGATCGCTGCTTTCTTCGGCCAAACATCCCACGAAACTACTGGAGGATGGCCCACTGCTCCCGATGGGCCCTACGCATGGGGTTACTGCTTTGTTAGAGAACAGAACCCCAGCGACTACTGTTCCCCCAGCTCCCAATTCCCCTGTGCTCCTGGCAGGCAATACTACGGTCGGGGTCCCATTCAACTATCATGGTAAGTAGTAAAGCATTTGGATCTGGATTTCGATTTCGATTTCGATTTCGTTGGATTTGGATTTGGATTTGGAAGATTTTATAATATAATTAATCTTATGCAAATGAATACGAATGAACAGGAACTACAACTACGGACAATGTGGAAATGCAATAGGCGTGGACTTGCTGAACAATCCTGACCTGGTCGCCACAGATCCAGTCATCTCGTTCAAGACAGCCATCTGGTTCTGGATGACGCCACAATCGCCAAAGCCATCCTGCCACGACGTCATCACCGGACGATGGAACCCCTCCGATGCTGATCGTGCGGCTGGGAGACTTCCTGGGTACGGTACTGTCACCAACATCATCAATGGTGGCCTTGAATGCGGCCATGGCCAAGATAGCAGGGTGCAAGACCGCATCGGATTTTACCAGAGATACTGTAACTTACTTGGCGTTGACTATGGCAGTAACCTTGACTGTTCTTCACAGAGGCCATTTGCATCTTCTCTGCTGCTTCTCGACTCCATCTGAATTGTGAGGAAAAGGATTGAGGAACTCCTCGCGACAACTCACTCTCACTTCTCATTTAGAGACTAGAGAGACACTGTCACTTCTTTCCAAAATTAAATAATATGTTCCTCATCGCGTTTCATATGCAACTTTAACACAATTCAATTTCATTTTTTTTAAATATTATAAATATTCATAATTTAATCATTTTCACGTACCTAAATATAAATCATTTAGTTACCTTTTCTAATTAAAGTTACTTAATAACATACATAAAATAATATAGATAATTCTAATCTTTAAACATATAAATTATAAATTCATTTAAAATATAATTTTTAATTAATTTTTAAAAATTAATTTAATAAAAAATAATAAATCAAATATATTTATTAATTATTATATAAAAATGTTTATTTATTTATTTTTATAAAATTAATATAAAAATATTACATGTTCAATGAATTTTTTTAAAGTCACAATAGATATATAAAGTTAACAACAAAATAAATAAACTAGTTAAATTTTTTAAGTTATCTATTATGTAAATACTTAAAATTATTTATTTTAAAAAATTAACATATTAAAAATAAAATAAAATTCTTTTACAACAAAAATTATAAACATATGCTACTTAATATTACAAAATTCAGATGTAAAAAAATAATTTGTAAACTTAATAAAAATTAATAAATATTTGTAAATTTAAATTTTAGCTCATTTTAATTTGATAAAATTTTATTTTTAAAAAAATATTTTTTAATTAAAAATAATTTTTTAATAAAATAATTTAATAAAAATAATAAGTAAACATATGTATCTTTAATTATTATAATATAATTTAATTACTCACTAAAAAAATTAGTTAACTCACTTCTAACTCTAATTCTAATCCACTTTTTTTATTATATATTAAAATTTAAGATGAAAATAAGTTTATTATATATAAAACTAAAAAAAATTAGGACTATATAATCAACTATGTAGAATAGGTTGTGAGCTTAGGCCATTCTTACATAGTTTTTCCTTTAATCTCACTTTTTTTTTAAAGGAGAACGTACAAGTTCATGAAGTCATTATTTATCAAGGTAACGGAACTCATTCACTCATTGATTTAGTCAAACAATATGACCCATTCAAATATCAAGTATTTATTTATTTTTTTATCAATATATCTAGTATTTATTATAACTATAAATCAATCGATTGAAATTAAGTTTGGTTTACCTTATCAAGAAACAAGCACTATAGAAATGAAGAAAAAAACAGAAATTCAATAACTTAATGTAATATTTATTAATTTATAAGGTTAAATATAAAAGTAGTCACTGCATATACTTGCATTGCATTTTTTATTTTTTATTTTAGTCTTTCTCCATTTTCTTTCTTTTTTTTTTTTAATGTTTCTAAAACATTTGAAGTAGTCGTTATCGGTCTGTCTCATATCAAACGTGAATGAAACGGCGTAATCCAACCGTAGGTTTCAACTCCGGCGACTTCCAACTCTTAAGGTTTCGACTTCGGCCATGGCTGTTATTGCTTCCTCTACCACTTCCTCGATCTTTTCACTCTTACCCAACCCAAACCCCACTTCCAACCCCACACCCTTCATTCGTCAACCCCTCAAACGTCATTTCTCAGACTCAAATGCACCCCACCACTTCAAATCAAAACCTATTTCCTCCTCTGCACTCACTTCCTTCCCTTCACAAACCCACAAGCTTCTCGTTCCTTCAAAGCTTCACTACTTGGTCCAAGAGTTTCGCTTCATGTTGGAACTGATAGAGCGGGTAAAACAGTTATTGCAATACGCAATGAATGATGGCGTTGATGGATGACTTGCGTCGGGGTGACTTGAACTGCATAAGGGGTTGGTGGCTCTTAATGTGGGGTTGTCAGGAACAGGACGTTCGAGGGTGAAGATGCAGCACAACGTGATGGTTAGCATGGAGCAGGGGACCAAGCAATTGGTGGTTAAAAAATTAAGCCTTACAAGTTTATTATGTAAAAATTATATACACATATAAGTTTAATTTAAACTAAATTAAATCACTTTTTAAAATTTTGAATTTGTAACCCAATTCAATTCAGTGATATAAGTTCAATTTTTCATTGATTTTAGTTTTAAATTTATATTAGATTTAATAAGTTTATAAAGACTCAATATAAATCAAATTAAATTTAAACTTGTTTAAGAAATTTTTTTTATTTAAATAAATTTGATAAAATTCGATAAAAAAAATTAATTTTTTCTTTTAAGTTAAAAAATTTATAGTTAAAATTATTTAAAATTTAATTAATTTATTTATTTATTAAATTATAAGAATTTAATAAATATTTATTTCTTATCAATAACTACCTAATTATTAAAGATTCATATATATTATTTCACTAAATATTTTAAATATATTATTTAATGTACTATTTATACTAAAAATTAATGAAATATAATCATTTAAAATTAAATTAAATTCTTAAAGATAATAATAATGATTATAAAAATTATGACTTTAAAAAATTAATTAAAAAAAGTTATAATATTACATGATCTAAAATTCTTAAATTTTTATTATATGATTACAATATAGTTTAGATAAAAAAAAATTTAAATTTTTCATAATTTTAACTCATACGAATTTTTTTAACTTAAACAAAAATTACTCTTTTTTTTATCAAATTTACTTAATTAAATTATATTAACTTAAATAAAAATTACTTTTTGTCAAATTTACTTAAGAAAAAAATTTGAAAATATTTCATCAAAATATGTCAAATTATTCGTTTGGCGCCTATGACGTAACCAATGTACTATATAAATGTGTCAGTTTAAGCCTACACAAACTGATCTTTCCCATCGCCATCTCAGCCCTTCAGTTCTACGGGGTCCATTTTCCTCGTAGGCAATCAAGAAGGTAATGAGTTCACCTATCCTTCATTCACTCTCAAAACTAGCTTTTCATGTACATATAGAGTATACACTTAACAAAACCCTGCATCCAATCTGAGGTACGCATTTCAAAATTTACAGGTTGGAAGGCGCGAATGCAGGTCAGGTTGTGTCCGAAGGATAAAGACATGAACAACCAACATTTTACGTGCTCTGGCTAGTATTTGGAAACTTCCATCACACGGAACCTGGAATTGTAAGAAAATTGTTTACTTAAGCTTCCACCCCTCTTGCTTGTGATGTCTCTGACAAGAAAGAATCAATATTTCCTGTTGCTTTAGCATTAAAATATTTGCCATGTGTATTGAATTCAGTTCCCTTTTTCACATAGAGTAGCTAAAAGCTCTGACCGAGCCTTGTCGAGGGCACTTGCCAAATTTTCAGCCTTCCTCCCACCAGCCTGAGCAAAATTGGGCCTTCCACCTCCTCCACCACCACATAGTTTTGCTATTTGTCCAATAAACTTACCTGCCTGAATCCCCAGATCAACAACCCCAGGAGTAAAAGCAGCTACTAGACTAACCTTCCCTGCACCTGGACACGAGCCCAGTACAACCGCTGCTGGATCTCCTAGTGTTTCAATTAAATATTCTGCAGCACTTTTAAGTGACTCTGCATCAACATCATCCAAGCACTCAACCAGTACCCTGAAAATTTTCAACAATCAACAAATAAAAATTATAATCTACTCAAGGAATAAAATTTCAAAGATAATTTTTTTAGTCCCACCAAGCTTTAACGAGATACACACACACACACAAAGGGCATCCTCTCAAGATCTAATCAATTCTGTAGCATTCGCAGAAAATATGTTCTAAGGACAATCGATGATGTGATGCAAAACCTCTGCTTCTTCACTGTCAGCTTTCTTTGGTTATGACATGAAAAACTTAAAGTGAGAAAAAGTTAAAAGACTTTTATATCAAAAACATTTTTCACCTTTTTCTCGAGAGTTATACATAATAGGAGGTAACTTGGCAACACTAAATTATTTAACTTCTAACAGGGAAGAAAGCTCTCTCCTCCATATTATCGCAACATATACTTCCCACCCATATGGAAAAATATTACCTGTACTGTTTTGAATTCCCCACCAACAATGCTTTGCTTGCAATGACTGAAGCTTTGTAGACTGCTGCTTTTGCACGAACAGCAGAATTTTCGTTTCTAGCTACCCGTAACTCCTCTAAAAGGTTTTCTATCCTTGTTGTCACTTCTTCAGGTTTAACCTTCATAAGGTGATAGTAATTACAAAACATTAAGACATGCAAAATCAATATTGCTGAACACAACGTATAGATTAGAAGTGCTTGAAGCAAAGAAATGGTTTCATACGCAGAAAATGATCAAGCAAACAATACCCCTAGAAATTTTATTAAATTTTATTAATGATTGTAGATATAAAGGATACACTCTGTATTTCAGCAACATATGCAACAAGGAACCAAAATGTATGAACACCTAAAAAAGTCAGAAAGTTCCCTTCTCTGATATGTTTAATCCATTGAGGAACAATCTACACAGAAATCCTTACAAGGCATAAAGAAAATGAAAAACCCCGAAGTATTTGAATGGCACATGGAGAACCCTTCCAGATTATGATCAATGCCCATCTTGTATAAAATAACATGGTTTGACAGAAAGAAAATGAAAAAGAGCAAGGAAAGCAAAAGGATGGCCACGTCCACAAATTTATGTAATTAAGAACTGATCGCAATAATTGTGTGACACATGGATATTAACAGCACAACAGGATTTTAAGATCATGGCCCACGTAGATGAAAATGAATAGTAACTGGTTCTCCTAAGGACAAATTATAACTGGTCAAAACTTCGACAGTACTGTCAAAAGCCAAGATCACGGAACATACTTTGAGAGTGGAACATAGCTGCCTCAGATAAAAGTCTCGGGCATTGACATATTCAATGAAAGCTTCCCCAGCTACAGCTTCAATACGCCTGATTCCAGACGCAATGCCCTGCTCTGAGATTATTTTAAAACCACGAATTTCAGAAGTGCTACTGACATGAGTCCCACCACAAAGTTCCATCGATACACCAGGAACCTCTACAACACGTACCTGCAGCAAACCAAATTTCAAAACCACAAGAAGCTGCATGATCATCATATCAGCTTGATAAATACTACATAAATATCTTACACATATTCTAAATCTTTTCCCTCAATATTAAGAGGTAGAAATATGCACGTCTAAGATCTGGAATATATAGCAAGCCATTAGGATTAAAACTTTCTTTATACAGTCTCAATGTTTTATGCAGCATGATACCCTATAAGATTTACAGAACCCAATATATTACTATGCCGTACATTATTTACTATGGTGGTCCATGCACATGTCAAATATTGAGGGACAAAAATCGGTATATCAGAAATGACAACCATCCCTGAAGGTCACCCCTTTTGAGTACTCACTTCATGATTCATGAAGTTTACATGCTGTTAACAGAAGCCAAATGAACTTCAAAGGTCAATATCAAAAGTATTCACAGTAAATCCAACCTCTTCTCCATATTTTTCTCCAAACATTGCAATAGCTCCAGCTCTTTTTGCATCAGCAAGAGGCATCACTTTGGTTTGAAGCAGCGTAGAATCCTCAATCCATCCATTGATTATCACCTCAATTTCTGCAAGCTCACTGTCAAGAAGTGGTCGGTGAAAGTTGAAATCAAACCTGAGACGATCAAATGCCACCAATGAACCAGCTTGTGAGGTCTCCTGACCAATAACTTTCTTCAGTGCAGCTTGTAGTAAATGAGTAGCAGTATGATGAACCTGCAAAGCACCAATTAATTTACTATGATCTCAGACAACCTGTAAGCTTGGAATTTGGAAATATGCATGACTAGATGATGAAAGGATTCTTCGTATCAAAAGATTCACCAAACAAGTACATGAATGAAACGAAAAAGCCAACAGTTCTTGTACCTTAGCTCGCTGCCTCAGCTTTACATCCACTGTGGCTTCTACTTCTTTGCCAACCTCTACAACACCCTTTTGAACTGTACCCTTGTGAACAAATACGTTACCCAAAGACTTCTGAACATCTATTATCTCAACAACAGCTTTTGGTTGATTCTCACCCTCTGAAATATATAGAAAACCATGATCTCCAATTTGTCCCCCTGATTCAGCATAAAATGGAGTTTTGTTTAGTAAAACTTCCACATTACTCCCTTCACCAACCCGTACAACTGGATCACCATTTACCATTAGGCTTTCTATCATGGCTTTACAATAAAGACTGTCATATCCAATAAATTCAGTATCAGGTACATCTTCTGCAATATTTTCCCCATTTCCAATGGTAAGTTTGACAGTATTGTGTGCAGCTTGAGATTGACGCCTTTGCTTCTCCATCTCAATATCAAAACCACTCATATCAATATTCACACCACATTCTTCAGCCACTTCTTTTGTTATTTCCATTGGATACCCATAAGTATCATACAAAAGAAACACATCTTCACCAGCCAAGCAAGGCACAGTTCCATTTCTTTCTGCACTTGATAAAGCATCAGCAAGTTTCTCCTCAAGCAACTTTTCACCTCTCTCAAGTGTCTGCACAAACCGAAGCTCTTCTCTCTTCAACTCCTCAAGGATACGTGGTGCTCTGTTCTTCAAATCAGCATCAATTTGCCTACTTAATTCAACTACCTTCTCAGCAATAATTGGCAAGAAAGCTCCTTCAAGGTCTCCCCTGCCATCACCTTTTATACCAAGCAACCTGCCTGTACGAACAACCCTTCTAATAAGACGCCGAACTACATAACCTCTCCCAACATTTGATGGAACAACTCCATCAGAGATGAGAAATACAATTGCACGCATGTGGTCTCCTATAATCTAAGATAAATTGACTATTAAGATATGACAAAAAAAGAAATAGCATACATCAAAAGTAATAGGAAAGGCAAGTATAGGATAAAATGAACTATCTAAGATTGTACTACAGCTTGTATGAAGATATATTTACTTTTAGATTCCTCTTTGTCTGATCATCAGCAGTGCCATATGAAACATTTGTTAATTTAGAGGCCATCTCTATAATGGGGAAGATTAAGTCAGTTTCATAGTTGTTTGGAACCTGCAAAACATCAAATATATATAAAATGGACTTTAGGAGCATATGCAACAATAGTTATAGTGCCCCAGAGATACTTCTGAAAACATAAATGATGACTTTTACAAGAATGCAAATCAACATATACATTTTGAAGAATGCGAGCCATACGCTCCAGTCCAAGGCCAGTATCTATGTTCTTCTGCTTTAGAGGTTCAAGAGAACCATCGTCTTTTTTGTTGTATTGCATAAATACTAGGTTGTAGAACTCTATAAACCTTGTATCATCATTGAGATCCTGCTTTCATCCCATCCCACAATACCAAAAAATTGTCAAATAACATGGTTGAAGTGATTTTGAAAAACACAATAAAAAAAAATTAAGTCATACTTACGGCATCTACATGTCCCCTCTCAGGATGAAAATCATAATAAATTTCTGAGCAAGGACCACAGGGGCCTGTCACTCCACTGGACCAGAAGTTGTCCTCTTCTCCCAACCTCTTTATACGCTCCACTGGAACACCGACCTGCATAGAAACAAAGGGCATAGATTTAAGATAACATTATGCATTGGCACATTAATGCAATAGGGTTTGTTGAGTGTTAACTGGAAACCCATACATGGTAAAAACTTAAAAAGGCGGAGTCATGTATGGAAACAAGATGATGGTTGAGGAAATCCGTTTGTAGCTAACCTCATGAGACCAGAGCTGAAAAGCCTCGTCATCATCTTGATAAACACTAACCCATAATCTGTTTGGGGGCAAACGAAATCTAAAAAAGTAAAGGAAGACATGAGAAATGATATAGACATGAAAGAAGGAAGAGGTGAGGTGAGTTGGAATACAGACTCAACGGTGGAAAGCTCCCAAGCCCATAGAATAGCTTGTTTTTTGAAGTAATCACCAAAGCTGAAGTTTCCAAGCATTTCAAAGAAGGTATGATGTCTGGCAGTGAGGCCAACGTTGTGGATATCATTAGTACGTATGCACCTTTGCGCAGTAGTGGCACAAGGTACTTGTCTTGGAACCTGTCAATAATCAATATATGTAGTTGGTAGAGAAAGAGAAATTGTTGCAAGGCATAAACAATAGGAATACTGACCTTGCCTAGGAAGATAGGCTTGAACTGAAGCATCCCTGCGATAGTGAGTAGAACAGTGGGATCATCGGGGACCAGAGAAGCACTGGGAAGGACCTTGTGACCACGGCAAGCGTAAAAATTGAGAAATCTCTGCCGTATGGAATCCCCGCTCACACAATCAGGATTAGGATTGGGATTATCTAGTTCTTGTTCATGTTCAGAAAGGGGAACAGCCTCAGCCTGTGAGTGTGCATGCGATGATGTGCGAAAAGAAACGCCGCGTCCAAGGTGTTGTTTGAGATTCAGAGAGACAAATCCCGTAACTGCTGCGTACAATTACAAACAGGATTAGCGTTAATTACCGATAATGAGGGAAGCGAATCAGCTAATTACCATTACCATTAGGTGTTGTGGGAATGCCAACTTTAGGAAGCGGTAACAGTTGTGCAACTGGAACCGCCAGGCCTTCCATGCCACTCCAATGGATTGGGTTGCTTTTCTTTCTTCAACTTCAACACTCCAATGCCCCCTCTATAACGGATAACTATCCTATTCGCACCACCACACAATACTAATAACAACCATATTTTCTTCTAGCCATTTTGTAGTACATTATAGAATTCTAATTATAAAATCAACTTCGTCCATCAACGTAGTACGTTATAACTTCCCAATTTTCATGTTTGTGGTTCCCCTCGACTCCCAATATTTTATTTACTTTATCCTTATATTAATATAAATTGAAAATTATTTAGCAAATAAAAATATTTTAAGCATTTTGATAATTAAGTTAAATAAAATTTTTATTTTAATTATTTTTCAGCTTAAAATTTTGTATATTATAAATCAGTAAACCGCAGGGTAAGTAATTATTTTTAAATTAATTTTTATAAAAATAAATAATTTTCACTAGTATACAAACTTATAATTAAATAAAATGAAAAATTAAAATATCAATATATTTTTATTAAAAAAATTGAAGGCTTACAACTAATTAAGAAGCATTCTTTTTTTTTTTTTTACTAAAATAATTATTTAATAAAAATCTTAAACATTTTACTATTCTATCTCAGACATCTTAGGTAAAAAAAAAATAATTCAAAAGGCACTTATTTTGAAAGTGGACAGTGGCATATCCGCCCTTAAGCTTAATTATATACTTTTAGTTCTCCTACTTTATTTGATGTGGAATTTCCATCATTGCAATTTTAATTGCACAGATTTTATCCCCATACTTGTTAAATTGGGTCTCATCCCAATTTTCACGTCAAATTGACGGATTAGCCTGATTTGCAATTTGACTAAGTTGGCACTAGAAAATATTTAAAATTATTTTTTAAATAATAATAAACAAAAACACATACATACTCAAACACAAGATAAATTTTGTTTAGTATTTACTGTGACACCTTGTAAACTTGAATGACTATTTTATATCTTTTTTAAATTAAAATTTGTGATTTTTTTAATATCTTAAAGATAAAAAAAGTATTAATGTTTTTTATAAACTAAATCACTAACTTCCATTATCTATCCATATAAAATTAATGGTCAGGATTATTCCACTAAGAGAGGATACCAAACTCTATCATAGATTTTACCAATTCTTTTCTTTTCTTTTTCCACTCTCATTCTCCTACCACAGAGAGTCGATTGCAGACGGAAGTATTTGGGCCTCCATGGAAGTTAAGCCCAAACTCACACTTTACGAGATTTTTGAAAGAATAACGACCAAAAAAAATGAAAGGAAGAATCCGTTCCCTTCTTGACCAAAAAAAAAAAGCCTGTTCCCTTCATCTTTAAATGAATAACAATGGGATTGAAATGTAACCTGCTTCTGTTTAACAAGTGGAACAAGCTCAAACGCAGGCAAGGGATAAAAGCCGAAATGTTGAGAAATTCTTTTATGATGCTTAAGGTTTCATGGCTGTTCAAATGACTGAAACTGACGTGAAGTTTGCCTTTTACAATAGCTTTCGTGAGAATATACACCATTAAAAGTTGACAAAGTCGATGCATTCTTCTACATGAAGTATACATACGATGCACCAGAAAATGAGTACATAATTTTATGTATCCTTGTTTGTGCATAGTCATAGAAGCTATTTGTTGGGGAAAGGAATTCGGTTCATGAGCATGTGGACGAGCTTCAGGCCAGCAAATCCTGAAGAATATACTGGACTTCAGAGCCCAAGTGAACAAGATCAAGAAATTAATGCAGTAAAGTGTTACTCACTTTGGTAGTGGTAATTTCACAGGTATGTATGGGAGCAGCTGGAGGGGGAGAGGGGGGAAGCAGGCGAGTGCTTCTAGGTGGTGGATTTGGGAGTGGGTGTAGATGGGTTGGGAGATTATAAAGATTGAAAAGGCGAATGAGGCAAAAGTTTTTTTTCCATGGACCCCTACCATCCACTCCGCCACTACCTACCTCCACTAGCTTTGCCACCACCATCCTCTTCTTTTCCTTTATACCCCATGACTTTGCTTCCCTCATCACATCCTACCGAGAAGATTCCTCATTGCGGGGATGAGTAGGAGGTGTATAGGCGATGACCAATTTGATGGAGGGAAGGCATGTCTCCAGCCCGGGATTTGCGGATTAGGAAGCCATGTCAACAGCTTTGTGATGAGCAATTTGTTGGTTACATTGTAGATTAGGAATTTAGGGCTAATGGCATAAAAAAAATGCCTTTTCTTTTTATTTAAACATATTAGTCCTTGTCAGTCATCTCCATCATATTTTCATCCACAATTGGACGAAATTTACATCAACAATTAGAAAATCATGAGGATGAAATTCCCACAATTAGAAGTACATGAACTACAAGCGTACATTGAGAAAAAAGTGAGATTAAACAGGTAATTAAGCCTATGCTTTATTAAAGTGAAGGCAGGTATACCTTTATTTGTTCACTTTAAATACAAATTTACTCTAGAACAGCCTTATCCCTGGCAGTACGAAGAGAGTCCTACTCAAACTTCACGGCAACAATGTCTGTGCATGTACAGAAAGTCAAACTCATCTCCTGCTAGTGCTTACAGAAGGATCACAGTAAAAAAGGAAACAAAGAGTATAATAACATGTGGTGAGTTTAACAGAGCCACAGGGTAAAAGGCAAACTGTCCTAATCACCTAATTACGAAATTCTGTAGGGTAGGAATTATTATGAAGTAGAAATGGCTCCGCCACAGCATGAAAATGCTCAATAGAAGCTGTCATCAAACCTGACTACAACTCTGCTTTCAGTTACAGGCCTGCTGTTGTTGATCACTCACTCAGCAATCTGCCCAAAAGGGAACAGTGTAAGGTACCATAATAAAAGGATCACACATGATGAAAATACAAAAAGATTATGTTACTGACTTGATTAAGAGGATTGTCAGGAGATTTCTTCCAGAGCTTCCATATCAAGTCCTTGTACTGAGTGTGGGTAAGGCCTGGTTTCTCTTCTTTCAGCTTAGGGAGCTCAGCTTCTTCAAATGCCTGCACGTTACGGTTAGTTAATCCGCGATGACAGCGGATCCAAAGCAAACAATAAGGCGTGAAATGCGTCGTTCTACAGAATTGAATGTTACCTTGAAGGAGGCCTTGAGGCGCCTCTCGGGATGCCTATCGGGGGGCAAGTTATCGACGATGGTCATCTGAGCGATGGCATCATCCACAGTTCGTGCTTCGATGATGGAATCATCGCGATTAGTGTTGGAAACGAGCACCATTCTCTCGTACTCCTCCTCCGCAGCAGTGCGACTCTGGCGCTTCTTGGCCTCCTCCGCCTTCCTCTGTGCCTCCGCCTGCTCCTCCTCGCGCTGCCTCCTAAGCTCAGCCTCCGTCACCTTCGGCACCGGGATAGACACTCGGTTCGCCTTCTTATCCACCTTTTTCATGGACTTATCGAGCTCCTTCTCCTCCTGCTCCGCCAACCGACGCGCCTCCGCTCGCCGTGCCACTGCCTCCGCCTTCTTTTCGGCCTCTTCCTCCTTCTTCTTGGCGGCGCGTGACTTCGAACCCTCCGCCTCTCGCCAGTAATGATCCTCTTTCTCTCGACTTTCCCTCTCCTTTCGCTCCACTTCCGCCGCACTCTTGCGAGCCCTCGCCGCCTCCGCCTTGGTGTTGACTCCCATCTTCTTCGGCATCTCTTCCTTTCCTTTTAGGGTTCCGATCTAGATTCCGATTCTGGAAGGAACCCCTCCCTCCTCAGAAAAATAAATTTTCACACAGCTATGATGTATGTTGGAGTTGGATCATACGATATGATATGAGTATCCATATCCTTCGTCCTTATGATACTACCATCCATGGGCCTCGGCCCGCTTCTTACCCATTGCCCACTTCTCTCAAAACCCGACCCATGATTCCTTGCTTTTTTTCTTCTCTTCACCACAAAAAACATTCTAATTATTGTTTTTTTAAAGTCCTAATAATAGGTCAGCACTCTGCGCTTGTTTGTAGGATCTTTCTCTATTTTATTTCCATAACTATTTCACCAAATAAAAAATATCAACAAAAGTTGTTTAATATTTTATATTTTACATATAAGATTGTACTGATATTTATAAAATTATAATTTATCTTTGAAAACAAAACTCTCATTATATGTTTTTTCTAAAATGAGGTCGAAAGGGTTAGGGACTTTATTAATAATTTTTTAATTTTATATCTAATAATTACCCATCTAAAGAAATGCAGTCTAAAATAATATAAAATAAAAAACAATCCATACATATTAATCCTTACATGTGGACACTTTTCTTTTAAATTTATTTGGAATATATAAGAGAAAATAAAATAAAAGGGCGTTCAAGACTTACCAATTGTAAAGATGATCGATCGTAGGACTAGAGGAAAAAAAAAAAAAAAAGGTCTCTACAAGTTTTTTATTTTACTACATTTTTGAATTGTTCGAACTCAAAAATGGTTGGTGGAAATGGTTTATCCGATCCGATTTTCTTATTAATGAAAAAAAGTTTGAAAGTGATTTAAAATTAGTTCCATTACCGTTGGTTGGATATGGTCAGTAGAGAGAGTGAGGAAACTAATAACTATCATCACTACAACTGTAACTATAAATATAGGTCAGTTGACGAATGAGGAACGAAAAGAAAAGAAAAGGGGAGAAACTAGAAATATTGTACAAAGTGGAGGGCTATTTATAAATTGACAAGTTGGGATCAGGAATTGGGGTTTCGTTTTTGGGTTACTGAAAGGGAAACAATCGAAGAATTTGAGAAGCGAAGCGCACAACGCAAGCACAAGGGAGAGAAGAAAGATCCTCTCTTTACACACTCTTACTTCCCTAACTGTAAGCCCTTTTGTCTGCTCATTATTCATTCTCATCCTCATCTCTTCCTCTTTTCTCCGCAATCAAATATTCTTGATGAAAATTGTTTCAATCTTGGACACCTTTTGCCTTTCGAACCAAGTTTCTCGTTGCCAAGAAATTCGCACCTCAGGTGCTTCTCTTCAGCTCAATTATGTATTTTTTATAATATACCAACGCATCCCTTTTTTTAATAGCCAAGTTTCTGTTTTTTGGGAACTCTCCCTCAACACTCTTTTAGAAATACTGTTAATACCGTTATGTTTGAATAATCTCCAAACCAAAAATTGAGATGTAATGAGAATCAGGAGACAATTGCTATCTGAGATGTAATGAGAATCATTTGACATTGGTGGATGAGTAACATCTTTGTCTGATCATAAATTGCAGTTGATAATGATTCAACAACTCATGAAAGATTGACAAATGGATCCTGCAGGCAAAAAATTTGGGGGTAAAAGTTTGTCATCTCAGCTCTTTGCTTTGTGTAGATTATCTTACACATATATCTTCTTTTGAATTTTGTTCTTCTTATGATGTCCTTTAGAGTTAGGAAAATGTCCATAATACTTCCTATAAGGCTTGAGTAAGCTCTCCCTTAAGCTAGTTATTTGAAGTTAAGCTCAGCTTATTTCTGATATGTGGGACTACCCACAAATATTCAATATTGCAAACTCCACACGTTCAATCTCTAGTTTTGGGCATGAGGGAGTGAATTAAAATGATTCACATTGGCTAGGAATATGACCAAAATATTTCTTGTAAGGCTTGGGTAGTGGTGAGGTAGTAGGCCCAGTTTAGTTCAAATAGTTGTTAAATATGCCAATCCTACTTTCCTATCTGCATAACATTGATTATACCCATAATCCTATTGAAATATTTTGTTAAATTTTCAATCTGCCAGTATTTTTTACAAAGGTGTTTTCATCTATTCCTCTAAGGGTCAGAGTAGGTCCATGAATGTTGAAAAGTGAATATTCTGTTTGTGCTAAACATGTAGTTCAGACAATATTTTGGCATGTGTCCATGTATGTATGTATGTATGTCTCTTGTGTCCCTTGTGTGTGTTTTTTGAGGTTGATTTGCAATTTAACATTGTGCAGTAATGCTTGATTTTGCTTCCGCCTGATTGAGTTCATTATGATTCTGTGATTTACCATCCACACGTTACTTTATTATTTATTGATTTTAAGGCTTGGTGTTAAAATTTGAATAGAGTTTTTTTAGTACTTATTTAGGTGTGGTACAATCATTTATCATGATGATATATTCGTTATCACGTTTTCTGGTGCTTTCTGTTGAGAAACTAATATTTGGATCATGTATTCCGTATGAGTGAGTTATATCATGTAATACTTTATGGCTCCTGCTAGTCAAGGTTTTGGATTCTAAAGATTAAGATAAATAATCAAAAGCTCACTTGAATTTTGAAATATAGCATGTTGAGATCCAACATTGACTCGGCCAAAGTAAAGCTTATTAAATGATAAGACAATGCTCATCTTACGAGTTAACTTTTAGGTTGAGTTGGGCTAAATCCAAATTCAAGATAGTATTAGAGTTTATTGTTGATTTGATATTAAGCTACTCTTGACTATATAAAAAAATAACCCAGTCTAGCAGATTTTTCTAATACAATTAATTTGACATTGTTATTTAAAATTGGCTCAAGTTATATTTTCCTTAATATTTAACTCAAGCTTTTAACTTTGTGAGAAATATAATCAAATTAAGTTGACCTTACATAATTTAGAGATATAACTCTCGTATTTAACATACATTTTGCAAAAATTTGTTGCACATGTACATGTCTCAATTTGTATTTATTAATCAGTCTCGTTATTATCGTTTGACAATCACAAAAGACAAATGCTGCTTCTATAAAGAATATCTGTTAAGAAATTTTCTTAATCAACTTCATATGCTACCAAGTAAAATAAAACTTGGTCTCTATAATAAATTTAATCATACAGGTATATTTGGATAATTTAAGCAACATCTCTCCTGAGGATAAATTAAGTGCACTCATTAATTTATTCTCATATGAATAATGTTTAATTCACATCACTAAATCATTTGAATATAAAGAAAATCTTCTGTGTATGATATAGGCTATGCTGTTTTGAAAATATTTCATGAGTTTAACAAGCATAAAATAAATATATTTGCAATAAACTTAAATAATTTAGACATGCTCTTATTGACCTACAAGGTTTGCCTTTTGAGTGTGAACATCATTAGGAAATCTCAATTTAAGACATTCAAACTTTTCTAAGAAACTTTGCAATATAATATTTTGTGATAACATTATTTATCCACTTCATTAAGATTTTAAACACTAAAAATTTACACATGCTTCACCCATGTTTTGCACAAGAATGCCATGAAGAAAACTCATATTGCATACACGAATAATTTTTCATTTTTCAGCACAAGTTAAAAAAAAGATGAAAAAAAAAAACTTGAAATCCTTCCAATAAATGGATATTCAAATCAAATTTTTAAAATAACACGAGTTTAACATTTAGAGATAGTCTATTACAAAATGTTTTAAAAAGAATTCAAACTACTAAATTTGTTTGAAATTGTCTTAACAATAAATCAATTCAATTATAAAAATAATTTTTTATCCAACTCTTTTATTTTAATTCTACTACATATGTGTTCTCAATTAAATGATACACATACTAACGAAGTAGCAAACATAAAAAAAAATGATATAATAATATATCAATAATTTTTTTAGATGATTTGCAAAAGAAAATTGCATTTTTTTAAAAGGAAATATCTAAATGTATGAAGAATAAATATATATAATATTTAGATGACAATAACTAATCTACATCCAGATTAAAGTAAAACTTTAACAAAATTACAAAATAAATTTAGCCTGACTCAATGAGCAGTTGGGCACAAGGTTCTATTTTTCTCGTTATTTGTTATTGAAGAAACATTTTTCATTTTAAATTCATATCGATTAAAAAGGAAAGATATAGTTACCGTAGAATAAAATTCCCCATTAAATGTACGATTGATGATTGAATATTATGGTAAAGGTCATTGTCAAAAATAAGAATAGTTGAGAATAAATTCTTAAGGACAATATTGTTTGATAACTTGATTTATAATGTTTATTACATATTTATGTAATCATTTTTTATAATTTATTTAAATTATGAATTAACTTTATATTCATGAAAGAACATTATTTAAAGGAATGTTTTTACTATATTGTATGGTCTTGGACACTTGTTTTCTTGAATATTTTTTTGGATTCTTTTGTTCGATCTCTTTGTATTCTGTTTATCAAAGACAAATTTTTGGAAGTCTATTAAATATCCTGAGAGATTTTTGTGAAAATTAAATGTGAATAAATCCTTAAGATTGTTAGAAGTATTAAAGAATAATAGCCTGAAGTGTCAAATGACATTGTCTTTAAGGATTTATTTGCCTCAAGATACTGCAAAAATCATCCAGGATAAAATAACAGATTCTTGTGAGAGATCAACTAAAAAATCATCCAGGATATAACATATTCTTGTGAGATAAAATCATTAACGTAGAATGCTTTTGAGAATAAGAAGAGGAAGAAAATAATAAAAATAACTTAAAAATAAATAGTACAGTTAAAAAAACAGAAACAATCTAATACTAATACTTATTAATTGTAATTGCATTTGAAATTTACAACAAGTTGTTTGGTGCTGTGAAAGTGTAATTCAGTTTTAAATGTTAGCTGTGATATAAATATTAATTTTTTTATCTATGTTATGTGTCAGTGTTTGTGTGTTTATATAGGTAGAATCTTATGATTTGTGTTAATGCTCACTTGATTTAAATGTCTTCTCCACTTCCAATCATAAGTAGGATCTCGATGTTGACCACATTGGATGTGGCAACAGCCATATGCTTCTGTCACAGCAGATTATGTTAAGGGTCCATTTGGTAAACTTGGCAATATAAAAAACGATTGGACATGAGAGTTGAATAAAAAAGATAAGATAAAAGTAGGATGTGCTCTCATTCTATCTGATGTTTGATCCACAACAGAATAACAAATTTGATAGTATTATATTATCCTATTGTCTATTTCTAACTTGGACTCAGTTAGATCACTTTTAAAACTTTTTAGCAGCTTGCTTTAGGCCATGATCTAATACTACAAACATTTTGTTGTATTCATATATTTTCCCTTTGCTTTCTAATTGAGGACATGTTATTTGAACTCTCAGGACCAAGAGAATTGACAAGTGCTGTGGATCTATTAAATCACTTCAAATTACTTCCCCATTTTGAGTTTTTCTGCAAGAGGCCACTTCCTGTTTCAATTTCGGACACACACTATTTACACAGCGTGATAGGAGACGTAGAAATTAGAAAAGGAGATGGGATGCAGTTGGATCAACTTATTCAGAGTACATCTTCATCCAGTGGTACAAGTTCTCGTATACAGCTTTTGGACCTAGATGTTCTAAAGGATGCTTTTCAACTCAAGGAAACAGCTCCTATTGATTTGCCTGCTGTAAGAAATCATATTTGGATTTGATAATGCTTCTTCTGTTGCCTCATGCAGTTCACTAGATTAATAGACATGTTTTACTAGTTTTCAAATATCAAAAACAGTATAGTCAATCTATTCCTTTATAGCATTGATTTCATATGTGTTTATTCTTTGTATTTGTCCCTGGTAGGCTGAGAAGGGGATTCCAACGGTTGCAGGAAAATCAAAAAGTGAGTCTAAAGACAAAGACAAGAAGCATAAAAAACACAAAGACAGGGACAAAGATAAGGACAAGGAGCATAAGAAGCACAAGCATCGTCAAAAAGATCGAAGCAAAGACAAAGAAAAGGACAAAAAGAAGGATAAAAGCAGGCATCATGATTCCAGTGCTGATCCCTCAAAGAAACACCATGAGAAGGTTGAGAAACTTTAGACATGCATCTGCATTGTTGATGTGAAAAATCAGTGTTCTAGAAGCCCTCTTATTGTGATTTTAATTCAATAAATTTGCTTCATCATCAAGTCTGTCATGAAGTTTTCATTTGTATTTGGTTGATGGTGCTGTTAACTGTTTATTGCTTGTGACTTAGGTCCCAATAAACAATATCTGTTGCATTTGATGTCAGCATTTTCAAAAGGATTCACTTCACATACCATTTGAAATGACCCAGGAATGTAGTTCTATTTTTAAATCATTTTACTCAATATGATTACAGAAAAGGAAGCATGATGGAGATGGTGATCTAAATGATGTGCACAAACACAAAAAAAGTAAGGTAATAAAGGGAGAAGCTTAGTCTCCAGATAACTTGCCAATGTTTGATTCTTATCTTTTTCTTCCCTATACATTTTCTCTTGTATATCACTTCTCATAGAACCTTGTCAATTCTTTGGTGACGATTTGTTTTTTGTTTTTTAATTTTACTGCAGCATAAGAGCTCAAAAATTGATGAATTGGGGACAATAAAGGTTGCAGGCTAAAATGGTTACCTACTGTAGTTCTCTTCTTTTCCTCAAATGGTTGTTGTCATTTGTTAAAGTTTGTGGAGGGGGTCTTTCACTTGACATTATCAGATTTCTTAAGGTACTTAATTATATTTGCAACAATCTTCAATTTTTATCTGATGTCTAAGTGCTTTATTCTTCTTTTAAGTTGTTTCTTATTTTTCAGAAATAGTTGATGGTGCATCTTTTGTTCTTTATTTCTTCTCTTTTAAGTGCATCTTTAGTACTAATCTTAATGTTTCTCAAATTTATCTGCTGAATTATTTCAGTCATGCATTCAATTCCTGGTTAGAAGAGTTATGTGGCCATCATGTGCTATATAGCAAAAACAATTTCTACTTCAAGAGCAAGTTTTACTCTCTATTGGCAATTTGATATAGACTAGAATAGTTGGGGAAATGGAGAGAGAAAGGTGAAGAAAAAACTGACATTTATTGTTTATGAAAAATTTCATGATTGAATCTAGCTTTGGCTGCTGACAGTGGCTTTCTCCCCCAAGTATTTAGTAAAGATTGATTTTGTCCTGATCTTGAAAGCTACTTTCAGTAGATTGTCTGGACAAAATCTTGGATAGTTCCTCTATCATTCACCAGGTAAGAAAAAGAGTCAGAAAAGCATGCAAAGTTTTTCAGATTTGTGTTTCTTTTAATCTTTGTGTAGAGCTTGTTTTATTATGTCTACGATTAGAAATTAGAAATGTGAAAGACTTTCAATTTTGGTCTATTTTATAGATTTTAATTATGCGTTTTACAAGTTTATTTTTGAAAAGAAAATTTATCAGTCAAAGTGTGTTTTCTTTGCTTACAATTTCTACTCTTTGTCAGAACTCGGAGCTTATGTGTGTTATTCCATTTTTGTCGCTGTACTCCTGGCTGTTGCCTTTAGAATGGTGCATATTATTTGTATATGTCAGCCTTCCTTATGCATTTCATGTCATAAGAAATAATCTGCTCTTCTTCTGATATCCTTAATACCACCTGAGAATGGTCTCTCCACCCATGGTTCTCTGTCTTTTGGCCCTCAACTCCATGTCCCATTTCTTTTTCTTTAAATTATCTTGATGAGTGATTATGCCTGAACTGTTTAGTCATTTCCAATGATCTGGAAGTTCTGTGCAGGAAGTATCAATACATGCGATGTGTCATTGGAGATTGATGTAATTGACATGGATGAGTAGCTGGCAAGAAAGATTTGTTCTCATCTTTTTGGTCCCCTAAATAATAAAAAGTATTTTTATCATGCTTTAGTTTTATATATATTTTGCATATTACACAACCATTTTCACTACAAACTGATAGGGAAATAATGGTGATAATATTGGAATTATTTTGCTTCTAAAATCTTTCCATGAAAAATATTCTGTTATGTGGTAACTAATATTCCTGTTGTGCTGACTGTTTAGTACGGTCTATTATTGCTTTTGCATAGGAATTTTGGATGCTTAGGAAAATGCTCCTGGCAGTTTTTGTGGGACACTTGGTTATTGAAGCTAGAAAAACTAGCTATTCCTAGGCTTTAAGAGCATGGATGTTGACGATACAGAGAAGGAAGCAAAACATTGGAAAGCCATTCTACTTTTAGACAGATGCATAAATGGTTTTTATTTGTAAGAAAGGGAAGAGGAGGGTAGGTTGCATGCTTATGAAAAGTTCCATCATTAATGACATCATTGATCTGTCACATATTTCTAGAGCTTTGGATGCATTTTGTTCCCAAGATTAGGTAGCAAATTATTCCAGAAACAACTTTTTGCTAAAATTCATGGAACCTAAATGAGCACGGAGGGTGGGGGGATCTTTGGCCTCGCTAATTCTTGAGCTATGTTTACTGTGGGTTATTAATATCTTTGATTTCCACCACACCCAAATTTAAAATCTTCAAATTATTGACCTGTGAAGGTATTTGCTTTATATATGCAGTATAGTGTTTTTAAACTTGTCAAATCTGAGGGTTTGTAGATGTTTGGTTATCATATGAGAAACTGTAATTGGTCATAGGTCGATTGGAATTAGGCTTGTTGTTTTCTGATAACTTGCAGGAGGAAATTGAGATAACTAATGGTGCTTATTTTATATTTAATAATAGAGATATGTTTTAGTTGGGGAAGTGGTTTGGTGCAGTGTCATTGAAACAGGGTATATAATTTCTTAAACAAGTGTGATGTAGAATATTGTGTATTTACAAAATTTATCAATTTTTATAATGAATATGTCACTGCATGGTCTTATGAAACCTTACCAGTCTTTCAGACAATTGTGATTAATGATGTTGATGGATGATGTTCTCTCGAGTCTAGAGAAAGTTCATCATGTTTAATCAGACAATTGTGATTAATGGCAACTGCACCAATAATGATTTCTACTGATTTGAATGTTTTATATATACTGGGTCAGTGTGATCAAGTCATCAAACTGAGTTAAGCATAGACACAACTCATACAGGCGATTGGATAATTACATTGTTCAAGTTTAGACCTCATTCTTGGGACCGGCAGTTGCTTTAGCACAATCAGTCCTACATATATTATATATATTAGATTTATTCTAAATTAATGCAAACATGTGCTTATGTTCTTCCCTTACACATACTTAACTTTATAATGACAATTATCAGTAAATTAACATGTTGATATCTTCATTTTTTCATTCTAACATGATTAGTACAAAATTATGGTATGGGTTTCATGTTGGCATCACTCGGCAGATTCTCTCATCTCTGTTAATTACATCATGGACATGGAACTGCAAACATGTAAAAGACAATAGAAGACACTGAAAAGTAACAAAATGTGCCAATGGAAAGCCAAGCTCTCCAGTGCCAATTTATATGTTCCATAACTAGAAATGCTTATATTTTTAATTTGTTTCATGATAACCATTCTTGATGGTTGCAGTATACATGATACCCTCTAATTTTATGCAGAATAGCTAGTGATCTGACTAAATATTATCATGAAGGTGAATTCACCTGATGAAGGAAAAGGATACAAGGTAAAATTTGCTGAAAATGAACCTTTTTTTCAATTAACACTTATCTGTTATAATTGCCAATATTTGCGAAACTTTGGTCCTTTTCCCAGTTTTTTGGCCCACTGATATCACAAAATGTATGCATTACTTTAATCTTCTTTGTAGATTTTCCAGTTCATATATTGATAGTTTGAATTAGCGTTAACAGATTATTTAGGATGACTGAATTAAGTGTGGAGGTTATTACTTTCGCCCCATATCTTGTACTAAGTAGCATGCCTCGCATTAACAATGACTGAATGGTTCAGCACCAAACAAACTCTCGTTGGTTCCAATATTTTTGCATACTAGGGTAAATTGTTCAGAGTTCTTCAATTTTAAATGAATTATTTTAAGGTGCCCCTTTATGGCTATCAAGAGATGGTTATTTTAAACAGACAAGCCTCCTCTAAAATATCTAAAGTGGGAAGTAATAGTGATCGTGATCTTAACTTCCTAAATGATTAAAGGGTGAATATATTTTTTCTTCCTTACTTTAGAAGAACCTTTTCATTTTACGTAAAGGCCAATGTGGATGATGTAATATTTATATTTTAAGCTTAGTTTCTGTAAATATTTTCCACTTGCTGTTTACTTCTATAAAACTCGTAGCTTGTTAGCCATTTTGGTATTGGAAATCACATTTTGCATTTTTTTTTTCTTTTTCCCTACTCACACCACTTTTTTTATTGTGGTTTTTGAAATTTAATTTTCGGAAGTAAATTTAATATATTGTGGATGCGATTTTCAAATGACTTCCAAAATTTTATTTTTAAAAGTGATTCTATTCCTTTCAGAAGCAGAAATTTAAAAGTCATTTAAAGTTACCTTTAGAAATTAATCCAGAAGCGATTTGGTACTTTTGAGAAAGTCATTTACAAATCACATCCAGAAAAGTTTTTTTGGAAATGATTATATATAGCTTCAGAAAATTAAATGAGTTCACCAAAAAATGGGTAATGAGAATAATAAGAAAAGTGGTGCAAATATTTTTACTTAGATTAACGTGCTGCGGGTTTTATGTATAAGGATTAACTTGTAAGCCATTAATGGAGAATACTTTGATGTAGTTAATACATATTTATTCGGTTTTCTTATGCTAATCTTTTGCGGGAATAAACGTAAAGTGGAGGCTACTGCTGTCTCATTTAACTCGGGGCTTAGTATTGTTTAAAAGTTTAGATTATAGTGAACCTCTGAGAATTGAACATCAGAGATTGGTAGTCACTGGTGGAGAGGAAATTTTTCATGTGTACTGTTTAAGCAACCAGACGAGTCTGATCCCCCACATCTATAACACACGCACACAAAAGACGAAAACTTACCTAACATTCTAGCTTGAGTGTGTACATTTAGCATTATTCTGGATAACCTCGTGTATTAGGTGGTTGTCAGATTTCCTTTGGCTCAAAAAGGCTATTAATCCTCAATTTGAACTCATTTTTCATCTTGAATTTGAACTCAGCAAGGACATAAAGTTGAAATTTTTATTTCCAAAATGGCAGCTTGAATAACTGTTATGGCAGTAACTCCATGACGATCAAATCAAATAGATCCTTAATACGACATGGAGATGGACGAACTTACCCAGAGGTTATGATGATCCATTCTACCAAGTAGAAGCTATACGATAACCACACATATTGAAAAAATCTAAAAACCCGATTATGAAATACTATTCCAAATCCATTATCATGCCTTAAAAACAGAATGGAACATCTAAATTTGGGTTTGTATAACAGATTGTACAATATACAAGAACAAAACATAGATCTTTCCCACCCGACTATAGATTCTTCAGTCAGATTTTTTCCGTTTAGCAGCAAGTCGTGGCCGCAGCTGCAAGTAGGTAAATTTCCGTGAGTGTAGGGACGGGGGAAAGATTGAAATGATTAAAACACAAAGCCTGGGTTGGGTCAACTAAATAAGTTTCACTAACTTTTACGATGGTGGACAGGTGGTTACGCACGAAAACACTATGTCAAATCGCTTCCATCGAATGGCGAAAGAGACAAGACTACTAATCAATTTAGAAAAGATTTTACTTAGGTTCATCCTAAAAGCCTTTGTCCTTCTTCCTATCAATCAAAACTAATTCATTAAATTATTTGCTTATTGTCCTATGTTATGCACAATAACTACTATTCGATCCCCAGAGATTCATTTAACATAAATACAATAATCAAAATTATGCGGTTCACACATACCATTTCTATGTACTTCAGTTGCTTCATTACTTGATCCGTTTCCAGCTCCTGCAGCAAATAAATCGAGGAAATGGCACAAGAGATGGGAATTTAAAACAATGATCGCAATACTGGGTTTAGTAAGACTTTGTTGAAAAAGCAATATTAAACTACTTGGAAGCAGAAAAAGACAAATATGTAAAGACCTAGTCCCCTGTATCCACAATTTATACGTAAGGCTAAAATATAATGCAGTTGCGTAATAACTAGTTTTATAAATTAAGACAAGCAATATTTCTCAGAAAAATAAATCTGAAATCTACAGATACAAGTAAAAGTAATTGGAATGGGATGGAAAATGGAAAAAGAGATAGAGGATACAGGTAAATAAATTAACCAAGAAGATACAACAACAATAATACATTATAGTTTTCAACAATATGCTTAGTGCATTTATAGGGATGCTTGTTGCTTGGTCGTGACGTGTTCGTGAACCTCTCTTCTAGATATTTGGGACTGTTCTAATTTATGAGACAGAGAACGTGGCACAATATTGACAATTCAGTACATCACTCCTACATTTTATAGTGAATTTCAGTATCATATAATTTAAATGCATTTTCATATGTTTGAGCATAACTGATAAATCCTGGATGTTTCAACTATGTTTTACACATCATTTCTTACTCATTAAAATGAAATCTAACACCGTTATGATAAGATAATCTACAGAAATGAGAAAGCCAGAGTTAAATATATTTCACCTGAGGTACAGCACAATCAGCGTGAGATGGATCCCAATGGATAGCACAAAAGCACTCCCAGTCATCAGTTTGAACTTCAAAAAGAGGAGCCCTGCCAAACAAAAATATTTGCTAGATTAACGCATTTTGAGCAATCAACAAGAGACTCATTCCCAACCTCCAATAAAAAATAAAAAGAGACTCTTTCTCACACTTCATTCATTTCTCACTTCTCTGTATGAATATTCTTCACAAACAAATAACCAAATTCAACGAAAGCAAATAAGTAGAAAAGGTGTGTTATGATGAGGAAAAGAACGATAAAAGTATTTAAAGTTTATGGGAAAAGAAAAAGTATACATCTGTATCCTTTGTGTCAATCTGTTTTATTTAAAGTGAGTTTTGTTAGTCAGTTTAGGGCAAAGCTCACCAATTTCTCCGCATATCCAAAGAAAAATGAGATTTTTTTAAGGTATTTTGATGAAGTAAGATTTCTCCACTTGATGAATTCATAAATTAATTATTTTTTTAACAAAAATCTAATCAGATCCAAGAGTAATTTAGATTGAATCAGATTGGATTTATATTTAAAATCGAACCAATTGGATAATCTTATAAGAAAACCCATTAGAGTAAATCGGTAGGCTTTTTTCTCTCAACCAATTCAATTCAATCCAACAAGAACGCTCCGATACAGAAGAGGAGATGAATCAGGGAGAAGGGGAACCAGAGCCATGTTCAAGAGCTTTATTAAAATGGAGAAGGAAAGGAATGAAGGAGATCCACTTCCATCATTCCCTTAAAAAGACAATACTGGAGTCCATACGCATTTTAATGGACTAAAAACTAGTGCACCAGGATTCCTTTCCTTCTCATTGTCCACTACCTAATTGATTGCAAAACAATATATTAAATGTATTTTCCTGAAACGAGAGCACTCCAGTTTCCAAGATAATATTGCCCAACATCCTTACTTAGCCTGGTAGAAAAAACCTTATAACATAACAGTACATTTTGGCAACCAAACCAAAGGATTAACTAAGCAGATAGACTTCATGCCTATCACCAATTTTAACTTCACAAAGGACCTCGGTAAACACCTTAAAAGGTTATTCATAAGGATTTGGATCCTCTCCATTTTTGTAAGAATGTGACAGACAACAGTGTCATGTTATAAGAGAAACAAACAAACTAATTCTGTGCAAAAATGGTGGGTCCCTCTCTCAAAACACAATCATCATGTTCTTTTAAAAAAGGACAAAATTCAAATTCCATCCCATCATTAACAAAATCCAAAGTTCTTACGTCCCCAACAATCAGCATTCCGCAGTAATAAATCTATCTGGTCCAGCCACTTTATCCCTAACTGTACTCTAAATGGCTCTTCTATTCTCCCTCTGCAAAAACTAATTAGCTTTACCTAATCCAACCCCTCAATTAAAGGGCTGAGATTATTCATCAGGCAAGAAATACTATTTCTTGGGCTTCGTGTAGGTAATACATCCTTTGCCTACTTGACAATAAATCTTAGGAGTCTTAAATAAGACCATCCTACAAAATTAGCAATTGAAGTTTGAATCACACCCTTCTACAATAAATTTTTTTTTCTTGTTTCATTAATAAAATCTTAAATATTACCATCCCACAAAATACTAACTTATAAAATAATTCAACACTAAGAGCAATGCCATGTGACTTACCTGCGCCATTTTCCACATATAGCTCCGCTAGCTCTATCTATAACCTCCCGACATTGAAGCCAATTACCAATGGAACTAAGTCTAGTTTGATTTCTCGTATTCTCTCCCTGCAAAACAGAAAAATATTTCCATCACTCTGAGACTTCGATGAAAATGAAGATGGTAAAGTAAACCAAAACCTTTACCTGCAGACTAGGAAATTCTGAAGGATTAATTTCCAATGGTTCAGGAAGGACATCTTCATCACTGTAAGAGAAAACAAAATGATGTTGGTAACAGTTAAATTATACCATAATATGGCTAAAATAGACTCCTAAGGAACAATGGCTGGAGACTATTTGAATCACACACCAGAAAATGCACAACGGAAGACATTAGAACCCAAAGAGAGACACATTAGGGGAAAGTGAGACACCACTAAACAGATCTTGATTTAAGTTGTTTAACCATAAATTTCATTCAAGACAGAGCCTAACAGCATCAGTTGATCAAGTAATCAACTCCCACATGATGGGACAAAGACTTGACTGTTATAGTTGTTGGTATTGCACAGATTACAATCTCATGTAAGATAAATGCCAAAACATAACAGAGTATATCATAAATAGTATTATCTTCATCCACAAGTGACAAAAGATAAAACAATTGCTCAAGCAACAAAGCACATTATAATAGCACGGCAAAAATGAAGCAGTTCTAACTGAACAATTGCTCTTGATGACTTTTAGAAATTCCAAAATTGTCTAAAGAACAACATCAATATGCTAGCTAAATGAGATGCTTGAAATACAATATATTCATGTAATTTGTTGCGAAGGTCACATATAACAAATACACCATGTATAAACATCAGCATTAAATATTCCTTCATATGGTATTTTTTGTAGCCTCACATTTCCACTTAATCAATTGCACAAAGTAGCAGCAAAGTGTAGGAATAATGATGATCAAAAGATGTTTAGTACTAATTATGCATTCTCATAATTTTGAATATTTTAAAACAGAAAACAAAATCAAAATTGAGCATCAAACACATCAGTCTTTGCATTTCACGTTCTCTGCCAAATGGCATTATGACACTTATTGATGTTAGACTCCTCAAAGAATAGTTTGTTCACATAAAATGAAGACAGTAAAAGCTTATATTCTAAGCAATGTAAGAAACACCTAGTACAATAGATGGATGCAATAGAAGCATTAGGTTCCAAACTTGTGATTGAAATAGAAGATACCTTCTTATTGGGCCTGACCAGTCAGGAACTTCTGCTTGAAAACCTTTACCAACCCGCACACCACTAGTATGTGGCTCTGTGTCCCGCAACATCAACACTATGGGATTCAATTCAGCCTTAACTGAGGAAGTTCTACTTTTTCCCATTTCATTGTGGATACCTGGTGATCTGATAACTGTCTCCTTGAGAATTTTCTGCCTTTTTTTAAGACACGAATGACAAAACCATTCATCAATTGGTAATTTTTTCAAACGTGGATTGTAGCAAGATGGATGATATGCATCTTCACACTGATCACATAAAAGCATGTTCAATGAACTGTCTAAATGACCACATATTTTGCATGCCCTGGAACAACAGCTATTACCAGTGGTGACAGCATCTTCCCCAGAAGCCACATTATCTGCAGTAGAATTTTCTCTAAGAAGTCCATGGCTTCTTAAAATACTAATGCAGAAATCCTTTTCTGTTCCCTCTTCCCTTGTAGCATCCATGACTATTACACTGGAGGAGGAGCATTCACCAGCTTCATCCATCACCGTTTCATTGGAATCTGAATCAAGTTCTGTAATAGACTTCGAAGAGGAGCAACTATCATTTACACTGTCAATACCTAAGTTTTTATGCGTTCTATCTTTGGATACTCTGTCAAATAAGACAGAAGGCTCAGTAAGATCTTTAACCATTTCAATGTCATGCTTAACTTGAAGACCAGCCGGCTGATCCTCAGCTGATGACAAATGTGCAGAGGAACTTATAACTGAAGGGCTGTTGGCACTTCCCTGCACATTAATTGGCCCTAGCTTAGACATTGGGCCCTTACGCAGCTTCTTTCTCCTGTAGACCATATTAGGTGCAGTATTTTCTGTCATCATACTATTAGTTGATGGCCGACCAGAGCTAATTGGACAACTTGAGCTGTTGGGATCATCAGCGTTCCTTCTATCTTCTTCCATTGGTTCAGCTTTTCTACACCAGTTAACAGGGTACTTACTGCATTTCAGACACACCTGCCAAGTTTCACCACTAGGCATCCGATCACATGGAACATCTTTCCCATCATCAGATACATAACATAGACCAGCTTCAACTGAACTAAGAAAAGAACTTTTTATTAACATTATCACCTGAATCAAATTCAGAAACAAAATATGTAGTATATTGCTAGAGAGCCCCAAAGAGAAAGAGTCCATATAACAGAGTTTCCATTCTTCAAATTATTGAACCGTTGGAAGCGTGTCTATCAATCTCATCCAGTCAACACACTAATGGCCACCTGATTTGAAAATCACATACAAAAGTAGGAAAAAAGGATAAGAAACAAGTATAAACGGGCGAATAGATTTGCAATCACAAATAACTAGCGATATCACTGTATTTATCTAAACAACACATGACTCAAAATTTTAATTAGGTTAATTATGCTGAAGTCCCTAAACTATAGGTGAAAGTGTAAAAAGGTCCCTCATCTATTAAGTGTGTAAAAAGGTCCCTCATCTATTAAGTGTCTGATTGGTTAGGCGTTAGGAACTTCAAAACTCGGTTTCCACAAAGTAAAACTGTAGCGCCAAAGCCTGATTGGAATAACATCAATCTAGGCTTTAAAGTTAACACACAGGAACTTCTGGAGACCCTTGAGGCAAACCCAATCTTCACCAAAAACATCAAATAGATAAGAAGCATTTTCATAATTCACTTTGTAATGACCCAATAATTCGGAGAAAATGCAGTTAGAGATCTTCAAATCTGAACAAATTGTCGATAATAAACTGGTTTAGAACAGCAGTCCCTACAAAAGATTTGACCTTTGAGGAAGCAACTGATTTCCAAATTGCCTAATCTAGAAGGAAAAATTCATTGCTAGGAGATGAAGTGAGAAGCTGCAAGATTTGCAGAAAATAACCCAAGATGAATAAATTGTTGATACTAAATGGATTTGCAGAGATATGGATTGAATTCAGCAAGGCCAAAAAGTGACTAATTCAGAGAATCCTCTGTCATGCAAATTTCCAAAAAGGTGAAGATTCTAGGAAACAAAAGATTTGTATGAAGAATAAATCTAAATAATTAGGGCTTTGTGCAAATTAGATAGAGAGACAAAATCTAAGAAAAGGATGCCAACTCTTTTCCCATCTATCAATTGTCACATTCACACCAAATAATCCACTCAAAATACCTCCTACCAAATCCATATAACTAGAGTACTAACTAAAAATATCTATCATCCAAAATACAACTTATATGCTATGTCTGGTGGAGGGAATGGAATGAAAGGAAAGGAAAGAAGAGGTGGAGGGAAAATTACTTGTCATGGTTAGATATTTAACACAAGGAAAGGTGAAAAATTTCTTTCCTCCTGTTTGGGAGTTTTAATGAGAGTTACATCCCCTATCAAATCTATAACTGTTTCTCCCCACTTACCCCCTAATTTGAGTAGGGTGATTTTAGGGGATTGAAGGGGAATTCCCCCCCTACCCCACACACACATTCCCGCTCCCATCAAAGCATGGATAGAAAATCAAACCAATACCAACATCCATGATACATTGATACCAAAAGTGTATATCAACTATCAAGACAAAGTCTCCCTGTAAAAATTACCAGCACCACACCATATTTCCTATTTTTCTTTTCTCTATAAATTGTCTCCCTTGAATGCAGAATGTCAGGGCATTTGTTTTTGTTGAATTTGAGTTTTAGGTCTAACTCAACCCCAAAAGCTAGCTCGTAAGGTGAAGATTACTCTAACCTTTATAAGCTCTTACTTAACCATATATGTAGTGGATGTGGGACTTCAACACACTCCCTCATGTTCAAGATTAAATATCTAGAGTGTGAAAATTGTAAAACTATTATTTTTTAAAAATATTGCATTGGAAAAGCCGGGGGACCAGGTAAGTTGCACTCAAAAAATTCATGGGACCCCTCTTGTTTTCAGTCAAACCCAATATTGAATCTACAATAAGCTCTAACACCATGTTGAATTTAAGTTTTAAGCCTAACTCAATCTCAAAAGTTCGCTCATAAGATCAGGATTTTTTAAACCTTTAGAAGCTCTTATTTTGCCATATTTGTAGTCAATGCAGGACATCAAAAGTTTTCACAAGAGCTAAACAAATTCTCTCCTCCTTCAATAACAATTGTTCAAGCTCATCCACCTCCTCACAGAAAATAAAAACATAAGACATATAAGAAGTGAGTGTGCGATGCAAAATTACTCAGCAAGATAAGAGCCGATACTTTATAAGGTAACCTTGACCCACTAAAACGTATAAACTTTTATAAAATTTAGCAATTACAACATGAAAATTCTCATGGCTTTTATAAATATCCAGTGCAATTCAATTTCATAATTCCTAATCCGCGGCCATGCAATTTTATTTTCCAAAATGTGTATGCCTTAAAACATTTAACTTTTGTTAATTTATTGGGAACCAACACAGTTGCTAATCATCAATGGTCAAATTCAAGCACCAAACCAACATAAATAGAACCAAAAACATCCCTAATGAAGTTTTGTGCACAAGCATGATTCTAATACACAATATCACTAGTTTATTATAAAATAAATGAATTTGCAATAAGTCATATGTTAGGCCCAAGACTACATGAAACTAATATTGGAAAACTAAACCTGTAAATTAATCATGATCAATACCCATGACGTGCGACACTCTGAAACTTGCACCATTGTGGGAAATAAAATTGAAGTTGCGCTAGATTAGGAATTACAGTAGGTCATTGCCTCAGATAGGTAAAAAACCCAAGTTCTCATCCTTGCTAGAAATAGGCTGCGTGTGAGCATATCTTACATACACAAGAGCATTGAATTCACTGAAGACTAACTTATAGTTTAACAATGCAAAGAAAGAAAGAATCTTATACATCTGCAATCATTTTCAGTAGAAATGCATGAATGACACAAGTGCTTACTGCTATTCTTGCTTCCATCCAAACAAGAAACTACAAACCAGCTTAACAAAACCTGCCCCCCAGGCTTGAGGTAAATTTCTAACCTAATCTCCACTGCAGTCTCAGAAAACAATTCATAAGATCAAATCTTGAATCAGATATTTTCTGATCCGTTATAATCTTCCAAGGTGGAAACAGCTTCTTAAATTATGAGGAAGGAAGCTCAAAAGATTCTTGTTCATGGCTTTCCTCAAGATGTAAGACAAAGCCTATGGATCTCACCAGCATTCCAATTTCAATATTCTTCTTGAGTTAAAAAATAATTTAGAAATGTTCACCAAATAAATTCATTCAATAAAATCAACAAGTGAATTTAGGGCTTGAACGAAGAGTTAATGCCAGCAGATTTCCAAAAGGGTAAAAGTGACAGGCAATTGAAAGCAAAATTAAATTAAAACTTCAAAAACCTCTCTATGGCTATGAAGTAGACAATAATCTGCAACATTTACATAAAGGAAAAAAAGATAAACAGTAAAATAAAGTAGAAGAAGAATAACAAAGAACAGAGAAGAGGAACGAAGCATCACCCAATCGGATCAGAAAGGAGCGGGCGAAGGGGTTGCATTGAGTTGAGAGTTGAGACTTGAGAGCCAAAGAGTGCCGTGTCCGAACACACAAATAGGTTTTAAGAGTGTCCCTTCCCTTCATAACTATATAGGAGGCAAGGCAAGGCAAGGCAAGGCATTGAAATCTTAAATGCCCAAGACCTTCAAGACCTTCAAGACCCAATAACCCTTTCTGTTTCTTGATCGTTCTTGTTCCAAAACCTGCTTCTTCCCAAAACACACAAACCTTGCCACAAAATTATTTTGAATCCAAGGGATGCACCTTTCTCCCCATTCAATTGTATAGGATTGTCCCTTGTGCTCTTCTTTGATTTGAACAACCTTGCACAAATTTATATGTGACTTAGAGCCATGTAGTTCCTCCAATTTGCTCTTTCAATTTAAACTTTGATGGAACCCCTCCTACATTTTGTATTAAAAATAAATCGGTTTTGATAATCTTCTTTAGGCAAAGAATTAATTATTAAAAATCACCACAAAAATACATTCACAACATTAAATGTTATATTAGAATCATCATTAATGAAATTATAAAATTACATTAATATCTTTCTGTAAATTTTTTTATTTCGCCCTATTCATCATAATTAAAGCATTAAATTCTTTTTATATCTTTAAAATATTGTATATATTCATTTTTTATTCAAAATATTATGAGAATACATAAAAAAAAAGTAATATAAAATAATATAGCATTTACACTTATACTATAAATTTAAATACTTATCAGTGAATGACTGAATGCTGAATAGTTTTATTATTTATTTAATTTTACTTCAATTATTGTATTTGTATTCGGTGAAAGATATTTATAATTTAGAATAAAAAACAAATAACAAGTTTTTATTTATTTTTAAAAAAACCATTCATTAAAATATATTATATTTTAACCTTATTAAATATTTACTCACTATTGAATACAATATTTTTTTATTTACTCTCTCTTAATAAATTTATTGACTTTTCTTTCTTAAAATATTTAATATTTTACTCTTATTAAATACTCCTTATTAAATGTCTTTATTCAAATAATACATTTTATAATTTCTTCTACAACTTCAAAAAATTTCATCTCTTTACTTTTATTAATCTAATTTATACATCTTTATTATTAACATTAAATATTTATTTAATAAATAAAAAAAAAAATTTTTTATTTTTAATGTATTGTTAAGTTATATCATTCTGACAGTAGGAAACAAATATGATAAAATAAAATATTTTTATTAAATTTTATTATTTGTCTTGTTTAAAATAAGAAACAATGTAATTGAAGTTGATAAAATACATCTCATATGTTATATTCAATATTTAAAGAATAGAAATACTATTTTTATTCATTTCATCGTAAAAATATTTAAATAATCTATAAGAATAACAAATCTAAGACTAAGATCTTATATTATCTATTGAAAAATAAAAAACAAATAGTTATATATATATACATATCATATTAAGTAAAATATCTAAATAAATACTCTATAATTTGTAGCTTATCTATTAATTGATATGATAATTATGTAAACAAGATAACTATGTGCATAAATGAAAGAAAATCTTGTAGTGGTAAGTTAACTTCGAAATGCTAGGTAATTGAGTAAGGTTATAAAATACATAGTTCTTGATAATGTGTAGAGCATATTGATTAACACAATAGAGATATGTATAAACATGAAATAATAGATATCAAAATTAGAAATAAGTATGTTTTTTATCCATTAAAGTTCATAAGTGATAATGGTTATAAAGTTCATACGTTAATTTTATTTTTTTTAGTTTTAAGGAAATAAAAAAATGACTCAAGGAATCATCAATCTCGTTAAATATCATTTATTAAAAAAAATAACTAATCTAATTACCATCAGATCATTCGTATAATTGGGATTCATATTTATTGTTTTATAAATTTTCTTACCCTACATTGTCTTCAAGACAACATTTTAAGACATATGATAACTACATAGATTAAAAAAAATACATATAATATAACATTTTGACCTTATAAGAAAAAAATTTATTGTCCTTAAGTAAAATTAAGATGATGATTTTATTTTATTGAGTGTGACTATAAACTTTGCTTCAAAAAGGTCTGATCTAATTACAATGTTTCATGCATATTTTCTTTTGACAAAAAATATTCTACAATATATTTTTACAACCTTCACTCTAAGGAAATATTTTAACTTATGAAAGTATTTCATATCAAAACACTTAACCAAATAAGTTTTACACTAAAGGATTGCTTCAAGATTATATTACTCTCAGGATTTAAACAATCAATGTGAACCAAAACAAGTTTCAAGTAACGTGAATAAGAAATAACTTGAGACAATCCATACCTTTTATGAGTAGAAGAGAGCTTGACAATCCAACAATGCAAGGATTGCTTCAAGTTCTACAATGCTTTCCCAAAGTTTATATACAATTTGAGAATGAGAGGCATGAAAACCAAGAGGTAGATTCATGGAAACCTTCCTACAAATCTTCGCGTAGAAAGGCATTGTACACTTTCATTTGATGAAATTTTCATCAATTCGTTTCAGCAAATGCTTGAATGATGTGAATAGAAACCATCGTTGCTTCCAAGGCAAACATTATAGTGCAATTTATCAAATCAAATTGATGATTCTACCATTTTATAGTTTCATCAAAATCCATTTTCATCACAAAGTCTTTTTATCAAGTGGGAACATGCATGCGGCCCATTTGTAACTATCTTCAAGTACTTTTGTTGTACAGTTAAACGTCATCTAGCATCTTTAACTATTTCTAGAAATATGACAAACTCTCTTTTAATTGTAACAATAGTAAGAAACCTACTATATTACTAGAGAAAATTATCGTAACTTAAATCATATACTATATAATGTAGGGCACACCTGAATCATGCTTTGGGTAGGTTTTTTTGTTTGAATTATATTAAATCGTAGCACAACTAATTCTATTTGTTGGCTCTTTAATACAAATTAAGTTTTTAAATAAATTTTGGTACTAAGTCAGACAATTTTGAAAGCACTAATTATATACATCAAGAATTGATATATCAGTACTGCTTTAATTTTTAATATTTTGATTTAATAAGAAAAAAGTTTATTATTTTGACTGCAGAATCCGAAGAAGAGAGTAGAAAAGGTATAGATGGAGATGTATTTGAAGAAAATAAAAAGGAGAGGATGTTGTGAATCCATTTTAATTTGTGGAGGGAAATGGACGTGGGTGTGTGGATGTCTCCGCAGGGAGGGAAATGGTGGAAGGCATCCAACAGTAATAATGATAATATCTATAAGGGTCGGCCCGCCGTTATTCTGCCGGGCTTAGGGAACAACTCCGGTGACTACGACAAGTTGAAGCAAACGCTGAATGACAAGTACGGCGTGCGCACAGTGGTGGCCAAGGTTTCGAGGCTCGATTGGCTCCGCAATGCTGCTGGTTTGGTGGACCCCAATTACTGGCGCGGCACTCTCAGACCGAGGCCTGTCCTGGATTGGTATTTCGGAAGGGTTCAACATGCTGTTCAAGAGGCTAAGGACTTGGCACAAGCACCAGGTTAGGTTCCACTCTTCACTTAGTCACGCACCATAACCAATTAACTATCCAATCCAATAATATGATATGATTATAGGTGCAACAAATGTATCATTGATTGGGCACTCGGCAGGAGGATGGCTTGCGCGTGTCTATATGCGTGAATTTGGGCTCTCCCATATATCCCTGTTATTGACTCTTGGAACCCCTCACCTGTAATTTCCTTCCTCATTTACCTATTGCCTGTTGGATTTGGATCCCTGTAAGTAGACTAGGAATACATACAGAGGATTGCTAACCATACCAGTACCAAATGCCACTACACATACTTTCATACCCATTCCGCCACACTTTATTGGGGGGAAGGGAAATTATTGCTCTCTCAGTTTCAATCATTTCATCATTTTCAATTGTTGATTACCAATATGATTGTAATCTTGTAATCTTTTCAGCCCACCTCCTAAAGGCGTGCCGGGGGTTATTGATCAAACGCGGGGTCTCCTTGATTATGTTGAAAAATATTGCCCTAAAGCTGTCTACACCCCTCAACTCAAGTATGTATGTATAGCAGGAAGGTAAGCATAGTTTTACTGTTACTCTCTCATAATAACTGCTTAGGTAATCCGAGTCAATTATTCTTTCCAATATTGTTGAAATATGGATTTTAATTTCATGCTACAAAATGAAGGTATATTGAAGGTGCTCGGCTTTTTGACAACTCAAATCCAAATATTGAGGCTCTAGTTCCTGCTAATGCTTCTCAGCTAGCTCCTGACGCTGCTATTACGAACACTGCCACCGCTTCTCCCCCTAACACAACATTACGTGCTCGCTTTGTAGGCCAAGGATACAAGCAGGTGAATGCAGTTGTTTTAACTGTTCATTCATAGTCAAAACTATAGTGTGAAAAACTGCTATCATCTGACAGATAATCAATTATGCTGACCAAAGCTGTGAGAGTTTGTCAGGTTTGTGGGCAAGCAGATGTATGGGGCGATGGTGTTGTGCCAGAAGTATCAGCCCATCTTGAGGGTGCACTTAACATTTGCTTGGATGGAGTTTATCACTCCCCAGTTGGTTCCGATGATGCAACGAGACCATGGTATGGTTCACCAGATGTGTTGGAGCAATGGGTACAACACCTCCTTAATTAACTTGGAAGTTTTTACAACACTTCATCCAAGTAATGTCATTTTATTAGTATGCCACTGATAAAATGATCTTTATTTTTTCTTTCTATATGTATTTGTGGCATTGGATTTGATGATCTATACTTCAGACTCGTACAATATCCAAATCATTTTTCCTTTCCAGTTTCCCCCTCCTTCCTTTTAACCTTGGAGCTCTTTTTTTTTTTTTGTCAACAACCTTAAAACTCTTAATTCTCATGTTTTTCGTGTATGGAACAATAAAGGAAAAATTTTAATACTGCCTTGGTATTGGCAAATTTATTCTCAAGAGAGTAAAAGCAATTTAAGAGACAAGTGCATTTTTAAATAGTTTTTAAATTTTTTTAAACTTTGAATATTTTCAGGGTAAAACTATTTTCTCAAATCAAGATTTAACAACCAATTATAATATTTTATTTTTAAATATGAATATTTTGATATCCGAGTTCACCAAAATAAAGTTTAAAAAATTGTTAACTAACCATTGTCAAGTAATTCAATATCGCTTAAGTAAAATTTTAAGTTTAAATTATTGTATATGTAAAAAATCTCTATTCATAAATTTATCCACCATATTCAAATACGCGACACGAATATGAATTAAATCGAATGAGAAAAAAAATGTTAATTATATTAGTTTTTATTATTTTTTTAAAAAATTTTACTTTAGGAATAAATTTATTTTATTTTTATATATATTTAATCATTTATAACTTAGATTTTAAGTTTTAAAAGTGTAGATGTATGAACTTTTTAAAATGTGTAAATAAACTTTTCTTTTATTTTGTCTAATTTTTTTCGTTTTTTATACCAAAAATATCTTCAAATCTTTAACGTGACAAATACTTTTTAGAGTATTTTTATAAAAATAAATAAAAAGTTAATAATCGTACGAGTAATTAATTTTTTTATATACTTTTAAAAAGTACATTGTATCACATTACACAATTTAAAAAATTATAGTCTAAATTATACATGACAAAATAGATAAAGAGTAAAATATTTTTTTATTTTGTGAAATTATTATTACTTTTTTGTAAAATTATTTTAACTATGTTAAAGTAAAATGTTTTAGCCATTTTTAAAAGTGATTTTACTTCATCATGCGATTAATATTTTTTTTCCTTTACCTAATACTGTATTTTAGTTTAATTTTTCTATTTCATTAATTTTTGTTAAAAACTTATCCAATTGTTATTTAAATTTCATGTTTATTATTTTTATTTAAATTTAAATTTAACTATTATTTTTATCATATTCTTTTAAAAAAATATGTATTTAATTGTACTATTAAATGCTTCTCAAAACATTCTATTATAATTAAAAATTAGTTTCATTTTCTAATTTTAATTTTTCTTCCATATTTTTCATGTCAAAATCGTTATTAACTCTTTTTTTTTTATGGGTATTAATGGCATTATAAATAAATATGATATGGCAATAATGTCGATAACAATGTTACTCTAATAAAATAGTGCCATTAAAATTGGGTTATGAATGAGGAAAATGTTGTATGAAAATAATTTTAACGATAAATTTAAAATAAAAAATATAAAATTAAGTTGGAAGAAATTCAATAATATATGCTAATGACGAATTCTGTAAAATTTTATTATAATTTTTAATATTCAAATTTGTTTTTATCTATATACCATTTAAAAGTTTAAGAAAATATTAATTATATTTTTAATTAAGTTATTATTTATATTTAAATATTTTATATGCTTGTATTAAATGGGAAATTTGAATATAAAGAGAAAATATATTTGAGATATAGAATTAATGGGTAGAAGTGAATTTGAATCTTTAAAGGAGTAATTTATGATAAAAGGAAGAGGGATGTGGCAGTAAGAAGGTGAAAGCGGGGTTGGGTTTGTTATTGTGTCGTTGGCAGTGTGGAGAGCCTCACCTCAGTCTCACCCCCTTATCCGCAAAGAAGACACAAACACCAATTCCCATTGCCCAACGCAAAGCTGAACTGAACCAACTTCAAAACTTGACATGTTGAGACCCTTTCATAGCAGTCTCAATCTCCTTCCTAACATTGCCCTTCAAACACTACAATAGATTAGATTAGAATGTCGTGTTTGTTGCCGCACTTCAATTGCCACCCCGACACTTTCAGAACTCATCCCTATGCTCTTCCATGTAATTTTTCTCTATCCCTATCCCTATCCCTATCCCTTTCGCATTCGCATTCGCAGTTGGATTCTATTCTCACTCGTGCTTTCCCCTCCTTTTTTGCAGCAAAAACAAGACCAATTTTGTGTTTCCAGCCGCAATGTGTTTTGTCTCCCGCATCTCCGTCAACGCTGCTTCATTTGGAAAATAAGTTGGCATTAGATGCTCCTTCTGATCCAAACCCGCCCTGGCCCTATATCGCTCCTGTTCCTCCCTCCACACAGGTTACACTTTCACCATCATCTTTTCATTTCATAACACGATACCAAAGCAATTTAACAATTATTGCCTTCCGTTTTTATCTTGGGTTACCGTTCCAGTTATATTTATGCATGGATGGTAATAATAATGCTCTGGTCTAGGTTATGATACAGTGCTCAACTTGTCTTCTTTTGGTTTTCATTAGGTCTACAGTCTAACAAGGTTTAGCCACATTAATCATCATTCCATTACTACTCTTGAACATTCACGGCCAATGAAGGTTCATTGCTTTAAAGCCTCAAAAAGGGTTTTTTATTCTTTTAAAGGATTCTATTTATTGTGTGATATGATTTGTTATTTTTTGTTAATTCCGTTTGTAAGATTATGCAATATAGGTGTAGCTGTCTATGTATGTCGCTTAAGAGGTCCTATTACTTATTTAAAAGATTCTAGAGAAAAATTGATTTTGCATCTGTTTTGGACTGTACTCCAAAGAGGTCTATTGAAATGGATATGGGGCTTAAATTTCAGAAACGACGTATGATCCATAGCAAATAGTATTTTGATGAAAGTATTGGCAATCAGACTATGCATTCAACTAAAGATTCTTTTTGTAAAGCCCATTTGAACAATTTTATTATCCAATAAATTAATTGGTCTAACCATATTATTTATTGGAATTGAGTGAAATATCATAATTATTTGATTATAAAACTTAGATTAACAATTTGTAGCTCAAAAGGTTAGATATATAACATCAGGATTGATGAGTCTTATTAAAATAGGCCTTGAACTTCAATTTTACGAAGGGTCAAGAATTTCTATTTTCTTGACCCAGCTCTCTGAGGGTTGGCAGGTAAGATTGAACTTCCTTGCCCTCAACGGAGAGGTCTTGGGGCTGGTGGCCTTCATTAATGCTCTGAATTTGGAATAGGAGAACTTCATCCCTCCTCCCAAACTATCTTCCTTCCAACACAATAAACAAAATTCCAATATTTTCTTGGTTTCTCAATGATGAAATTTCCTTACATGCTATACTTGTAAGGTTTTTATTGTCAACCAAGTCACAAATAAGAACTATCATTGATTCCTATTTGGCAGCGTTTAAACTTTCTTCTCTACTTTATTCATATGCAAATTTCAATTGTGAATACACATTTTATTTGTGTATCATAGTTTTTTTGGCAATGCTGAGAGATTTAGATATATCAAGCTTAACCAGAATCTAATTATATTTTTGCCTTTAATCAGGCAAACTTTAAAGCAACCTTATCTACGGAATCACTTCTTACTAGTGAAGAGGCTGTAGTAGCTGCTGCTGCATCTGAAGCTCTTGCTCTTGCTAAAGCAGCTGTGAAGGTTGCAAAGGATGCAGCTTTGCTAGTGAGAAAGAAGCCCCCAGCAGAAGCAGAGTATAGATCACATGTTTCTTTCAAATCTGATGATTTACTTCTCAAATGGGTTCAACATCTGGAAGCAGAAGATGCTGTGGAAGGAGGATCCATGGGTACTGGAGCAGAAATCATGGAAGATGTTGACATAAGCCCCAGCCAAGAGGAATCTGATGATGTAGAGCCTTCTCATGAGGAACTTGAGCATCTGCAGGAACTGCTTTCCAACAGTATAGCTGTAAGATCTAGGCGCCAAACAGAAAGAAAAGCTAGAAGAGTCAGAGCAGCGGAGAAGGCTACCACAAATATTGTGTCTTTTAAGCCTGGTTCCACCAGCAGGAGAAAGCGTGCTTCTAAGCAAGAAGTAGATCATTCAGATCCACTTCGTTACTTAAGAACAACAACTGGCTCTACTAGGCTTCTTACTTCAAGTGAAGAAATTGAGTTGTCTGAAGGAATACAGGTGCGATTTGCATGTTAGTGATATTGCATTTGTATTTTAGAATTTAGAGCAATTGGTGGAAAATCAGTCATGCTCTTAATGCCCTTGATAACTGAGACACTCCTAAATCACCTAATCATCAGCATAAAAGCTTCATAAAGTGCATGCCGATCGTACAATTTTGTAAATCAATATTTATGTCCTTCTTAATATGACCCAAGCCTCATTTATCTTGCTTCCAGCACTGCTTACAGCATCACCTAGTCAGTTGCTTTAAAAGATTCCATTTAAATATGCTTTTTATGGGTGCCTAAATTATTCCTTTCATTTTATCCTACTATATGCATAAAACCAAAATTTCTGAATTGAAATTTGAATTCACCTCATATGTTGAGATGACTCTATATTTTCCTAGAATTGTATAAATGAATAATTTCTCACATTAACATTAAGTTATCTTGTACTTTTTTCTTAATTTTGGGTGGATAAGAGTTTACATTTTCCTTTTTGTCCTTTTCTTTTTTTTTTGAGGATAGGAAGTGTCTGGTTTTTTGGTTGGGATGATGCTCTTTAAGATTCTTCCTACTGGTTGGTTGGACATTGTTCTAGTTGAGAACCACCCAGAAAGGAAAAGAATGCTACAAGGAAGTTAGCAAACAGTTCATTTAATCATAGTGAATCAGAAGATTTTAATACTTCAATTTATAAAGATTTGTCAGCATAGTTTCTTTCCGATAATGGAGTAAAATTTTATTATTTTGCTTTTATTGTCTAATTCATTGCCTATTTTTCTGCAATATAATTCAGGACCTTTTAAAGCTTGAAAAGCTTCACAAGGATCTTGCTGAAAGATGTGGTGGTCAGCCTACATTTGCACAATGGGCTGCTGTGGCAGGGGTAGATCAGAAGACCCTGAGGAGACGACTAAATTATGGTATATTTTGCAAAGACAAGATGATTAAAAGCAATATACGGCTTGTCATATCAATTGCTAAGAATTATCAAGGATCCGGAATGAATCTGCAAGATCTTGTCCAGGTATATTCTCACCTATACAGTATTTTTCTTAAATAAATAATAATCATGGAAGACATGGCAACTTTAACTGTTCCAGTGATAAACTATTTTACTGTTTCTCATTGGTTTACAGGAAGGATGCCGAGGCCTCGTAAAAGGTGCAGAGAAGTTTGACGGTACTAAGGGTTTTAAATTCTCCACCTATGCTCATTGGTGGATTAAACAGGCAGTTCGGAAATCACTTTCTGATCAGTCAAGAACTATTCGCTTGCCAGTGAGTATTATGTGAAAAATCGCAAGCAAATTTTGGTTGTATCAGTTGAAATTGCTCTAATATTTATAAGAAGCTACATCATTACAACGTTTTTTGTTTCACAGTTCCACATGGTGGAGGCAACATACAGAGTGAAGGAGGCCAGAAAACAATTGTATAGTGAAAATGGAAGACACCCTGATGATGAAGAAGTTGCTGAAGCAACTGGATTGTCAATGAAGAGGCTTAATGCTGTACTTTTGACCCCAAAAGCTCCCAGATCTCTGGAACAGAAGATTGGGATCAACCAGAATCTTAAACCTTCAGTCTGTCCTAAATCCTGTTCAAATTTATATTTCAGAAATAAAAACTCCCATCATATGATGTTCATTTTGCTAATACTCGTGTTTTTGACCAGGAAGTAATTGCTGATCCTGAGGCCGAAACAGTTGAAGAACAGTTGATTAAGGAATTTATGAAGAAGGACCTGGAAGAGGCACTGGACAGTCTCAATCCAAGAGAGAAGCAGGTGGTAAGATGGAGATTTGGTATGGATGATGGAAGAATGAAGACCCTGCAAGAGATAGGGGAGATGATGGGAGTGAGTAGGGAGAGAGTGAGGCAAATTGAATCTTGTGCTTTTAAGAAGCTTAAGAACAAGAAGAGAACCAAGCATTTTCAGCAATATTTGGTTTCATAACCCTACCAAATATTGATATTAAACCGCTGGATGAGTTATTTGATGCTTTTAAGGTCCTGAACCCTTTGGATCTTTGTCTCTATGTTACCCCCCCATTTTTTTCCCATTCTACGAAAGAGAAGACAAGACGTCATAATTTTAGTATACTAGGAAATGAATGTACACAAAGGAACAACTTTTGATCAAGAGTCCACCATTTTTTAATGTTCGTGAAGTGCTAAAAATGTTTCAGGGACGTAATCCACTGGTTCTTTTCATGCTGATAACCAGGCAAAAATAAGTTTTTAAAGTAGTTAATCTTTTAAAGCTAGTTTAGGAAACTGGATAAAGAAATGATTTTTCCCCTAAAATAATAAGTAAACTAACTGGGTTTTTCTTCTGTGGTAGAAATTAGACATATAGTTTAATTTCGTTTAAGTGAAAATAGACTCGCTTAAAAAAAATTAAAAAAATAATAAATTTTTTGTATGTAAAATTAGTTTAAATGAATTGTTTTTGTTTAGCGAATTTTGTGTATTTAAAGAGATGAAAATTGTATATAAGAGAAAGAGATGACTGAGGATAGTAAATAGTGGCTCAAGAGTTTTTAGGGTTTAAATTAAATTTAAAAATGAGGCTTTTTTATTAATAGAATAATTTGTTATTATTAGTTGAGAATTACGGGTCATTAAATATTATTTGTAATACTAATAAAAATTTTAGGAGCTTAAAGCTCTTGCCTTATCTGTCTGTACCTGAGGCCGCCTTTGAGAATAGATGAAGATAAGAAGAGCAGTGGAAAGTTGGGTATGGAAGAAAAAAAAAATATAAGTATTAGGTTGGGTGAGAGTAGAAAGAAGAAAAGATGAATTAGACATTGAATGAAGGGAAAAAATAGTTGGGAGAGAAAGAAAGGAGTTGGATATGAGAGAAGGGAAAAAGTTAAATATGAATGTTAAAAAATATTGGATATGAAAATTGAGAAGACAATTTTAAATATGGGAAGAAAAAAAAAATTGAAAGAGAAGACACAAAATTTACTTAAGTTAAAATAATTTGCTTAAACTAATATATTTCCTTCAGTCAAAAAATTTTACTTAAATAATTTTGTATAAAAAAATTATTATTTTCTATATTTTTATTTAAATGAGTTTATTTTTTTGCCTTTAATTGAAAATAAAGTTGGATGTCATTTCCTGGGCTTTTTTATTTAAATATTGTAAATTTAAAAACAATTTCTTAAATTATAAGTTTTTTAAAACTATTTTCCTATCTGGTGTGATTTAGTTGACGTGGCATACTATTTCGCCAAAACGATTAGCAAAAATATTAATTTTTAAAAATAAAAAATAACTAATTTTGCCACTAAAAGTGTGAAATAACTAGATCATGACACGTGTAAGCATCTAGAAAGTTTCACAGTATTAATGACAAAATTAATAAGCAGTTTCGTCATGAAAAGTGAAAAACTCAGAGATGGTGACATGTGTCACGATTTTAACCAGTTTCGCCATAGAAAGTAAGAAACTCTTAGATGGTGACACGTGTCATGATCTTAGTTACTTTCACTATAAAAATTACACAACTTACAGAAAGTTAATAAGTGTCACAATTTTAACTAATTACGTGAATTAAATATAAAATTTTTAAATTTACTCAATAGATATTAATTAAAATTATATTGAAATTAAAAAAATAAATTATGAACATAATAACAGCAAATATTTTTTATATTTACATACAAATTACTAATGTAATGACAATACATAATTTACTTTCGTTAATTTTAATAATATAATAAAAAAAGATTTAATTTATTAATCAAACAAATTAAATTTAAAAATAAAATTACAAACATAATACTATAAAATAATTTTTATTTATATACAAATTTAAATTATATTTTAATTAAAAAAATAAAATTACTGATATAATTCAGCATAATAGTTTTTATTAGTAGATATTAATTATAATTACATTAAAATTATAAAATAAATTACTAACATAATACCAAAAAATATTTCTTACATTTATATACAAATGACTAACATAATCACAATACATAATTTATTTTCATTAATTTTAATAATATAATGAAACAAAATCTAATTTAAATTTACATGCAAATCAGATCATATTTAAAATAAAAATAAATAACTAACATAATATTATAAAAAAAATTTACTTTCATTAATTTTAAAAACATCTTAATTTACTTTCATTAATTTTAAAAACATAATTAAACAAAATCTAATTTTTTTACATATAAATCATGACCACATTTAAAATAAAAATTAAATTACTAAAATAATAATAATTTGTATGTAAATATTAAAAATATTTTCTTGTGTGTTAGTATTTTTTTTAATTTCATTGTAATCATAATTGATATCTAATGATAAAAATTATTATGCTTGATTATGTTAGTGATTTTAATTTTTTTTAATTAAGATGTAATTTAAAGTTGTATGTAAATAAAAAAATTATTTTTAGGTATAATATTAGTTACTTTTGTTAGAATTATATTTAATTATAATGTGATTATAATTTTATAGTAAATTTAAAAATTTTATATTTAATTTACGTAATGGGTCAAAATTGTGACACTTGTCAACTTTCTGTAAATTATGTAATTTTTATGGCAAAATTTACTAAAATTATGACATGTGTCACCATATAAGAGTTTCTCACTTTCCACGACGAAACTGATTAAGATCGTGACACATGTCACCATTTCTGAGTTTTTCACTTTTCATGGCGAAATTGCTTATTAATTTTGCCATCAATACTGCAAAACTTTCCAGATACTTACACGTGTCATGATCTGGTTATTTTGCACTTTTTGTGTCGAAATTGGTTATTTTTTAAAAAAAATTAATATTTTCACAAGCCATTTTGGCAAAACAGTATGCTACATCAACCAAATCACGGCTTTTTTGCCCTTTAGGTTAAATTTAAAAAAAATTACTAAAATAGGGCTTCATGTAAACATATTCCTGGTCTGGGGTTGGGGGGTGACGTGGCAAGAGAATCGTCCAGACCAGGGACGACACATATGATGACGTGACGAACTGTGAGAGTGTCATCCCACCAGTAGTCGACACTCATGACAGTGTCGTCCCATTATTAGACGACACTCATGAGATGTTGACATGTGTCGCTCAATGATGTCACGTTCTATCTTAATCATTTTTTTCTCTCCTTCAAAAATTATACCCTCATTTCCTTCATATATTCTACTATTTGAATATAATATAACAACAATTTCATTCATCTTGCATTACAAATAAGCCAAATTTATAATATAATAAAATTATATTTAAAAATTTATTTGTAATTACAAATATTTAAATTTTTTTTAATACTTAAAAAATTTATATTACAACATTAACACTTAAAATATTATCAAAATATAAAATAAATATTATTATTCGAAATATAAATTCTTAATAGCCAATAAATAAAATTATATATTTATAATGCTTAAAAAAATTTAACCTTATTATTGCTCTTCTTGCAATTTCTTCTCCAGCCTATATAGTTACAATTTCTTCTCCAGCAGCCTATTCGTTCTTCAGCTTCACGGTTAAAATGTGAAAGTTTCATATTTATACACATTTGAAGTTGGATAAAAGAATATATCAAAATTTTTATCCACTGGTCACATTAAAATCGGGTATCGTGGGCCAGCACTGGAGTCGTCTTTGTTATAGACGCTACTAAAATTGTCCAAAAATAGACTATACAACTTCATTAAGCGACACGTGTTAACATCTCATGAGTGTCGTCTAATAATGGGACGACACTGTCATGAGTGTCGACTATTGATGGGACGACACTCTCACAGTTTGCCACATCATCATATGTGTCGTCCCTGTTATTAACGACTCTCTTGCCACGTCACTCGTCCACCCCAGATCAAGAATATGTTTACATGAAGTCCTATTTTGATATTTTGTTTTAAAATTAACTCTAAAAAGGCAAAAAAACCCCAAATCACCCTAGACAAAGAAATAATTTTAAAAAACTTATAATTTAAGAAATTATTTTTAAATTTATAATATTTAAATAAAAAAGCCCATTTCCTGCTATAATTAAAGGGGATCCGGATCCAATTAAACAGCGGAAGTGCAGAAACTATTTGAACGATTGTTACAAGTTAAACAGTGGTTAGTTATGGTACGTTTCTTTTCATTGCCACTGCTTGTTTCTCATCCAGGAGCAAACGCATACTAAGAGAGAGAAATAAAGCCATCCGTTGGCCTCGGTCTTTGTAAAATGTACAGAAGCACAAGCATAGTTCTATTAATTGTTATTTGTTATTGTCCATAATGATTTTTTTGTTGGTCGACTATCAGATGTTCTCCTTTTTTTCGATCAACTATCAGTTGTTAATTTTGTTTTTTGTCCATCAATTATTAGTTGTTCAAAAACTATTTAATGGGCTGGACATTCTGGTTGGATCGGCCCCGACCTTCAGATAATTAAGGGGGTCTATTCTTTAGATCAGACACCTGACAGAGACTTGTGTCTTGGCCTGACATCATTTTTTAATAAATTAATTAGACTTAAATTTTTTTAAGTTTTGTTTAAATAAATAAGTTATATTTAAGCTGTTTATAAAGTCTGATAAGCCGGCCTGTATAAATAAATAAATATATATATATATATATATATAATTTAAAAATAGAGCTGTCAAAATATATTTAAATAATAGTTATTTAATAATATATTTTTTATCTTCTTAATTCTGTTATTATTAAATTAATATATTATGTTATAATTTTATTTATTTATAATTATAATAAATAAAAATTATATTCTATTAAAAATTAAAAAAATTTATACATTAATATATTTTTTAAATAATAAATTTATTTAATAATAAATTATTATATTTATTATATTTAAACAATTTAAAGAACAGTTAAGTCTTTGAACAGAAATAAAATGTAATCAATTATTTGTATTATTATTAATTTAATTATTTAATTATTATATTAATATATTACGTTATAATTCTTTTCATTTATATATATAAAAATTGCTTAAATCTAAATTATATTTTATTTGAAAGTAAAAATTTATAAAAAAAAATAATAACAAAATAAAATAAAAAACTTATTATAATATATATTAATTTTTATCACATATTTTTTAATTAAGATAAAAATTTAGAAAAATAAGTTATTTTAATTTAAATATAAATTTTAATAATTATTCCTTTACACATATGTTATTTTTCTGCATTTATGAATTTTATAATATAAATATTTTTTATCTACACTTTTTTATAATAACGATATTTATTTACTTTTTAAAATATAATAATTTTTTTAACTGATACAATAAATTTTGTAAGTGTTATTTTTTGTTATCAATTTTATGTGTTTACTGTGATTTTATGTATTGAATATAAGATATCTTTATACAAACAAAATATAATTATAATAAAAAATAATTAAAATATGTAATAATTTTATAATTTTATAAAATTAAATTGAGAAAAATAAAAATATTTTATAATATGAAAATATTTATAATTAATGCTCAAATAGTATTTTAAAAATTATTTATAAAATTGTATAAAAATTATTACAATTATTTAATAATTATCAATAACACAAATAAAAATTTGAATATATGTAAACTAATTTGATAATAAAATAATTATATTTTTATTAATATTATTCAATAATAATAATCATTATAAATTTTTAATATTATACAAATTTTATTTTATTTTTTTATCTTTTCTTAGGCAATTTTATTGGTATAAAATTTATAATAAAAAATTTCATGGATTGTATTAACTACATTACAACAAATTACAAATTACAAATTACAAATCTAGCACAATCACATACCTCTGAGACAAAATTGCTATCGCACATATTTTTTATTCATAGTTATATTATTATCTATAGTTACTTTAAATATAAATATAAGATAAATTATTATATTTATTTGAATAAGCTGAAGAACAGCAAAGTCTTCAAATAAGATTAGAATGCAATCAAAATTAAAAAACTAATATTTAAAAATCAAATAATATTATAATAATTTATTTTTTATATTCTTAATTTTATTAGTATTAATATTTAATTTTTATATTAATATATTATCTTAATAATTTTTTATTTATAATAAATAAAAATTATATTATATTTGAAACTAAAAATATTTATACACGATTACACGTGTTTAAAAACTAAATTTATTTAATCATAAATTATTATATTTATTATATTTAAACAAGTTAAAAAAGAATAATCGAATAAAAATTTAAAAATAAAATATTAATATGTTTTTAATAATTTTTTTATATTTTTAATTTTATTAATATTAATATTCAATTATTATATTAATATAGTATGTTATAATTTTTATATTTATAATAATTAGAAATTATTTAAATAGAAATTATATTTTATTTGAAAGAAAAAATTTATAAAAAATAATAAGAAAATAAAATAAGAAATTAATTATAATATATATATATATATATATATATATAATCAGACCATATAACAAATAATATAATTATAAATAAATTATATAATAATATATATTTTTATAACTTGCACGTATTTGAATTAAATTATTAGTTAATTTATCAATTTATATATAATATGTAAGTATATATTTTAATTTATTGTATCAGTAATATTTTCTATATTACATTAATGTTATAATATAGTTAATTGTATGTTTATTTGTTAATTTAAAATAACAAATTAATGAAACAAATAACATTAAATATTTTGTAATTATTTTTTTAATTTAATAGTTATTATTATTGTCATTATATGTATATATATTGCATTAAGTTTAAATTTATTTATTTTTTAAAACATAATAATAATTTTATTTTAATTGATTCAACAAATTGTGTGAATGTTAATTTTTTTTATCAATTTTATGTATTTCCTATAACTTTATTTGTTGAATATAATATGTCTTTAAACAAACAAAATATGTTTCTAAATAAAATTAAAATATTTACTATTTATATATTTTTTAAAAATAAATTAAGAACAATATAAATATAAATTTTATTAATATAAAATATTTTTAATTAATACTTAAATAATATTTAAAAATTTATTTATAAAAATATATAAATATTATTATAATTATTTAATAATTATTAATAACATAGATAAAAATTAAAAAAACATATAAACTAAATTGATAATAAAATATTTATATTTTTATTAATATTTTTTTTTATAACAGGCTTTGTTAAGAGGCTTTAGGCCAAGTCAAACCTAAAATAAAGCTTTTAACAGATAACAGGCGAGGCTTAAGCCTAATAATTATGTTACAAGCCAAATTTATTTAGAGTAAAGTCTGGTCTAACTTGACCTGTTTTCATCCTTATTTGTAGATGTGTCCGAGTAGTGTTTTATGATTTAAGAGTTTGCACTGACATTGTTAAAATATTTTAGTTACTTTTATTCTGTGTAAGAGTAAGTCATATTATAGTTTTATTAACAATAAGAGTACTTGCATAAAATAATAATAACATTACTAATTATTGAATATTTAATTTTTGATTAAATGTTTTAATTACTCAAAGAATAAAATAATAAATATATCTTGAATGATTACTATATTAAATGTTATTTCTTTAATTTGTTAGTTTTAATTCATTAATATGTATTCTGACAACACTGTTCAACAAATTTAAATTTATAGCATTATAAATATGCACAAAACATCAAGTGAGTATCTATTCGAATTAGATACTTAGATTTTACAAATATTTGGTATTTTTCTTTTTCCTAAAGAAAAACTCATAGTAAGTCTATAAAAAAGGGGAAGACGGAAATCAAACTTAACCTCATAATTCATATTTTATAACTTAATCAACTGAACTGATTTAAGGAGACATATTAAAGGTTCAAACAAATAAGAGTCACCACTCATTCCTAATTGACAAGTATTAAACATAATTAATTTAGGAAACAATCAAATAAATAAATAATTGATCTAAAATCAAATTGAATAGCGTGTAGCTAACCCAAATTAGGCATTGAAATTTAGTAAACTTAAGGTGACAATTAATTGCATACACGGTTATAATGTACTTTCAATTAATTTTCCCTTAATTTTATCCGACACACTCTTGTTATTAACAAATAAATTACTATTAAACATAGATATGCAAATATAAAAGAAACATTAGAAATTTTTTATTTAATTATTATTCTTAGAGAGGGTGCTTTGGGGTGTCCAAATTTACATGCATATTAAAAGGGGTTTCGAGGTGGGGGGGGAGGGGGAGGGAGAGGGAAGTAACAGTAAGAAGAACGAACAGTGTTGTGTTCTGCTAAAAATACAAATTGCAATGAAGAAGAGGAGCGAGGTGGAGCCCCAGCAACCTTCTTCTTCTGTTGTTGAGTTGCAGAAAGAGAAAGAAAAATGGAAAGGGGACCAAACCCTCGTGTCTTCCAATCCCAATCCCAAGTTTGATGATGGCTTCTACGAAATCGAAACCATACGCCGTAAGAGGGTGCGCAAGGTAAGCCATAACTAATAATATCAACATTTTCTTAGCCTTCTTTTTCTGCATGTCTATTTTTGCATTCACTTCTCTTCCGAGTTGTGACGACGCACAATGTTGCAAAATGCTAATGCAAATGCAAATGCGAATGCGAATGCGAATGAATACAGGGTCAGCTACAATACCTAATCAAATGGTGAGTTCACTTTTCAGTTTAGCTGCGATAATAATAGTGTAGTGTTTCTGTGTCTACGAAGAAGAGAAGGCTCATTCTGAAAGGGCATTGGTTTTATTGTGATTAACAGGCGTGAATGGCCGGAGACTGCCAATACTTGGGAGCCTCTTGAAAATCTGCAGTCAGTTCCTGATCTAATTGATGCTTTTGAAGACAGGTAGCTTTTCTATATCTATAACATTCTCTTTCCTTTTTCTTCCCATTACCATGCAAAATCAACATCATTACTTCATTTTTTTTAAGCCTCAAGTCGGGAAAACAGCGTAAGCGCAAACGCAAGTATGTCGTTCACCATGTCCAACCCAAGAAGCGACTCCAACGTTCTACCACTTCTTACAGCCTTAGACACTTTCCAACTGAAAACCATATTCCTGCCCATCCTCAAACTCACATTGCTACTGACATAGGACAGACTAATGCTAATCCCACTGCCCCTTCGCAACCCGAACATGCTAATGTAAATGGGTTTGCAAAACACGAGGACAATGATTATGATCCAAAGCTCAGTGAACTTAAAGCTACAATGAACAATGGGGTTGATATTGATAAGCTCGCAATACATTTCCAACAACCTAAGGTTTCAACAGTCAACGGTCATGTGGATGGTCAATCGAAGGTGGATTGTGTGGAACCAGTTCAAAATGGGCGCTGCAGAGGAGCAAAAAGGAGAAAATCTGGTTCTGTGAAGAGGTTCAAGAAAGAGACATATGCATGCGAGCCTGTTGATGCACAGAATGCAATCGGCATATCTGTTGGTACAGGTGAACCAGGTTGCAGAGGTATTGCTGGTTATATGCAAAATAATAGTCACACGAACATGGGCAATGCTACAACTGCCTGCAATATTGTCAAGATTATAAAGCCAATAGGCTATTCAGCTTCTTTATCTGACAACATACATGATGTTTCAGTGACCTTTATGGCTATGAGGTTTTTCACTCAACTAACAACTCCAAATTTTAATTTATGATTGCTCTCTGACACCTTTGATAGCAACATTTATAATTCTATTTGTTCTTTTTATGAGTAAGTTTGTTTAACTAAATTGATATTTATACATATTTAATGTTAAAAGGTTTTGGTTTTCATGATTTAGTTTGTCAATTTCGAAATGGGAATAATGTTGTCTTAAATTGGTTCATCTCAGAATAAAACAAAAACGTCTAACATCTGACTAGTGAATAGCATGAGTAGAATTATTAGAGTGCTTTAGTTCAGTCATGCTTGAAATTTATCGTACATTGTTGAAGTGTCAATGACTTGCGACCATGGTTATAATAACTTCAGAACGGTGTGGAACTTGATCCTGCCTAGGTTATAAATTTCATGCTCTACGTACTGTTAGATTGGAGGGAAATGAAGGGGAGGGGAGTAGAGGGGATTCAATAAAACCTCCTTGTTTTGTTCCAAAGTTTGGAAACGAGGAGAGGGAAAATGAGGGGGGATTTCATTTCATTATCTGCTCCCTCCCCTCCTTTGAACCAAACAATTTGTTAGCCAATGATTAGGCTAATGGTTGATCATTTGGCTATTTATACATTGAAAATTAGTGTATTTAAACCTAGAGCATATGTTAGGAGGGAACATTGTTAATCAAGCATGAAAATATTTCCAGTTTAGGTATTTTTTTATTAGATTGTTAAGTGTTCATTTTTTATTATGCCAATCGGATTTATCTTTTTTCTTGTAATTTCACTTCAAATATGTCAGCACTCAGCAATGACATATTTGGTATGAGTTGAAAGTTTCTCCTTAAGCCTGCAAGATGGTTTAATGATCTTGATTATTTGGTAATTATTATGTATGTGAATGTCATGAAAATGCTTTGTTATTTAATCAATTTTAAGACATACCCTTTCTTTATTGTTATCTTTTAGAGAGAGAATATTTATCAATCTTCTCTCGATATAAATTAGATCAGTTGCTAATATTTGCCAGATCATGTACTTCTATTGTAGATTAAATTGATAAAACCTTTATTTTCATAATAAATGTAGAATGAAATTTTAAATGTAACTTGAAATTTATTGAGTTTGAAACTTTCTTTACAGTGCCTGTCGCAGGAGTTTGTTTTTCTCTTTGGTTCATAAAAGGACATGCTGTTGATAAAAGAGAAGGGGAAGATAAATGCTATAAAAATGGTGATTTTGTCAACTCCTTTCTAAGGGAAAAATAATACTAGTGAAAGGCAGACTTTTAGGGCTAAAGACTAATATGCCTTCCAATTTTTCAGTTCATTTACCAGAGGATAGCCCTAATAGAGATAGAATGTAGTTAAATATTCATGGTTGGCTTTATCTTTTTAACTCACCCCTCACACCAGAATCTTGTGGACTTGAACAATGCGCTGCCCACTCTATGATGCACTGAAATTCAATCTTTTATTTATTAGAAGAATGGGAGCAGTAAGTATTGAACACTTAATATTTTAAGCTTTTAGGTTAAGATTCATCTTTGTTTTTATATCTCAAACTAGTAACCAACCCCACCCCTTTTTTGCTATAAAACCTACAAATAGAACTACAATGGTGAGCCCTGTACATTATATCTTGAAAATGAAATGCACTTTGAGAGTCTTAATTGTGATCTATATTAAGAATTGATCAGACATAACCCTAAAAGTTCATTCATGAGGGGAGGATTTCCTAATTTTATAAGAAATATTCTGGCCATATTCCTAAGTAATGTAAGACTTTTTAACACAGTCCCCTCTTGCCCAAGACTGGATATTTGAAGCAGAAAAAATTGTAGGAATGGGCATTTGTGGGTAGCCCATCATTGCAGATGGTCTAATATTATTGAATAGATTCTAAAGCTATATTAGAAATAAACTAGCTATTACTTAATTCCAATAGTTAGTTCAACAGAGTAGGATTGTCAAAGTCTTATAAGAAGTATTTTGGACATTCTTAGCAAATGTGGGACACTTCACAAGCTACTATTCTGCAGTTGCAATGGCTTTCTTTTTTTGATAAAACGATAAATGTTACTAGGAAGAGAGGAACAATGAGTGTAAAAACAATACAAGGCATGTTTGACAAATATACAAAGTATTTTTGTAAGAAATCAAAACAACAAAACTCCTCAACAAATATTTAGAGGGTAAAAAGATTAAAATCGACAAACTCCATGGAAAGCCCATAAGATGATACCATCCCATGCCAGATCTAAGGGTGAGAAGTTGCATGCTAATGTTGAGATCAAGAAACCAAGGCAAAACCTTGGTTTTAAATGGAATACCAATTGCACAAAATTAGCAAGTGAAAAATGACTTTGGCTTAACATTACTTGGTTTTACGGGAGCCTAGGACTTAATTTCCTTATGTAATTTTATTACTAAATTTGATCTTTTCCACCACTTCTATTGAGATTGAAGTGAACTGGAATATTTTCAATAATCATATAGTATGCTTCTTCACATAATACCTACCTGAATAACTATACAGGTCTGATGGAACGGAAGTGATGGTGGATAACAAATATCTCAAGGCATATGATCCACTTCTGGTAATCAACTGTCTCGTAGCAATATTAGATTGAATTGATTATTTCCTTGTCAATTTTGCATGGGTTCAACGTCTTCTGACATTGTTCATATGACCTGTCTTCACCTGAAGCTAATGATCTTCTTAATTTTCCAGCTGATCAATTTCTATGAGCTGCATCTCCGGTATAGTCCTATATCGTGACTGAACAGAGTAACAAAGGAGCTTCCCGTGTTTGTCGTTGGTGACAATAATGTAGTTTTGTAGATGCAGCGGATGATAAGGGTAATGCTTTGTTGGTTAGTGCATCATGATATAACCTTTAGACCAATTGCTTTAACAGGGCGTGTTTGGAAGTCAACAAACTGTGATGACTAATTATTAGCAAGAACGATATAACTGGACCTACAGGTCAGTTCTGTCCGTTGAAAGTCAACCTATGTTTGGCTGGACTAAGTTCAGCCTTTTTTTTTTTTTGGAAGTTTGCTAGTCCAATCCGAACACTTCATCAAGTTATTTGACCTGCCACGTTAGACTAAAACCGTGTTTGGAAATTTATTTTAATTAAGCGTATTTAAATTTATATTTAGAAATTAAAATTAACATAACCGTTAAATGAAATATTTTAATATGTTTTTAATTAGTAAATAAAAGCATTAATTTAAGTTTATCATTTAATTCACTTAACGTAAATGTGTGTATGTATATATTAAAAGATCTTTAAAATTTTGTATGTATGTGCGTTTCTATGAACAAGTTAGGTACTGCAATACTTATAGACCAACACTCATGTCTACAAATTTTTAGGAATAATTACCAAAATCCAGACCTATTGTTGAGTAAAAACACTACTCATTGGGGGCATTTGTTTGGTTTACGTCTGATTGTCGTCCTTAGTTTTATATAGCCTGGTTGTGAACCCGACTGGGTATAACTGACAAAATGTTGCCGACTGAAATAAAGCTAAAAGACGAGAAACAGTCTGCAGACAATACAATTAATCCAGATATTTTCTTTTAACTATCATGTAATTTGATGAACATAAAGCCTCATTTATAGTGAGGATTCGTGAGTTCCCGGGTTAAGTATATCTTAAACTTGGGTCACTGAACAACTGCAGCTACGTTTGATTAATGAATGGTACAGTACAGAGACAGAAACCATCTTGCATCAGAAGGCTAAAGTTGCTTATTGTTTGGTGTGGATGGCCTTTGCTCCATCACTGTCATTTGCGTTGTTAAAAGCAACACTGCCACGACTCCGTCCAATTCCCAGTTTGGGCAAACCTCTATTCAACCCGTCAAGAAGAACACAAGCTTTACACCATTTCTGCAATCCAAACACACATATTGTGGAACAGAGTTCATGAGGAATTTAAGGGATTGATTGATTGATTAATTGATTGGTTGATTAATTAATTGAATAATACCTACCTGGCTAGAAATATAACCGCACCGTTCACACGTTCCCTGCTCCGGCATTTTAGTTGTCGTTGATATCCTGAAATTCTCCCCTGATTTTATTATGTCAAGAATCGCCCTAGGCCTGCATATCAATACAACTACATGTGATTGTGTGTGAAGAACCAAAATCAAATAATTTGAATTGGATAGCGACCTGATTCTCTCCAAATCCTTGATGAACTCGCGAGCAAAACCTCGGTATGCATTCGGAGAATAAATGCCTGCAATTGTATATAATTATGCATTCGGAGTGCAATTGTATATGATTATTTGGCGAGGAAAGTGGAATGAGAGAGAGAGAGATGGATTTTACATTCGGTGGAAAAGTAGTCGAGCCTCTTGAAATAAGCATACGTAATGAAGTGGTCAAGGATTGGATTAGAATGGATTTGGATTCAAAAGATTTGAATTAATGAAGTAAAGGTAAAGGATATATAACGATCTCCTTCTCGTAGGTATACTTGAAAGGCTTACACCTGGGAATGGGGCCATCCTCACCAGTGGTGATAGAGGTGCATCTACTCAATCTAGCAACGTCTCCTCTCAACAGATTCAGGAGAACAGTCTCTGCAATATCGTCTGCATTGTGACCGGTAACCACTTTATCTACTTTGAGCAACGCAGCACCTCGATCCAGGGCCTGCCGACGGAACACGCCGCAGAAGGTGCAGTTGTTCTTCAAACCAATCAATTTCACGATCTCGTCCATCGTCCATCCATACAAATCCTTGTAAGACACCACTTTCAGAGGCAGTCCGTACTGAATTTGGTTCCGATGAACAGTTTCCAGAGAGTCGTCGCGGTACCCGGTGATGCCCTCGTCCACTGATAACAGAAACAGATGCAGACCGTAATTGTGTACGCGGTTCAGTTTGGACAACACGTAAGCCAGCACCGTGGAATCCTTGCCGCCGGAAGCACCGATTGCGACGCGCTCTCCAGGACTAAACAGCTTATTCTGAACGATGACTTGGTGAATCTCGTCCTCGAAGACGTCGTAGAAGCAGTCCCTGCAAATGTGTTGTAGTGTTTTGGGTCTCTTGAGGGAAGCTCTTCGTTGGTTGCATAGGCAGCACAATCGCACTCCTCTTTTCTTCTCCCTTTCTTCGCCTTCCATCTTCGTTAGGGTTTTTCCCCACTCACCCACTCCCTCCTTTCACAATTTTACTTATTTAACATCAGAACATTTATTTATATTTAAGTACAAACAAAAGTAGTCATAATTAATAATTGTTTTAAGTAAATTTTTTTAAATATAAGTATTTTAATTATAAAATATTTATACAATTAATTTAAATTGATACAAATTTATTTTTTAAAATTCAAATCCACATATTTTATCTTTTAGGAAGAGTTAATTAAAAATTCAAGTCTCGTTTCAATATTATATATATATTTTATTTTACAAGGAAAAATATTAATTTTAAATAATATATAAATAGATGAGAACCTAACTTTTACATATAGACAAAAAAAAAATATTTATTTAATTCTAGAATATCCTCTCACTGGGAAAAAGTAAGAGACTAATTTAGTATAATACAGTCAGAATTCAAGAAACCCTTTCATCAAGTTTTTTTTTTTTTCTACATACATTAATCTTCATATCTAACCAAAGACTACACCCTCAAGAATTTGAAAGTTTAAATTATTGATTATTAAGTTTAGAAAGTCAAGAATTACATATATTTTTATAAGAGGCAATTCTATTCAACTGCACTTACACAAGCTTGAACTTATTTTCCCAAGGTTTATGTTGATTAAGATACATAATTCATAATCGTAAGGTGCTGTATAACTCAACTCGATCGATACAAAGCAAGAGTAGAATGCAAAAGTTGAAGCTAGAGGGCTAACAGGAAAACAAAAAAGTTACAGACAGAAAAGAAATGCTAATTCTTTGGAATGTTTTTGCCTACAATCTTGGCTGGAGTTATCCGAAGAAGATTCCCTGGCTTACCAGGGACAGCACCTTTGATCATTACAACATTAAGATCTTTATCGATTTTGACAATCTTAAGCTTTCTTATCTTCCTCTTTGTTCCTCCCATCCTACCAGGCATCTTCTTTCCCTTGTATACACGCCCAGGTGTGGTTCCAGCACCAATTGATCCTAATTGTCTATGACTCTTTGAACCATGGCTCATTTGACCCCTTTTGAAGTTATGACGCTTTATTCCACCTGTCAAATACAACAATGTCAGCTACATGCATCAAATTCAAAGGGGAAATTTTACGAACAGGTAGAGTATTGAATATGACCTTGGAAACCCTTGCCAATGGTGGTGCCAGAGACATCCACAAGATCACCCTCCTTGAAAATTTCATCCAAAAGAAGGCGTTGGTTAAGATCAAAGTTATCGATGGTTTGAAGACGGAACTCCTGAAGATGGCGCATGGGAATGGCGCCGACCTTCTGGAGATGTCCCATTTCGGGTTTGGTCAATTTGCGGTCTCTGACTCTTCGGTAACCAACCTGGACGGCGTTGTAGCCATCGGTGGCCTCAGTTTTGATCTGAGTGACGATGTTACCTTCTTTGAAACCCACCACAGTGACGGGAACAACCTCTCCGTCAGCTTCGAAATAGCTCATCATACCCAATTTGGTGCCCATCACTCCAATACCCGCCTCCATGCTCATTACCACTGTCCCTTTCCCTTTCGCTCTTCTTTCTTGCAATTTCAGAAATGGATGTGCAGTGAAAGAACATGGCAAGCGACAAATCGAAATTGAGGAATAAGAACAACGGGAGATTGGTGATGAAATAGACAATATTGACGACATTCTGAATCTCACAGAAGCGAAATACAAGGAGCCACTGTCATACACACACAATAGTGTTTGCTACACTCTTATCCTCTTTCTGCCTCTGCTACCAAATGGATAGAGTTTTCACTTTCAAGTGTACACCCGCCCTCCTATCCACCCGACCCGACCCGACCCGACCCAAATTCATTCCTCTTTATTTCTATTCTTTTAACAGAATGTCTCCAAAATTAAATATTTTAGGAATCAAAATTATTTATGAATAATTTTCTTTATATGGAATGCTGAATAAAAATGAATTAGTTTATTTTTTTTAAGTGATTTACCATATCCTAAGAAATAACAATAAGTAAATTATATTTTTTAATTTATCTTTAATATATAAAAAATGAGATTATTTTAAAGGATTAAACCAGCTCAGTTTTAGCTAAATTAAATCACTTCCATTCTTTATGATTTCAACTGAATTGATAGTTTCAAACGCAGAAATTTAGAACATTTTCGTTTATCTCAAAAGATAAGTATATATTTTTTATTTTAATTTTTAAAAAAAAATACAAACAAACATGTTCTTAATATTTAATTTATTTATTTTATTTCCTCCACCTGCTGACCATTCACCATTCCACCAGTCTAAAGTTTTTAAATTTAATGACAAGAAAGTTTTAAAATTTAAATTCGTTGCATAGAAACTGCTTGGTATAGACGGTCCAATAATAGTTAATGACAAAATGAATCTGCAAAGCAAATTAGAAGAGTAAAAAGGCAGAAAAAATATGCCTTCAACTATCTAGGAAACAAAGTCCGCTCTGTATGCCCCAACTCATTGGTAAAATAAAAAATTGGTGAGTATGATAGCATCAAGGCAAAAGACCGATGCTATTCCTATTCCTTGTGCCTTGCCCTATAAGATACAAAATGTTACAAAATGAAATAAATAAGTAGACACAATTATTGACTAGAAACAGATCCCAGCAGCTTCCACGAGCCACTCATCCTAAGATATCTGCAGGATCGTTGATCTCCTGTAAAGCAGCAAAAAGACATTGTCGGAAAAATATCAGAAGTTTAAAAAAAATGGAAAACGACTCCATATGGAATTTCCAATGTCTAAGCCTTATATTGAAACTACTGTTGTACCTTATTTTCAATTACGACGCCATCTGGAATTTCCAATTTCAAGCCAGGCTTTGCCGCAATAGTCACTTGCCCCTGATAAAAAGTGTAAAAGATCAGGAAAATCTTATCACACCAGTCTCTCATATAGAAGTTCATACATAATTTATAATAAATTACTAGCAGTTCTTTGAATTTGAACGCTTACAATTAATTGTAATGAGATTTGAACTCCCAGTTGGCCTAATATCAATATTTCACTCCATATAAAAATACAAAAAATAACAAAGCTTTGAGTATTGCTGTGGAACATGAGATTAGAATTATCTCCAGGTTTTCCTGCTGTAACTTCACACATAATGAGATAGCCGTCTACTTTATAAACTGCTAAATTATCTCTTCTAATAATCAACTCTCCACCCCCACTTCAAAATATTTTGAAAATTCTATATATGTCTGTCTGCATGTATTGCTATGACTTCCCATTCATTTTTCTACTAGTTCAGGATAATTTGTATTTGAATAGAAATACAAAATTGTTCCTCTTTGCTATTAAGTATTGTACTATTATAAAATTTTCATAACAAAGATCTGTCGCTGGAGATAATTCTATCATCTAAACACTTAAGAGAAGAGCTTAATTCTTCCACAACTCCTTATATCACTTGAATGTGGGTTTTCCAATGGTTTTCATACAGATCTCAGCCCCATTTTACTTAGTGGTAAGTCCATACTTTGTACCTACTTAGGCCTTTAATATTGGGCTATGGTTTGGAGTTTTCTCCGATATCAAAAACACCCATGTTCTAATTATTTTAGAGCTTTTTTTTTAATCTTTAATGGTGTTGAAATTCAACCATAAATGTGGCAAGATCAGAATCCATCAGCATAGCGTTCCTATAGCTTAAGACGAGTTCCTCTGCACACCATACATCTCATTTTCAAAGAGAAAAAGGAAGGGGGTGGGGGAAAGACAGAGAGAGATGAGGCATGCTAATATGTTAACATAATATTTTTTTATCTTCGAGCATAGTCTGTAGTTTAGTGCGTAGATAATTAAAAGGAATGCAGAGCAATTATTCAATAAGCCACATTATTGCTTGGTTGGGATTAAATTTTGGAGAAATAATCAATTAATTTTCAAAAACTCTCACAAAGCATGAAAAAGCAAGCAATTAATTCTCTAAAATAAGTTGAACTAAAGATGCACACATGACTAACAGGAAAAAGGAACATCTATTAGTATTATACCTTTAAAGTAATATCAGCTCCAAACCACACATCACCTCTCACCATCAAACTAACCAGCCCACTGATGCTTGGAATGGATTTGAAGCGACTTTGGAAGTCACCAACCTAAGAATGAAATATATAAACACTTCATAAGAACAGGATAACTAGACAGGGGTATGACAATAAGAGCCTGTTTGTTTAAGATATTTTTCATGAAAAATTCAGTTTTTTTGAAATAGTCACTTTTCAGGTTTTTAGATTATTTGGTTAAGATTATGAAAAAATCAGAAGCTGAAAATAACCTGACTTTAGGGCTTTTTAGAGATGCTGTTTTGAATAGCTTCTAGGAAAAAAGTTGAAATTGTAACTACTCCCTAAAACAAAAAAGCACTTATTATAATTGTAACCAAACAAAAGTAGCTTCTAAATTTTGTAAAATCTGTTAAAACAAATCACTTTTATGTATTCTAAAAATCACTTATTTCAAAAGCTGAAACAAACTGGCCCTAAATCAGTAAATTTTCACCTTTTCAAATTCAGGTCCCAAGTCTATCATAGGATTTGAAGGGTTGCTTCTAGCTGGATTCCGGGTTAGAACACCTTCTCTACAAGTGTATAGATCTGACTGCAAGAATACATAATTGGTGAAAGGAAAAGTTAGTCGTGTAAATCACAGTATGTTGTACGGTAAAATTTGCATGTACAGTCAGTGCCACCTGTAGAATTAGTAAATCTGATGTTGCATCCAAGGGAAGAAAACGTGTTTCAGGCACAGAGACTCCAATCACTTTCTCAAATAACTGCAATACAAACAAAGGAGATAATACATTAAAAACAGCAATTACTAACCTATATCTAGAAGAAACAAGCATCAGCTATACCAGTCAATGGTTTCTTCTCTCTTGATTTTGTTTTACAAGGATACAAGGCCATTGGCACCCCACTCAATATTTAATAATTAAGCTTGCAAATACACAAATAAAGCATTATAATTTAGAGGTTATTAGATTTCATGACACTAGTGGCACAAAATGTCTTTAACAACACAACTGACATTTATTACTAGTAGTCACTATTCACATACCCAAGTTATGAAAATCCTTTTAACAAACAATTGAACCTACGTGGCTTCACCTTTAGAGGTATAAGATATGTTATGAGCGTGTAGCCCCAACAAATTTTGCCTGCAGTTTTTTCTACCCACGATTGCTTTATCAATGAGAAGATTTCTTTTATGAAATATACTGATAAAGTATCTACCTCTTTAAGGAATGACCTTTTATGCCATGAAAGACTTAGATAATTCATAAAAGAAATCTTCAGGCGTGTATCTACCTTTAGAGGTATAAGATATGTTATGAGCGTGTAGCCCCAACAAATTTTGCCTGCAGTTTTTTCTACCCACGATTGCCTTATCAATGAGAAGATTTCTTTTTTGAAATATACTGATAAAGTATCTACCTCTTTAAGGAATGACCTTTTATGCCATGAAAGACTTAGATAATTCATACTATCCCACAAAATTTTAACTACATGTTCATTATAGAAAAATACTCCAATATAGAAATTTACTACAGAAACTAGATCTGAATTCCTATTAATTAGTTAGGGTTGTAATTAAATTATTCAAAACTCAGGCTGCAATCACTATCATCTCAAAGTTGAAGGCATGACCCTACTTTATACTTAAGCACAAGCATAAAACAGAAGCACAAGTACACCAAAGAAGCATAAACAATTATCAATATACGATATCGCTCATCCACCTGCTGCGTCTTGTAGAAGAGTTTGACCATAGTCATTTTTCTGGAAGCACTAACCCATTCATTTCATTCTTAAATAAGATAACAGTAGAGTAATGAACTAATCACAGCTAGGGGATGACACCTTCAAAACTGAGGATTTTTTGTGCTTTAATTCTTCAGTGTCTCCAAGCTTCTTAATGGCTCTTAAATTAACCCACCTATACAAAGTACGGCATGTGAGATTTAGCACATTTGGTAAATTTCAGTGGAAAAATGAAGAAAAAGCAGCAATTCACTCACATGTTTGTTGTATCAATGAGTTTGAAATTGCCCTTCAACTTCAACATATCAATCAGGAAACAGAAACAAAAACATAAGAGAAAAATTAGATTGTTATAATATTCTCAGGAATCTTGTCACCAACCCTCGGTAAACTTCCAAACTATCCCACTAAACAAAATAATACAAATATATGAAATGCAACTTGTGAAAACTGAAAAAATAAATTATAACTTACATGTTTATCTTGATTTTGAGCAATCTCCTGAAGCTGCATAGATTACAAAACATATTGTGTTTAACCCAAGCCGTGTTCATATTTTATATGTCGTAGACTTGTAGTACATTTAGACAGTTTATTACCAAACTACCCCATCATCTTATCAGCATTTGACAAGAGTTACTAGGTCCCAAGTCCTGAACATCCTAGACTATCCCAGACAAGATAAAAGGAGGTCAAATAAAAAAAATGATAAAATGTGTTTCACTATAGTATCTCCAATGATAATGAAAATTTTAACTTTCAATAAACTCTTTTGTTAGCATGGCAGTTTTCAGTGTATATCTTAAATTTTCTGAATTCAAGAAATTACAATATATAATTGTATCTGGTGCCACGTGATAATGCTATAGCAAATATTAAAGACCAGCTGATTTAGCAGGTTACAAGTCTGGCACAAATATTAAAGAGAGTGAAGGGAGTCAAAAAACGGTGAAGGAAAATAATAAATATACCTTAAAATTCATTGGAGTTAAGATTAAATTACACGAATGGCTAGGTGTCACCTGAGAAAAAAAAACATGAAACAGTAAACATATATATACCCTAAAAAGAGAACCGACAGGATTTCACATGATAGATGAAAATAATTCTGTGTACCTCCATACAGTATTCAATATCATTTGTCATCAAATGATTTAGTATGTCTACAATATGCAGTCAAGGTTGACAAAAATCAATATAATCTTAATGCTAGGTTAGGAAGTAATTACTTCAAACAATATTCTCATTAATGATTAAAACTATAAGAAGGATACTTGGATCAATGATTGTAGCCACATTTTCTGATTTCATCACAAGGATATACTCTTTACCCTGAAAAAATAATATGAAAAACTCAGTAAAAAAATGCACGAACAAATATGAGCAAATCCCACACATGCACATATATCACCATGTTTAATTGTAGTCTTGTGTTGCTACAGTCGTATATTTCAAGTGACCAACTCTCGCTTTTAAAGGATTACAACAAGAAGAAAGCTCAACTGCATAAAAAATTTATACCTACCTGTGACAATAATAAATCAAGGGTTCCATCAGTCATTAGTGAACAGAATGTATCAACATCGTCAAATGGATGCCTTCACACAAAAAACTAGAAGGTTAGTTTAAAATAATGAAATATTAATCATGCAAGCTAATGTGCATTATTTAATAAAATGAAATGCAAAAGCTGTCAATTGCTTCATTTATCAGCGATGATAGATTTTGAACACTTATTTAATCAATTTTGTAATTCAATGTCTGACTACTTATGATTTAGACATCTTTATTTATAGCTATTAATTATTTGCCATTGATTTTTTGTTAAAATTAAAGTATAAAACTCTAAGTGCTTCAAAGTAATACGATACTAAGACTCCCTCATTTCTATATAAAGAACAACAATTTATAAGCCATCCAATAAACTAGCTATCTGTCATTTGTATCAAATACTAGGAAAACCAAGTTAGAGATTATGCTAATCTCAATATTTTCAAAATGTCCATAAGAATACCAAACAATCAATCAGTACTGATACTTTAGATCACTTTACTAACAGCCAAATAAACATCTAGATTTTAATTTAATAGACAAATATTTGGAGGATGACATACACTTCCTCTTTGTTGTAATGTCCACCGGATGATTTCAACCCCAGACTTTCACCCTGTAAAGATTATGATGTTTTGATAACAAGAAATCACAAATGAATATCAATTCATCCAAAATATGAAACAAATGCAAACCTGCTTTAAAGTGTGTACTTCAACGCTTGATTTTGAATGCTTTTCCAAAACCTAGGGAAGATGAAGATGAAGATTTCAATAATAGCAGAAGTCAAACAATCACATATGGAAATTGGAATGGAGTTTTACCTTTACAATACTATCATGAGTGTCATCTTTGTTCAAAAGAAGCAATGGAACCCTGCAACCATACCTGGAGTTGAGGGTCTACAAAAATTACAATCATAAAACAGTGAGAACCAAAAAGAATCAGCCAAGGTCAACTATATATTAAGGGAAATAAGAATTGCAGATACCATGTGAGGTATGTGCACAATCTGGATCATTCATAAAAAAATTGTGGTGGGACCAAGGAATAAATCAACAATTTGCATAGGAGTAAACTCATACAATTAAGTGTGATTACCATTAGTTGTCTATTAAGTCCAAATGGCTCACCTCAATCTGGTTAATAATCAAGTCCAGAAATGTCAGTCCATCACTAATCTCAATTGCAGACCTGCACGAGAGCAGAAATATTTTATCAGCGTCAACTTATCAAGTGTGAAGTTTTGAATAACCTTTCTAATATTTTAACTATTTCTAAAAGAGAGTAAAGAAGGGTAGAAAACAGCAGCAGCACAAACGGGATAAAAATGCAATAATGTGTAAAGAAATCGTTAAACCCTCCAAAACAGAAGGTCCAGTTTAGACTCGACACGGAAGTGCCTTTATCTAGGAAATTCTGCACAAAAACATGGATGAATGGAGACTAAATTTGAGGGGTTGGATGAATGCTTACTTAGGGCCTTCCAAACCCATATTTCTTCCTGGGACACCATTGAACTTCAAAACAACGAGCTTGTCCAAAAGCTTCTTGGTTTCTTCTATATCTGCTTTGAACGTGAAAAATGCTCAGCTCAACAGTAGACAAAACAGAGGGCACATAGGATCTGGAATCACTGTTTACCTTCGGGTAAGGGTGTTAAATTAACATAGGGGAAAACGGTTATGCCGACCTTAGCCAAATCACTCTTGCCCTTGCGTTGTTCAATTTGTAGAGCTTCTTCTCTTTTGAAGGTTAATGGCATGCCAAGCAATCATTCAAGAACCAATTAAATTCAACCACGAAACGACATAAGATTGAAATGAGAATGAGGAAAGACGAGATACCGAGTTTCAATTTCGGGATTAGCAACAGCGGCTTTCTTCTTCTCCAGAAGCAAGGTTTTGGTAATCAAATTGCAGAACAAATAAACGAACTGGACAGAATCATTGGCGGGAACAGGATAAGCAATGCGCTTATAACAATCGATTGGCATGGCAGAGTCGACCAAAGCAACAACAGGAATTTGAAGCTTGAAAGCTTCGTTGATGACGGAAGACTTCCTCTGAGTGTCAAAGATGACAATGCAGTCGGGAGGCTGAGTGGGGCCAAAGACGAGCTTTTTGTTGCGAGAACGGAACTTCTTGGGACTGTAACTGTTCGTCAAGAAGCCACCGGTGCGCCAGAGAGCGTTGGTGGAGGGGCCGTAGGAACCGACCTTCTTGGTCATGAGGTCGAAGATCTCGTCGAAAAGAGGATTGGTGTTGATGAACATGAAACGGCCGTTTTGGCGGGCCAGTGAAGCCATGAAGTTGCAGGCACTGCGCATGCAAATCAGGGTCTTGTCAGAATCGATAATGGCCATTTTGTTGCGGAAGCCATAGGTGTAAATCTTGAAATGATGCGCTGCAACTCTACGACCCACCTGTGCATTGGTGCTCAGCAGCTTCTGTATCACTATCGAATGGATCGTCATGCCTTGCTTTCACTCTCTCGATCGACTCCCTCACTCACACTCTTGTATTAGGTAAACCCCTTTCTTCTCCTGCTTCAGGTAAACCCCTTTCTTCTCCTGCTTCCTCGTTCACCGTCGCTCTTTCCCTTTTTTTTTTATGCCAAGAAATAGATATCAAAATCGCCTGTCACTCTTATAACTTCTTCAATATCGCCGTCATAATATTGTTTCATAATAAATTTTTATTCAAAATTAGGATGATCTAGTATTGATTATTGAAGATTAATGTGAAAATATATGGATGATATAATTTTTATACAAAAATATTTTTATTTTTAATTAGTATTTCAAAAAATTTATTACGAAATTAAGATCAATGTTAACAGGTGTCTAAAAATATTGATTAAAAAGAAATAAAACGTGATTTTTTAATAAAAGATACTATTATGTTTTACCATCATATTTTTTAATGTATATTTTAATTAAACTTTTTTATTAATATTTTTGATCAGTTAAGACTCAATTTTAAAAAATATTTTTCTTAAAAAAAAAGAAAAGAGATCTTATAAATTATATATTCAAAGTGGCCAATTCACGATTGATATTTTAAAATTTAATCAATATAATAAATAAAAAATTTAAATATATTTTTATCTCTATATTTTATTCAACGTGCAATTTTAATTTATTTATTTAAGTCTTATAATTTCTTATTTGTTTAAATAAATTTATCGAAAACATTTAATTCAATAATTAATAAAAATATAATAAGTATCATAAATAATTTATGTAAAGCTATAGTTTATCTTTATCTAAATATTAGATATTTTTATTATGATATTTTAATTAATTATTAAATAAAAAATAAAGTAAAAAATTAATATAAATAATTTAAAATTACAAAAATTAAATAAAAGGAATTAAAATCGAAGAATCAAAATTATACATAAAATAAGATATGTGAAATAAAAATACAGTTAAACCTAAATAAAAAGTCAGCGAAATTTTCCGGAATTCGCTGACGTTTGAAGTTCGTTTTAAGTCTTTGTATTTCCGCAGCAACAAAGAAATGTTAATTAACGTCTGATAATTCACTTTCTGTACATACATAAATATTATGGAATTATTTACGAAAGTATTGTATGGTTAAATGGAATTGGTCACAGATGATGTGATTAGGAATTATGTTTTATAGACGCATTTTTCTTATCAGTATGCACATACTATTTCTTATAGTACATTTTAGTTTCCCCCATTTAAAGACCCAAACCTTCTCTTTTGTCGGATTATTACTCATTCATTTCACGTACCTGTGGCTGTGGGATATCAGAAGTGATATCTTCCTTCCCCATCAGTCTGTCTTTGAACTTCATCAACCAAAAGAAGGACGTGACAGCCTGAGGGCAAGTGTGGAGTAAGATGGCGATGATCACAGATATTAGGATTGTAGAAATAAAAATAGCATTGCTAGCATCAACGCCTACACAAAGTCAAACATGTCCTACAATGCCGCACTACGGTAGCAAAGAAAACAAGACAAAGAAAACAACATTTTCAAATATAACCTACAAAATAAAACTGTAAAAGGCCCCCCTCCCACATCCCATAATGGAGTCCCATTGCGTTGATCTTGACTTCACCAGGATAGACACACTCAATTGGTACCGTCATCTTTGGGGACAGAAGTACTGACTCCTGGCGCAGATGCCCTCCTTGGGAGAATTGACTCAAGCTGGATTCCTGCACTAGAACTCTCATGAGAACTTCCTTGGCCAGGCTGGCCATCAGCTTTTAGTCCTTTCCTCTTCTTTGCCTTTTGTGCCCAACCAACAATGTTTTGTTGCAAATGCTCGTTAAATATTGCCCTCTTAAAGTGAGTTCCCATCTACAGTACGAAAATAAAGAAAGTCAACGCATAGAGGTAATTGAAATTATGAAAATTAATCTGCATTTCAGTTTGAATAGCTATGCACACACGTACCTGCGTAACAATGGCATAGAGTGGCAAGGTGCTGTAGCTACATAGTACCTGAATAAATGCCCTATTACCCCAACACAGAGAAGCAAAAAAAAAAAAGTGAGAAAGAAAGAAGAAATAGACTGAGCTTCATAGTGTTTTTTTTTTCTTTTTTTGTGTCAAGGAGCTTAATAGTTCAAAATGCACAAAGAAAGAAAGGACTCATAATGCACGAGTAACAGTTACCCAATAATGAGCCTTGGAACAATGTAACGAACTTGTCCCATTATACATGAGTCAAATCCATATGTAACCTGAGAACACAAGCAGATATATTATATTCAATACAACTACGTAAAATTGCCCCCAACCCCAACCCATGTTTCATAAACTAAAAAGAAAAATGAAAAAAAGAAGAATAAGAAATAAAAAAATTGGAAAAGAATATCTCAATTTATGCTTCAAAAGAATGTGCTTACCCATATCCAGAAAAAAAATGCTATCTCAAAAGCATTTTGGAAAAGGATAAAGTGAATTAAGAAGAGCACAACACGGGGCCGATGAAACCAAAAGTGATCATCTGATGGCTTAACAACTAAATCACCTTCTATGGCTGCATGCTTTTCTGCTACTTCATGAGCTAGTTGGGTTATTACATGCTCCAGCTTAGTGCCTACAGCAAGCAAAAGCTGAAAGAATGCAAACCAGAAACTATGAAACTACAGAAGTGGGAGATACAAGGTGCAGCAGGGACAACAAAAAAGAAAGGACTTTTCAAACACAAAGCCAGCTAATACATCAACTTGCATGGAGACATGCATGCCTATGCATACAGCCATACAGGGTTAAGAAGAAAAAAACAAAATGGCATGAATGAGTAAAGAACGCCACCACCATAAATATGTGACTCTTCTATAATAATAATAATAATTTGAAAAATGAAAAAATAAAAGAAATTGCAAGATAATGAATAATAAATATCATTCTCCAGAGGGTGTTTGTTTAAGAGAGAATTTTACATTTCTAGGAGTAAGATCCCCAGGAATAATATTCCTAGTAATGGTATTCCTGAAAATCAATCCAACCTACATTTGGTATTCTTTCGGCTTAAAAACACACTCCCAAGAATATTTTGCTACAATCAATGAGACAAGCATATCCTTGAAAATAAATAAATATTTCCTGCTTCGCTCCCACAATTCAATTACCCATTTTGTAAGACATGAATCATTCCCATGGAAATAAACCATATCTACCTCCGTCTATGGGTATGATTTGCTGGGAATGATCCTAAAAATATGCCTCGAAATAAGTTTTAAGTAGCAAACTTTTTCCAAGTCTTGAAACAAACATGGGAACATTTTATAAGCCTCTCAAAATGTCCTGTCCAGGAGAAAAAAACTAACCACTGAAATAAAATGGCCCTTTATTCAAATGCTACAAACTAATGATAGGAAAAAATTGACACGATAACTTTTCTAGCTTAATTTTACTAAGTAAAAGATATGATTTTATACTACTGTAACAGGAATTTTGCGGATATTGTTGAAGCAATCCCCATGCAACAGAAACCAAGGTATGACATCAGGTTAATAGAATCAACAGTTTTGAACAATACACTTCCTTGAGTTGATTAAGAAACTTCATGCAACATTGTTCGCATTTTTCCTATCCCGTGAATAAATTAAGACATGAAGGGTATGCAGGCCTGGTAAAATGAATGCACAGCCAAAACGTGTACACAAAAAAAAGAGGGGGGGGGGGGAGGATTTTACTCAGGTTACTTACAATGACAGGAATAAAAGCAATCCAGAAATATGTATGCCAACCTGGAAGAGTTAAGAAGACATCTTAATAGTGGGATTCAAAGTAATGTTACTCAGTAATTATCAAAAGCAAAACAAGCAATCAGATCAGCTACTGTATATAGGCAAAAGTATATTGGACACTATATCGCTAACTGTCATGGTTGAAATTCATCACCAAATCATTAAAAAACCATCTTAAGCTTGTCTCCTTTTTTAGAGCAGAAAGTGTTATTTAAATTAACTTCATCACAAAACAGACAAAGAGATCAATATAAGACTCCTGCATCCATAAACAAGACCATAAGGTATATGCAGAAACACAAAACAGGTTCTAGATACAAGTTTTGACACAACAAAGAAGCAACAGCTATGGCAGAGCCAATTAAATGATTGACATACAATATACATTTTAGCATAAATCATAACTTTATGTTTTATAGCATACCATTGATATTAAGCAGCAGGAAGATGACCACGAAGACCCAAAGATACCAACTGCAACCACAAAATACAATTGTTATTACAAAGAATCTATAACTTTACAAATGAACAGCAATAAAATTTCTTGGCAATTAAATGGTGAATATGTGTGATATGCATAAAAGCAATAATACAGAAGCACTAACCTTATACCAACAACTTGCTTGAAATCATCTTCGAGGGCACGAATCATGTACTTGTGAAAATTAAACTTTGGATTTGACCTGCAGTGGGTCTACAACAAAAAAGATAATATTTATGATTCATACATGAAAGCCACCGCCCAATAGTGAGCTGAGAGATTATTTGACAACAAATATGGCACACTAGAGCTTTACCATAATGAAACCATATCGTAATGTCACATAATCTGATTTTGTCACGGATCCATAAAATTGCTTGAAAAAGGACAGCTGAAAGGGAAAATTAAGATTAGGAGAAATAACTATAAAGCAAACAAAAACATCACAAACACATTCAGTTTTGAATTTCTAAATTACTAATTTGTTGTGTGGTCTACAGTCTACAACGAGGATATACAAGTTTTTAGAAAATCTTGTTGATTTGAAAATGAAATCATGAAAAAACAAACAACATAGACGTGATCATACATAAAGGAAAAAATATTAAAAAAAAAAAAACTAAAACCAAGATCTAAAGACAACCAAATTATAGAAAACCATTGATAAGGTTGGAGCATTTCTTGTAATATCATCCAAGGAGCACAGAAATTCCATTTAAGAGTTGGAAATACATGGGTTGACAGGAAACAATACTGCGCACAGACAATCAGCTGGGATAGCAAAGAAACATAGCATTTGTCCAGGTGCACTACATAAAGTTTGTAATGTTACGGATCTAAAGATAACACCAGTGTATCTCATCTTTAAATGAAAAGATGCAGCAGAGGGGCTTTATCAAGAAAAGAGTAAATATTCCATTTATTCAAAGTTTCAAACCATGAAAAACTTGTAATTAACTTACCAACCAACCAGCTAAAGCAGAGTCTTTGCCAAAACCAGCAAAACGATCTCTGATAAAATCGTGCTGGTGAACGTGAGTCACCTTTGGTTTCAGAACTGCATTAAACCAATGGGCAATTAAGTAGATGCGAGGAAATAAATCGATAATCTGGAAAGAAAAAAAATCAACGGTTTGATGGTTCGCCCATGATAAAATTACCCCGCGCATGCATAAAGTAACATTGCATCGGTTTGAAAAGCATATTAGGTTTAATAACCCCACTACCACAATAATAAAATAATTGAAGATAGAGAGAAGAGAGTATAAAAATAATATATGAAATAAATTTATTTACCTCGGTCTGTTTCGTAGTTCTGTTTTGCAATCGAATCTTCCCAGTGTTTCCACTGACGTATCTATGGAATGAGAGGGATATGATATTATGAATAGAGAAGAGTTAGTTGAGTTGATGACAGAATAGAGGGGGGGTTCTCACTCTAGCGCCTCCAAAAACAACGGTGAGGACGGAAAAGGTGACATGAACGACAGCTAGGACAAAAATGAAGATGTGGAGGTGATGCAGTGCTTCGACCGATAGTAAAGGCACCTTGTTCTGAAAATCGAAAATAAAAATTACAACAATTATTTAGGAAGCATATGATAGAGTAATTGGATGCGATCTAAGAAACCTTGCTTGCGCAGAAACCAGTTTGAGTTTCAGTTCCATTTTCGGTTTCAGTGTGGGCCCCAGCGCCAGCGAGAAGTCGTCTGGCAGTTCCAGGGAAAGGGTTAAGTTTGTGAAGATGTGAGAGTTGGCGCTCAGGCGCGTCGTGGAGGCTGCAGGGTAGCATGTGACGCATCAAATCGGGCGGAACGCAGATTTTGGTAATGCCGCTTTGCGAAACCGTCAAAAGCAGAGAAATGAAACCGAGGAGCATGAGCTCTGGCACCCAGCGAAGGCGGTGTGAGAAAGATGTGATAGAAAAGAGAATTAGGAATTTGAAATTTGAAATTTGAAATCTGGAAATACCCTCTTTGATCTTCTGAAGAGCTTCGTAGAGCGGTTTTTGGTCCTTCGCTTTGAGAAACTTTCCGCCATAATGAAGGAAACGCTCTGCGGCGAGGGAAATGGCGACAATGACTGTGCAAACGGCAGCCACTACCCACGTTGGAGTGAACTCAAGTGTGTCCCCCTCTTCTCCACCTCCGCCGCTCATTCTCTCTCTCTCTCTCTCTCTCTCTAAACTCTAAACTCTAAACTCTAAACTCTAATCTCTAACTCTGTTTCTCTGCAGCTTTTCTTTCTCCAATCTCATTCTCAATTATGATCAACCCATCACATCCATTCCTTCCACGACACACGTCTTCCCCTCCGTTCCTCTGTCCTTTTCTTACATCTTATTACCATTACAAACCACATTCTTTTTTATTTTGTGTTACAAAAATATTCCACTTTCTCTCACTCGCACTGTTGTAAAAGGAATGTTTTACATCACATAAATAAGAGATCCTCTTGTTTCCTTATGTCCACCAATCTTTCAAATTTTATCTAACATTTTTAATATTTCCGATTCGGATTCCCAATCCAAACATTCTAAACAACTATTCAAACAAAAATATTTACAATTTTAACTTATCATATCTTTAATTGATTAATAATTTACCAGCAATAAGACATCCAGATTAATTTGTTAAATTCAATACTTTTTTTATGAGTAAGACCTTAACTGAATTATTTTACTTCACATTGAAAGTATAATAAAACATCTTTAAATCGTCATTCACAGATGAGTTTAAATATAACATAACGTTGATATATATCAAAGATGAGTAAAAAGAGCGAAAGTCATAAAAAAATAAAATAAATACACTACTTATAAAATATCTAACAACAAATATATTTATTTTAAATTAAATAAAAAGATAAAATCAACCCAATTAAAATTTCATTATATTTTTTATTATTTTAATATTTATATTTTAAAAAATAAATAAATATTTCTTTATACTTATTATCATTAAAATAATTATATATCAATTAAGTAAGTTTTATTATTTTTAATATTTTATAAATATATGTGTGCAGTGTCTAGGATATTTAATAGTTAAACCTAAACTATTTTTTATAATTGCTGAAATGAAGGCATTGGAATATCAATTGAAACGAGATAGACGGCATAAATAATTTAATAAATCATTCATATGGGAGGGAAAACGTGAGGAACCGCGTTAGGTTAGGTAGTCGCTCTCTATCCGCCTAAACACCTTAAATTACATGTATTTATTAATTTTTTAATCAACGTTTTAAATACACTTATAACAAGACTTAACCTCTTCATTCCATTCAAACCGTCAGATATTAGAACTACATTTTAATCTAATATAGTTTATGAAATATTCAATACAATATTTTGAAAACGTGAATAAGTATAATTAATATTTTTTAAAATAATATATATTTAGTTTAATTTATTTTTAAAATATTTTAAATCAACTTTAAAGAATCGATGAAATAGAGTCAAGTAGCATATTCGAAACTCTCACTGATTTTTCAAAAATGAGATAAATACTCTAAATTTGACAACATTGTCTCTTCAAATGGAGCATCATTATAAATTGATGAAAAAAAAAAAACTTTACATCAGTAGTCAACTTTAGTGTATAGATAGTTATTTTAAAAATCAATTTCAACATTGAAAGCATTCATGAATTCCAAAAATGAATTTTAACGCATTAGTGCTCCAACTAATGGTCAGGTTTGTTGCGACAGTCGTAATTACGTGTAAGAGTTGAGAATTTATTAGGTACAGATTGTTCGCATACCAACTGCCTGTACATTTTTCTAGCTATGTTCGATTTTTTCTTCTTCTAAGATTTATACGTGGACACGTGCCACTGTTTTACATGTGATTTTTAATATTGGAGGTCACACTTTATGATAAATATATTGAAAGTGATATTTGTATAACACGAATCACATGAAATATTATAGATGTGTTACACGAGTTTAAAATCAAGAAATATTAATTTATATTTTAATGTTATTTTTTTAAGATAGTCAATTTTGTAATTATAAAAATAAATTAAAATAATAATAATAATAATAGTGATGATTTAAAAAATAATTTTAATTTTTTTACAAATATATTAAAGATACAGAGAAATAAAATTTTTTGAATTAGAACACGACTCAAAAATACATGACCAACATTCAAAATATTAGAATGAAAATGTTGGAAGCAATATTTATGATTAGCGTTTAGGGTTTATTTGAAACGATGTATTTCCATTACAAAATCTCATTAACGAAGACAAAATTGTAAGCAAATACCAGGCTTACTGGAGCAGATATTTGCTGCGATCCAATTACATAGCATGTGTTTGGGGAATAATGAATGCTGAGAATAAATAATAATATCTGTGAAAGCTAAAAAGAGCAGAGTGGGTCTGAACAAATCACGCACTCCTGAATAATGAATAACACACTGATGATGAGAACGCTAATAATCGCAAAGAGAATCAGTGGAAGAAGCAAAAGGCTTAGGACACTCTTCCCGACGCAGCGGCTGAATGTATCATATCAGTTGATTCTGAAGCATTGGGCATACGCTCTGTTCCGATGTATGCGCTTCGTTAAGTTTACGAACTCAAAAGCTAACGAATTATATACATTTTTCATTGTTCGTGAAACAGCATACTGCCGAGCTACTTTGCCAAGATTCATGAAATACTCCAATATTCATCATATTATTCTCATATCAACTAAGGCAATACGTAGCAGTATAAAAATTCCTCTCACATATTTTCATTGTCGTGGCATTCTAAACGAATAAGTTCAAAATATTAATTATTGGGTATCATCTGATTATAAAGATGGCAGTATATTAAGTACATCTATTTGAATTTTATTCTCATAGAGGCTTGATATTTGAGATGCATAGCAGAAGGTATAGTTGAGCTCCGCTGCAGCAACAAGCTATAGTCTATTTTCCAGCAATCAGTTGTTCGCTCTGCTTATTGCCTTTTTCAGACGATTTCTTATACCAGCTCATGAATTTCGCTATAAACTCTATAATAATAAAAGCACTGAATGAGTAGATACTTTCTTTGGAAAAAAAATGAAATAAAAACTAAATTGATAATATTGATGATGTATATGCATATATAACTTTTAGATAATAAAGATGCGCATCCATATGCAGTACAGCAAACATTTTTTAACGCGGCATTATTCAAAAAGATAATTTTAAACTATTAAGTTACGCAATTGATGTCATTTGCAAAACAAAATGCCGTGAATTAAGATAATAAATACTAAGGGCATAAAATTGGGAAATGTTTTACCTTCGACTTTTAAGTAAGTTAACACATACTTTTTGGTGGTTGATTCGTTGTTCTTCTCATCTGATTCCGCTTGTTTGTTTTGAGGATGACCAAACTGCTTGGTAGTTTCAAATTTGTATTCGCTAGCTCTCTGAAAAGGAACAAAGCATAGATTCAAGATCTCGTTTTAAAATGGTAAAAGTTAAAGGACAAAAAAAAAAAAAAACAAACACAAAATAAATTGAAGTATGAACAGAGTTTTTACATTGAACTCCTTGTCCAGTTTGGCAACCCCTGACAGTAGGGACTCATCAACTAGAGCCGTTAACTCTGCCACCAAAAACTGCATGAACCAAGATAACGTCTTAAACTGGGACCATCTAAAAAAGGCTTCGTTACAGTAATTTCAAACCTTGTAAACAAAGTCAGGAGGAACATCATGAATCATAAGACTTTGAAGCTTTCTACGAATGACGTACAACCTATTACAAAGGAATAATTGGTATAAAGTAAGCTCGTAAAAAAAAAGGATTTATCTTGACTTGTTTTGAATATAGGACGCAGTTACTTACTGTCTTGGACTCTGCTCTTCAGTTATTTTGTGGGCAATGCTGAAAATATCTTCTTCCCATCCGGTTAAAATTAAATCGTCGTCTTTGAGGGAATCTCTGCATGCAAAATAATTAATCCATATGAGAAAGTAGTTTACATATGCTGTGATACTTTAAATTTTTTTTATGGGTACTATACTTAAAAAATTTAAATTAATAAAAAAAAGACACATTTCAAATTAAAAAAAAAAGTTATTATATATAATTTATTAAAAATCATATTATTTATATTATTTATTATATAATTTTATTATTATTATTATATTATGTATATTTAATTTTTTTATATTTTTAATAAATTTTTAGTTTTAAATAAAATATAATTTATATTAACTTTATTTAACAATAAATTGTTATATTTATTATATTTAACACAAGTTAGGAAGATGTTAAGTTTTTAAATAAAAATAAGATGCAATAAAAATTAAACTAAATAAAATTTTAAAATAATAATAATATTATATTAATATATTTTCATATTTTTAATTTTATTATTATTAATATTTAATTAATATATTATGTTATAATTATTTTTTATTTATAATAAATAAATTTTTTTAAATATAAATTATATTTTATTTGAAAAATAAAATAAAAAATTGAATATACAAATATATATATATATATATATATATATAATAAGACTATACAGTAAATAATATAACTTTAAATAAATAAATTATATATAATAATTTTTTTTAACTTGATACATTTTTTTTATTAGTCTAAATTTTTTAGATACGATATTCATGAAAATTTTTTAAGATACTACATAATTTATTATTATATTTTTTCCAATCCTTTTTATAAAAAAAAATATTTTATTTTTTATTTTTATTATAAGAAACAAATAATAGATTCAAAATGTATTAATTTTTAAATTTTTTTTATATATTTTTTTTATTAGTACTATTAAATATACAAATTATTAACTATATTATTTAATATTATAGATATTTTTAAAATAAAATTTATATTTATAAAAAATATAATATATTTAATTACTTTTTTATCTAATAATTTAATTTTTATTTCTTATAAAAAAAACCAAAAAAAAGTGTTACTTAACATTAAATTTTGTAAATGACTTACTTGTTTCGGCAAGTGGCCTCCAACGAACGAATGGCTTGGCGTAGATTGTTATTGGATCTCAAAGTTATCTTCTTGACTAAGTCGCGTGATAATTTGATTCCTTCTTCTATTCCAATATATTCCAACATCTTAACAATCTGTTGATTCAAAAGCAAAGAAAATAATAATAAAAAATTACAAATACTTCTCTTTATGGTTAATTTGGTATCTTCTTAAATTATCGGTGGAAAAATTCATTTCTACAAAATTTATTTATTATTTAAAAGAATGTCATATTGATTAGAAAGGGAAAGATTCACCGTGGCCATTGTATACCGTACGATGACCAGTATGCAAGCAAGGTTGTATATTTCTTTCTTCCCTCTAATTAATTGCACAAGAAATGCAAGATTATAAAAATGAAATAGATGATTAGATTACTAATCCATTGTTCTAATGGTACTAAATTTCTGATTATAATTATATCATTTTGACAACGGGACGGCATTCCAAAAATCACATACATATAAATATGTAACGTGCTTTAGCTCAAATAGTAACCAAGATGAGACTAAAATTACCACATTACATTTTTAGACTTAAGTGATTAGTGTAATTGGAGAAATAGAACACTGAAATTGTAAGATTAATTCCAGAAATGAAAGAGAAAATGGAAATTCTGACCTCTTGGCAGGAGGGTGGTGAAAGGCGGACAGTAGTACAAAGTGGTTTGACAGGTTCCAGCTTTGATTCATCAGAGCAGCAAAAGAAGACCTTATTACAGCCTTTATACTTTTCCAGTAGCCACTTAATATACAACAAGGATTCAAGGGATAGCTTCTCGGCCTCGCACAAGACGATTGCTTTGAGATAAATTAATAGGTAAACAATGTTACTGATGTGATTAGTTTGTCAGAAACAACATCTTTTGCTATAATTAGAGTGTACCTTGACAATTATCTGAACTACAAGGCAGCGAGTTATTTATCGTAATGCCATATGTTTCCTTGAATAACTGAACAATTACATGCTTTTCATATCCCTTTGTCTCGGACAGATTCACCTCAACATGATGAAGTGACTTCTTTACGGGCACTTGCAGATGATCTACCATTTCTCCCTATGCATGTTCGGGACCGAATAAATTTAAACAGCCAATTATATATTCACTTTTCTCATCACCATAACTTGTATGGTTCTACATCCACTCCAAATATTTGTGTTCCCTATCTAAGATAACTTCTAAAAGAATCTTTTAAGTTAAAAATTATGAGTATAAAAGATGAATGAATAAAACTTTTCTTAAAAGTTATTAATAACTTTTTTTTTTTCAAAAGTTCTTTCATTTAACTTCTCATAAGTTATTTTTATTTTTTTCTCTTTTACTTCTCTAAATGTTTTCCTACCATGTAGTAACTAAAACTTAAAAGTATATACTCTATCACTACTTAAAGATGAAAAATAGTATATAGTCTATCCCTACTTATGGTTATTCACAGTGCGTTTATGGTTCGGTTTGAGGGAATCATGACCGCTATTTAGTAAAAGTATAAACGTTTTTGTTAATGAAAATGACAGCTGAAAATATTGAGTTATGTACCGTTGACCTGGGGAATTAGTTAATTGTTCAGCTCTTTAAAGGCTCCACTCAAGATATATTTGGGCTTTGTATATTGATTTAATATTACAATTCTTTTGTTATTTTGTTGATGGTAAAAATGAGCGTTACCTTTAAGTTGAAGTCTTTACATTCTTGTGTGACCTGTCAATTTAGTAAGTAAAATTATCATTATAGTTTTTCTATTTGTAAAGGCACGTATTCTCACCCTACAAATGAAATATATAAAAAATCATTACCTGCACTCTATCAGCTCCAAATACCTCTCGAAGCATAGCGCGTATCATGGATCTTTTCCCGACATTTGGCGGTCCTTCAAATATAAAATGTTTACAGCCGCACCCGTCTTTCACCTGTGCAATTAATTATCAAAACCAATTTTATATTCCATTCCCCTCGTTACAGATAATTTCCTCATGACATCTACTTGCCGTCAAGTCTCCTGGTAGGCGTCAAAATGCATGATTCGAGATAAGGGGTTTTTGGCAATTGAAATTTCTCTTAATGTGGTGTTAGTTTTTTTCAGCTAAACTTGTGTTAAAGAATGTCTTTCTAAAGCTTGGCTTCTACTGAAACACCAACAAACTTAAACATTCCAGGACCTGTTTTGTTTTTAAGTGGAAAAATTAATTCTCGTGCTTTAATAAAAATATATGGTTAAAATAAATTTGTCTATTTATATATATATATATATATATATGAAAATGAAAGAAAGGACTTTTTTTTTTATTCAAATAGTGTTAAAAAATAAAGCAGACACTAATTGTTGAAATCCAAATTAGGAGTTCAGTAAACTTATCTAAAGTGATACTAACCAATGCTTTGAGGTAAAGTGCTTTATCTCTGTTGCAGATGAAGTCAACCAAGTTGAAGGGCTGGTATTTGGCTGCCCATGTATACAAATACACCTTTCCCTCCTCACTCACATTTCCTCCTTCTGATTCTGAGGCCTTCTTCTCCTTTTGATGGTCTTTGAGTTCCATCTCTTCTACCACATTGCTTCTTTCTGATACTCTCTCCCTCAATGCCTTCTCTTCAATCAACAACCCAACATCATCGCTCATCAACTCCATTTCCTCCAAAATCGTTTCATCTGCATTTTCTTCTAATTCACTCTCCGCATTACTTGCCTCTAATACTCTCTCTTCAATCACCATCTCAACATCATCGTTGACTCCCTTTGTCACCAATTCAGTGTCAGTCTCCTCCAAAAAAATATTCTCCCTCAATGGCTTCTCTTGGATCAATTCCATCTCTCCCAAATTTGTTTCCTCTTCAAATGCATTCCCAACATTACCTTCTTCTGATATTCTCTCCCATAGAGGCTTCTCTTCAATAAGAAAGTCAACAACATCAACATCAACACCAACATCAACATCAGCATCGACCATCAACTCCTTCAAAGAAAGGCCAGTCTTGATCTGGGGCGGGTATAAAGAACAGTGTGGTGAAGAGAGTTTGTCGATGATCTCATCCCTATTTTTGAAGTAAAAGGCACTGTTCATGGAGAAGAAAGAAGAGTGGGAGTCACGGAGAGGGGGTTGAATGGGTGGAGAATGAAGTGCAAGGGAGTAATCAATGAGACCTAAATAGTAAGGACTAGACTCGTAGGAAAGGGAGTTGTTGGGAGGAATAGGATGGTGGTGATGTGAAGGGTTCCAAGGACCAATAACAAGGGAATAATCAGTGAGACCTTTGTAATAAGGACTAGATGGAAGGAGTGGATGGGCATGAGGTGGAGGACAAGAAGCGATGGTGTCAACGATAGCAAGGGATTGATCAGTGAGACCTTTGTAGTAAGGGCTGTTTGAGGACTGGTCATTCAGGTCGTATGCTTGGAGGTTCACAGATGTACAGGGACGACCACTGTTTTTCCTCTTACTTCTCCCATTTTTAGAAGAAGGTTTCGAACGAAAGCTGTGACGTGAGGGTGAGATGTGAGTCTTGGACACGTTCTGATCAGAAACTGGTTGCTTCATTTTTGGGCTTAGACTGTGTTCCCCGCTTACCATTGCTCACTTCACAACTATCTATCTAACTCAACCTCAACCATTTGTACGCGGAGCTCCCCAAGAATGCGATGATATCCATGCAACACCACTTGTACCTCGTTAATAACTAGGTCCAGGTTTTTCTTCTCAGCACGACAGCTCTATGCTCCCATTAGCTTAATAAACATTCGTATGTACTATTATGTTTATATTTTTATAACATTATTCTTGCATTACAGATTCAATAATTTTAAACATAAATTAACTAATTCTATCATCATTTCATTGTCTCAAAATTATATTAGGGAATGTAACTTAGGAGTAATCTCAAATTTTACAGCATTATTCCTTTTTCTGTATTATAATGTTGTAATAACAACGGCCACTAAAGCAAACGTACTTTAAAAAAGAAAAAAAGAACTTAAAATAATACACTTAAAATATAATTTATAATCTAGCCTTCTCTGCAGCTTCCTAACTGAATATTTTGTTTCCGGTGACGGTGAGAATTGAAGTCCTCATTCTTGTACAGCATTCTAGGCCGTCCCATATGTGGAGGTAACCAGCAGGCAAAGAGAATCCTAACATAAACAAATATAGAGTGCCTGAATTTACCACCAGTGGTTTGTTACAAGAAGGCCTTCCAATTATTGGGCCGGTCTCAATACTAAAAACACAGAGGCTATGTGGTCAATGCTGTCAACCCATTACAGAAGCAACTCAAACCAAGGAAATACATACATTACTGCCTCTATCCGTGGGAAATAAGGCCTCCGATGAGCTGAGCACAGGTGATCCAAGCTAGGTCATCACGATTAGCTCTGATAGTTCATCAAACATTGGACTTATTTTTTAGCTCCAATCTATTTCAACTTAAAACTTTCTATTTATTTGAGCTTAATAAACTAATATCAAGCATTATATTAATTAAGGTTCTTAAGCTCAATGATTTAAGTCCAATTGTGCAACGCAATAAACATATTTGCATATACTTGATTAAAATAATTTAATCAGACCAAAAATAAATCAAATGCTAGCAATTTCCATGCTAATGGTATTTATAATAATTACAATAATAATGACGGTAACGATAGTAACAATAACGATTGTGATTGTGATGATAGCTGCAACGGTGAAAATAGCCCCATCAACAATGACCAGTGATGGCTGTGATAGCACCAAAAATCATAAAACACATCTCAAGATCGTTTACAAAGAACAAATCAAAGAAGGAGAGATCCAACCATGAGAGGAAAAAGAAAAACTTTCATCTAGTAAGTATTCTTCATTTTATTCTTTGGTTTGTTTCTCATCCTCCTTTTGTTTAATAAATTTTTTTCCGCTTTTTATCTAATAAAAATCTTCCTTCTTTATTCATTTCTCATCCTTCCTATATTTATTAAGGATTTTCCTTCTTTGTTTATTTTTTTATACGTTCTTCTCTTCTTCTTCATGATTTAACCTTTTTTTTGCAAGTGTAATAAATAAATAAAAAGAAAAAATTTAAAATTTTTTTATTTTTTTATAAATTCTAATAATTTTTCTAATCCTAAATTATTTCTCACTCAGTAAAACCCTAAAAAGTAAAAAATAAAAAATCTAAATCCATAAAAATTAATTTTTTTAAACTAAATCTAAGTATTACCTTTTTACAAACCTTAAAAATAAACTATTTTTTTTCTAACTAAATTTTTTTTTCCAAACCCTAAAAAGAATATTTGTTTTTCTAACCCAAAATCATTCAATTTTTTGTAAGGTCTAAAACAAACCATTTTTTTCAACCCTAACAATTTTGTAAATTATAAAAATTTAATTTTTCTAAATTATAAAAATTCTTTCTTTTCATAAATTCTAAAAACCCTAATTTCTTTACATATCCTAACCTTAAAAAAAAACTTAATTCCTAAACTGAATAAGAGTTATTTCTTTATCATTTTTATTTGTTCTTGTAATTATTTATTTGTTCTGTATGTCTCTCGTTTGTTTTTTTTTTGCATGCAAAAATCTCATATTAAAAAGTGCATCAATTTTTTATTATTAAAAAAAAGGGAGTCTTTTGAATCCATGCACGGCCAATTAATTTTGATAGAGTGGAAGATCTACCTTCAACGTTGCTTAAATCGTAAGGGTTTATTGATTAGCCGTGTGCTAACTTGAACCCTGTGCAAGAGTGGATTTACTTAAAAATAATAATAAAGAAAAATCAAGTTTTTTTTACAAAAAAAAGAAAGAAAGAAAATCTTTGAAACTTACTCAAAACATAATTTTTGAAAAAGAACTACGTGGTAGCTTTGATTCCTACGTTACACACAGAGGATACGTAGGAGCGGAAACCTGACCTGTCAAGTCTAATTTTTTTTTAAAATGTTTTTTCAAGTTCAAAATATTTTTAAAATTGTTTTAAACTAAGATAAATTTCTAGCACATTTTTTTTATAAAAATTAAAAAAATAAATTTTTATTTTATTTTAAAAAATAGAAAATAAAAAATAAAAAAATAAAAAAATAAAGTGTTAAGATAAGTTTTTTTACTATATATTTCTTTAATACAAAAAATGAAAAAAAAGAATAATATTTTTACAAATAACTCATTCCTTTAATTCAAATAATTTTTATTGTATTTCCTCATTTTAAAAAATAAAATTAAAATCTCTCAAAAAATTTGTAAAAATTAAAAATAAATCTAAAAATAATAATAATAACAAATTTGAAAATAGTAAAAAAATATTAATTAGTTTCTTTTAGAGTGAAATAAATGTTTTTAAAGTTAAAATAAAATTTTACACAATTAATTAGAAGGTAATTGTTTTAACCAACAGACGTCGTAAGGTGCTAATACCTTCCTTACACGTAAACGATTCCCGAGCCCAAATTTGGTTTCAAAGATTTTATTTTAATTAAAAGTTTTTTCCAATGTTTTGTTTAAGAAATTTTGGTGGCGACTCCTTGTCATCGCCGTCCCGTCATGGCCCCAGTTGCGACAGATGGCGACTCCACTAGGAACATTTTTTAGAGTCAAACCTAATCTAATTAAGTGTGCAAAAGTTTTAATCTTTTTTTATTTCACTCATCATTTTGTTTGTGTATTCTTTTTATTTTATTTATTGTTCAGTTTATTTTTATAAATATCTTGTTACTATTATTTCTCTTGCTATATTGTGAATCTTAGGGTAGATGACTTTTGTAAATTTTTCGGTATTTGTTTATCTGTATAAGATGGGTAGTTAATAGGGTAAAAACTTATATATTCTATGCACACACATCACTAACACTTACCTCACACACATTTGGGCTTTATACCCAAGCCTATGCGAGTCTAGGAGTAGAAGGTGCCTTAACAACTACTATTGAGGGGCTTTATGCTACCACTCAGATTGTTACTAGTACATTGATTTACTCATATTAAGAAGGCACATCCCTACTTATGACTAAATCATGAGTTAGGTCCTTATTATTTAATAGGAGCAATCTGGGAGCCATCAAAGACTATAGAAATCTAGATCTATCCATGAAACTATGCACCAACAAAGGACATAGTAAACTCCAAAAATTAGAGTTTTTACCATAGAAATGTAGAAAAATTAAAATAAATAAAAATAAAATATATTTTCTTTATAATTATTCATCCTACATGTTTTGTACAAAAAAAAAATGATTCATACATTCGCATATACAAAAAAATTGATTCATACAAAAATAAAATATTCATGAATTCGTATATACAAAAAAAAAAATTCATTCATTCACATATTAAAATGATTCATGCATTCGTATATAAAAAAAATAATTAATGCATTCACACATAAAAAAATGATTCATAAATTCGCATAAAAAAATGATCCAGACATTCGCATATTAAAAAAAATGCATTCACATTTAAAAATGATTCATGCATTTGCATATACAAAAAAAAATTATCCATGCATTCACTTGTAAAACAAAAAAATGATTCCATCATTTGCATATACTAAAAATAATTATTTATGCATTCACTTGTAAAACAAAAAAAATGATGATCCCTCCATTCACATATTCCAAAGTTATTAATACATTCACTTTTTTAAAAATAATTCATGCATTTATCCATATGTTCATTTTTTAAAATAATGTATATTTATATAACATTTTAGAAGCATACTAAGTTGATTTTTTCTTATTTCTAATTATTTTTAAAAAAAAATTACTTTTAGAGTAAAAATATTTAAAGTTTTTCAATGTTATACTAGGAAATGAGAAATATCAAAATTATATTTACTCATTATTGATTTTGATTTAAACAATATCCATTGATGAACAATAGTCTTTTGATTGAAAATATATGATGTTCTACACATTGTTAGTAGATAGACCTCATCTACTGAGGAGTGAATGCTCCTTTAGAATAAGAGTCAACCACTTTCTGACCTAAGAGGAAGCATACTTATAGTGTTAGAATTTAGGAAACTTCTTTAAATAAAAAATAAACATATAAGTCTTTTCACCACCAATTCCTATCTTTTGTATATATATACATCTTCTTCAGATTCTTTATCAGAATCTTCATCAGAGGATTCAGTCAGGAGATTGTTAATCTGGTCTTCTATAGAAGGTTCCAGATTAAGACTACTAATATATATATATATATATATATATATATATATATATATATGTATAAATCAATTTTAAATCTTACATTCTTACATTGAATATTCCTAATTGGACATGATCAATGAGTTAGAATATCATAACCAAGAGATGAAGAGGGATATCAACCAACCAAAGGTAAAAATGACCAGAATTTTAAAGCCACAACGATTTTTAAAGAAATAGAGTAAATTGGTCCTTTTTAGATATCTAGTCAATGCCTATTCAGCTTTACTTCATTAATTTGAACTGAGTCCTTAGATGGAATGTCATGCCCCAAGGAAGACATTTTTCTATGCTTGTTTGCCAAATAAAAATTTAACAATTGAGAAACCATCAATCTTCCTTTGATTTTTAATTCTTCAAAATAATTTTGCAATAATTCTAATGCTTTACCTA